TTGTAGATTTAAAAATTCAATATTTTCAATAACAATTTAAAAAAAAGTTAAAAAAAATTTTTTTTTCTTAAATGTTCGTTGGTTTTATTGTAAACTAAATGTTTTTATAATAGTTATAAAAATTTAAAAATTCAGTAAAATTTTTTTAACATAGTTAAGCTGGCCTGACCCAAAAACTTAAAAAAAATTAAGTTTCTATGAAAAAATGTTGTAGAGGAAAGTTGTTTGTATTTTTCTAATCTAAAGTAATATAAAGTTAAAAACATTGAAATTTGAAAAAATTGAATTTTTAAATTTTTGAAAGTACTGTAGTTTGTGTAATTTTCGACGAAAATGGCTGGCTAACGAACTCGATCTGTATTTTAACACTAACTTTGTGCATGCAAAGTTGCAAGTTGATACAATAAGTTTTTCAAAAGTTATCGTGGCGACACCATTGTGTCTACAGACAGACACGAAGACAGACATACGGACAGACACTTTTTTTAGACCATGTTTTTCGGACTCAGGGGACCCCAAAACGTCGAGATTTCATGAAATTAGCGAAAGTCAATTTTCGACCAAAACTAATACTTTCTCATATGATGAGAATGTAAAAAAAAAAAAAAGTTTTTTTAAAAAAATGTTATAGAGAAAAGTTGTTTGTATTTTTCTAATCTAAAATAATATAAAGTTAAAAATTCTGAAATTTGAAAAAATTGAGTTTTCAAAATTTTGAAACAACCGTAGTTTTTGTAATTTTCAACGAAAATGGCTGGTTAACGAACTTAACCTTCATTTTTACACTAACTTTAAGTGTGTTAAATTTAAAAACGATCAGATAAGATTTTCAAAAGTTATTGTGCCTACAACATTTTGGTCTACAGACGGACATACATACAGACACACAGACAGACGGACTCGCCGGACCATGTTTTTCGGGTTCAGGGGACCTCAAAACGTAAAGATTTCATAAAATTAGCAAAAGTCAATTTTCGACCAAAACTAATACTTTCTCATGTGATGAGAATGTAAAAAAGAAGTTATTTATGTTCTTTAAAGTCAGAGAAAAAGTGAAAATTTTGTCTGCAAATCAGAAAAAGGCAGGAAAAAACAAAATTAAATTTTTGTGGCAACCCTGTAAAAGAAATGGAATTTATAAAAACAAAAATTATAATAAAAGGATGAAATTTATCAGAAGGGCTTTTATTTCTCTTGTTTTTTCTCACAAATTGGATCATTTTAAAATGAAGACGAAAATATTTTTAGTTTTGTTTTCTTTGTAATAGAATACGTTTTATACCTGAAGGCAGAGCATTATATATGGATATTTTATAAATAGCTTACATAGCATAAAATATTGCCATGAGGGAAGGAAAGCATTCATGTTAAACCCTTATGCTTTTAAAAACTTGCAAAAGAGACTCATTATCCAAGTTTCCTTCCAGAAATCACTTCTCTTATTTCTCGCTTATCTCACTTTTTTATAAACACACGAAGAATGCGAGATATACCGAGTAAAATGCGCCTACAAATTCTAACAGCTCCCTAATATACTGCATAACTTGTTTTTATAATTAAACTTTGGAAATGAAATACAATAAATAAACTAGTGATAACAATTGTCTTAATTAGCGCATAATAGTATTTATATTTTGTTAATTCAAAGGTTTACAACGTATTTAACATGGAAATTACAGGGGATTCAGCGCTGAATTGTACTATCAGTTTAGACAATAGAAACCATCTTGTGCTTTTAGAGTTATCCCAGTTGAATAGTGTCTCCTTGGTCGAGATACTTAATACATTGTTCTCTCTGATGGTTGCCCTTTATAAACAAGGTATTCCTCCGTTGTCATCAAAATGGTTTGCATTAACACCTATTTACATTCGACGTCATTGCTCAGTTCAAAAAAGTTTACAAATGGCGACAAAATAACTATTTACCTAAAAGAAATGTTGAATTTAGAAAAACATAATTTAAGAAAATAAATAATTTTCTAAAAACATCAAATTCACATACTAGCAATTAATTATGAAATAAATTTTATAAAATTTGGTTAGAAAGATAAGTGATTAAATAAGAAAACAAAAACTAAGCTTCCGAACTGAATTTATCTTTTAAAACGGTATTCCCGGTTTTCGTTTTTCTCTTAGTGTTAGTTCACAAATGCTTATCTTGGTATATGATGCATACTTGAAAACATAGTTATTGCAAAAAGAAAATGCAAATGAGAAAGAATTTCAAGCTTACGTAGTTATTGAATCTTAATTTGAAATTTACATGTCGGGCAGAATTTTAGAATAGGGGAGAATGGGGTGAAGCAACGCGGTCGGCATTTCTCGAAAAGAGAAAATGAATGTGAAGGAGAAAAAAAATGTTTAGGAAAAACGCAATAAGAATTTTTAGGTTCAGAAAATTTAAAGCGAAGTTAAATTTTTATGAAAAAGTACAAATTTTAGTCGCACATCATACAAATTTTAAATATTTAATATTTTTTTTAAGTCTCGGATTATAAGTCTTAAGTTTTTCTTTCCATTTACTTTTGTAGGTCTAAAACGGTCCGAAAAAAAAATTTTAAAAAAATATGATTTCATCATTTATAAGGTTTCTAGGGGTCACTGAATTCGAATTTGAGGTCAGTTTTTCAAAATTCAAAATGTCATCCAATATTACAACCTAATATGGCAAATAATTTAAAAATTGATGCGATTCGATCTAAATTTATTTTTCGAGGGTTTCCGGGGTCTTTGATTACGAATTGTCTAATTTTGACAACAAAATGGGATTTAGTGACCCCAAAAACCTCCGAGTAAATATTTTAAACAAATCCGGCAACATTAAAACATTTAGTCGACTTATTGGACACTAAAAATCCCCGGCAAACGGATTTCGATTGAATCGCACTTATCTTGAAATTATCCGCCATATTGGATTCGACATTTTGTATTTTGAAAATCTGACATCATATTCGTAACTCACAAATTAATGCATGATAATTCTAATTCATTCTTCAATTCAAGATAAATACTATCTCAAAATTGAATTGCAATAAAATTACAACTAAAATTAGCGTTCAATATTATTCTCTCTCAAAATATTTTTAATTAATTATAATTATTTTATTTTAATTAATCTATTTAAGTACATTAACAAAGATTTTTTTTACTTATACTTACAATTATTTTAATATAGGGGAGAGTGGGGCAAACCGGACCGGTGGGTAAACCGGACCCCCCTCAATATTTCCGAAATGGCGAAATTGGAAAAAGTGTTGTTTACAAATTTAAAACAACCATGTTTAGTATACCTTATTTTTTCAATCTGACAGTTTTAGCTTGCGTTTGTGCGACGAAGAGAGCAAAAGTTTTTTTTTTTGTTTTTTTCTACACTTTTAAGAATTTTTTCTTAAGGAATTTTTGAGAAAATCGTAGTGTAATGTTTCCAAATATTAGGTCTTAGGTTTTGAAGGTACACACCTCAGGAATATTTACCACCAAAAACTTTGATGAATTTGCAAAGCGTTTCTTTTTGACAAACATTTATTCTCAAAATGGTCCTGTGGGGCAAACCGGCCATAGGATATTTCCATTGAATTAAAGTTTCATAAAAATTATTTGTAAATAAAATGTTTCTTTCATTAAACTATTTACTTACAATGAAAAATAATTGTCTTCCAATGAGAATTGGACCCTTTAATATTGTTTCTCTGATAATGACATACATTTTTATTTTTTTATTCAAAAAAATATTTATTTAATTAAAATTCAATCCCGTATTATTATTTTCATTACTACAACCATTGTTTACAAGATTCTTTATGTTTTTTATTATTGTAGATTATGTAAATGCAATATTATAAATAAAAAACCAAACGGTCCGGTTTGCCCATAGGGGGGTCCGGTTTACCCCAGGGGGTGGGGCAAACCGGACCGTTTGCAAAATTTTTTAAAGTTAACACTGCAACTAAACAATAAAACATAAAGTATAGGTTTCTCTGGGAAAAAGTTGCGCAATTAAATGATCTTTCAAACAAGCCATCGAAAAATGAAATCAGTTGATTCGTTTAGTCACAAGAGTCAAAAAACCGTTAGGGGGTCCGGTTTACCCCACTCTCCCCTATGATTACTATGGAATTAAAACTCCAATTTTTTAGCTTCATTACGTAGAAAGTACTTTTCTTTAAAATCATTTAAGAATTAAGAATATTTTGTAATTGAATAGTTATTTTTACTACATTTTTCATTAAATCGTAATTATTATTAAGTTTTTGGTATTTGGAAATTTTAAAAAAATTTTATGATCCAAAGCTGTGTTATCAGCACAGAAATTTTTTTAATTTTTGACTGGAATTTCATAAGTATTGGCCAGGAGAAAGCTTAGAATTTTACGTTTATCATCTTGCGTTTTATGATTTTTGACATATTTTAGAAAATAAGTAACAAAAAAAAATTTTTTTCAACATTTCAAAGATTTTATTTTAATAAGCTTCACACTGAATAATTAATTTTAAAAAAGTATCAAAAAGTGGCTTTGAAAAAAGTAGTATAAAAGTAGCTATAGAAAATTAATTTTAACGAATACTAAAAAAATTGTTTTAGTCGATTCACAAAAATTTGATTCAATATTTCCCTGACTGTTTCCAGATTTCAATTAAAAATATTTGTTTTTATTCTAATCCTGCTGAAAACTTTAATTCTAAATTTTTGAAAAATTCAATTATTTTCTAAATTTTTATCCTAAAAATACAATTTATTAAAATGCAATTTTTTAAATTAAACAAATAAAATTTAATTTAAATTGCTCATAGGAATTAAGAAAATAAATTAATAATTTTTCAAAGTAAAAATTTAATTGTTATTACAGTTTTACAACAATTAAAATTTTCAACGATTTCGATTTAATAATATAAAATTTTAAGCTTTAATGGTCCGTAAGGTAGAATTGCTTGGAAGTAGTCTTATTTTAAAGAAAAGGTTTGGATTAGATTTAGGTGTATAAAGAATAGAATGAAAACTCGTAATTTTTATAAAATCTGTAATACTTGTTTTAACAAAATAGAGTATTAAAAAAAGTCGTTTACATGTAATGTGACGCTTAGTAAACAAAATGCAATTTTTTCGAGGAATGCATATAGACTAGTTCATTGTATCTATATTAGATGAACAAGTTTTAAATTTAAAACAATTTCCTGCATTTATACAAATCTACTGTATTAATTACGACGTTACCGCAATAATAAGGCAAAACTTTATTGTCCTTAAAACATCTTTCACGCCATAAAATATACGATATCGCAGTCTTAAAATCAATGTAATAATTCTATATCTATAGTATACGAGATATAAAAAGTTAATATTCATTCATTCATTCATATATTTATATAAAAAAACAATAACATTAGTATCTGCGTAACAAATTATTCTTTTTCTCATTTATTTACCTTTGAAATAAATAACCGAAGATTTTCAAAGCAACAATCATTCATATTAAAATAGCTTATTACAGACATTATTTTCTCATTTTATGTAAAGTTGATCATTCGTTAGTTTGCGTATTAATGAAAAGATATCGATAATAATAGAGAACAAATATGCTGTATTAAACTACATTCAAAGACATGGAGCATGTTCATACAGTCTTTGCAATTCTCTCATAATTGTTCAGGAACCGGAGTTTGTACATATAGCTCGTACTGGCTGCCAGTGCTAAAGTAACGTTGCGGTTGATTATAACAAAAATATAACAATTATAATACAACTTTTTCAATCTTGATGCAAAAATGAAGGAAAGTCTCAAGGTGAACTTGTAATTGCCCCATTTTTATCCTCGCTCAACTTTCTTTCTTCATTCTTTCCATAAAACCACAAGCTTATTATGGCATGATATTCTTTTAATACATATAATATTTAATATACTTTCTCACGCAAACATTCAAGAATTCTAAAAAAAGACTTACTTTGAGCATATTGCACTGTACTTCCCTAAATTAGAAGAATATAAATAGGTATATTTATCCTGGCTATTGCAAGTGGTTTAATGAAAAAACGCATCCGTTGTCTTCCTTTGCTGTATGCGAGTAAAACTAAAACTTGCTTTCAAAAACAATCCTGCAAATTACAAATAAAAATTTTTAATTTATATAATATAATTAAATCCCGCAACAAAAACATCTTTGATGCAAAAAGTTCCGTTAAGTAACAATTTTTGCAAATGTCCAAACAATTAGTGAAATAAAAGTTTACAAAGTAAAATTTATAACTAAAGTTTTAATACTGAATTGTACCAAATAGGGGAGTGTAAGGTATGGTGGCGGACTTGTCAAATCTGGCATGTAACGTCACATCTGAAGCGCCTTATAGACGGAGAGCTAGCTACATAAAAATGCATGTTATAAGGTACATGAAAAATTAATATTTAGATAGGTTCCATTTGAGTCCCTAAGTACCGAATGCGAAGTCTGCCTGCGCGTTCTGGAAGATTAAGCCCGCGAATTGACGGTCGAAAATGATAAATTTGATAAGGAAAACATGTGATAAAGGTCATGGATAAAAGTTATAAAATTTAAAAGTATTTATCACCAGTAAGCTTATAAAATTTTGGCAGACAATTTTTTGGACGACAAAGTATTGGCAGACAGTGTCAAAGTTGCGTAATCCGTAGTGAAAAAAAGATCATAAGAGTCATGGCTAAAAATTAATGGAAATAGTTAATGAACTCTTATGGAAGCTATATGTCAAGTGGCAGACAAAAATTCGGATGATAACATCGAGGCAGACAACGATAAAAAGCGCGGTTCCCATGCGATTTCGCTGATTTCGCGCTATTTGCACTAAATAGTTAATTTTTGAAAAATGTGAAATTTTTTTGGGCTACATTAATTTTTAAACATAATTTAATGATTTTATAAACTTTTGAATGAATATGATTTATTTTAAATTAAATTTTTTATAAAAATAAAAAAAATAAAAATTGAAAATGTGATTTTTGTATAGAATTATTAATTTTTTTAATAAATAGATAATAGATTGAAACTTCTGAGAAAAATGTATCCTAATTTAAAAAAAGAAAGAGCAAAATCGGTCAGTTGGTTTAAAAGTTAGAGCAACTTTTCAGAATTTGAAAAGTTGGTATCAATTCTGGCGTGAGCGATTGCTGCCGCGTGTCGCTGGATTCCCCCACTCTGCCCACCTAAGGAAGGTAAAATCTCGCACTCACTTTTACCTCTATTTTAAACAACTAAATAGTGCAGTATGGATTCCATAATTTTTTTGGTAATAGTGTTGTTAAGAATCTTTATATTTGTATAAAAAAAATTGTAAAATGTTAATAAATAAAATGTCACGATTAGAAATATTTAAAAAAAATTATTTCCCCCCCCCTTGGAGTTAGGTGCAATTTTTTTCTTTTAAAATTTCAAAAAAATATGTTTAATTAAATTACTTTTTTTCCCGATATTATGAAACAAAAATTGGCTGAGATACGCTTAATTGTTTATAGTGGGAAATATTACCTCTTTTCTGCAACTATTTTTATGCAAATAAACAAGAAAAATCATTTAGTGTGTATATGTAAAGGATAGATCTCATCTTCGCAAGTGAAACGATATTTTGAAAAATGTGATTTTTTGAGTTTCCTTCATTTTTCATACATAAAAAGAAACATTGTTTTTAGTAAACAAATGGATTTATTTAAAAACTATTTATCCCATTGGGCTCAAATTTGATACACTCTTTAAAGGTATCAAGGGCAATACTTTCTGTCAGTTTAAAAGTCATCTCATTAAAATTAAACAAATTATTAAACAATTAAGAAATTGCAATTTTTATCTGTTTAAATTAATTTTCTCATGAACAAATAATTGAAAATTTTTTGCGACCTATCATTTTATATGTCTTTTTAAGCTCTATCTCATTAAAATTAAACAAATTATTAAACAATTAAGAAATACAGTTAATAGTGATTTTGAGAATATAAGGAGTGTCATATGTGATTTATTAATTTCACTCTACAATAGTGTTTTGTATTCGGTAAATTTATACATACAATGTTAACTTTTTGAAGTAAATTTACTAAATTAATTTACTTAATTATTAAATACTAATTTTTATTTCGCCAAATAATATTTACCTCAATGTTTATAATAAATTTTCTACGAAAGACTGTAATAATAATATAATTATGCACACTTAACCTTAAATTATAAGTTTTATATTATACTTTCCTGATAATATGAACTTATCAATTAATAGCATAAATTTTTTAATTGTATAAAATAGAATCTTATGCTTCATTATTTACATCTGATTCAATTTCCTCCACATCTTCTTCACTGTCGCACTCGATATCATCCTCAGATTCGATTTCATTTATGTCAGCTGAAAAATGAAAACAATTAATAACTCATACTTTTAATAAATAAAATTGTCAGTGTATGTATAAAGATTTGTACCTTCAGACTCTTCTTGATTGGATTGATTAATTTAAACAGATAAAAATTGCAATTTCTTAATTGTTTAATAATTTGTTTAATTTTAATGAGATGACTTTTAAACTGACAGAAAGTATTGCCCTTGATACCTTTAAAGAGTGTATCAAATTTGAGCCCAATGGGATAAATAGTTTTTAAATAAATCCATTTGTTTACTAAAAACAATGTTTCTTTTTATGTATGAAAAATGAAGGAAACTCAAAAAATCACATTTTTCAAAATATCGTTTCACTTGCGAAGATGAGATCTATCCTTTACATATACACACTAAATGATTTTTCTTGTTTATTTGCATAAAAATAGTTGCAGAAAAGAGGTAATATTTCCCACTATAAACAATTAAGCGTATCTCAGCCAATTTTTGTTTCATAATATCGGGAAAAAAAGTAATTTAATTAAACATATTTTTTTGAAATTTTAAAAGAAAAAAATTGCACCTAACTCCAAGGGGGGGGGAAATAATTTTTTTTAAATATTTCTAATCGTGACATTTTATTTATTAACATTTTACAATTTTTTTTATACAAATATAAAGATTCTTAACAACACTATTACCAAAAAAATTATGGAATCCATACTGCACTATTTAGTTGTTTAAAATAGAGGTAAAAGTGAGTGCGAGATTTCACCTTCCTTAGGTGGGCAGAGTGGGGGAATCCAGCGACACGCGGCAGCAATCGCTCACGCCAGAATTGATACCAACTTTTCAAATTCTGAAAAGTTGCTCTAACTTTTAAACCAACTGACCGATTTTGCTCTTTCTTTTTTTAAATTAGGATACATTTTTCTCAGAAGTTTCAATCTATTATCTATTTATTAAAAAAATTAATAATTCTATACAAAAATCACATTTTCAATTTTTATTTTTTTTATTTTTATAAAAAATTTAATTTAAAATAAATCATATTCATTCAAAAGTTTATAAAATCATTAAATTATGTTTAAAAATTAATGTAGCCCAAAAAAATTTCACATTTTTCAAAAATTAACTATTTAGTGCAAATAGCGCGAAATCAGCGAAATCGCATGGGAACCGCGCTTTTTATCGTTGTCTGCCTCGATGTTATCATCCGAATTTTTGTCTGCCACTTGACATATAGCTTCCATAAGAGTTCATTAACTATTTCCATTAATTTTTAGCCATGACTCTTATGATCTTTTTTTCACTACGGATTACGCAACTTTGACACTGTCTGCCAATACTTTGTCGTCCAAAAAATTGTCTGCCAAAATTTTATAAGCTTACTGGTGATAAATACTTTTAAATTTTATAACTTTTATCCATGACCTTTATCACATGTTTTCCTTATCAAATTTATCATTTTCGACCGTCAATTCGCGGGCTTAATCTTCCAGAACGCGCAGGCAGACTTCGCATTCGGTACTCAGGGACTCAAATGGAACCTATCTAAATATTAATTTTTCATGTACCTTATAACATGCATTTTTATGTAGCCAGCTCTTAGACTATTATCACTTGGGACCGTCCATAAACCACGTAGCCCCATTTTTGGGGAATTTTGACCCCCCCCCTCCCCCATGTAGTACGCTATTACATATATTAGCGCCATTTTTTCCTCTTGTCGTAGTCAATTGCTTGACCCCCCCCCCCTCCCCCTCAAGAGGCTACGTGGTTTATGGATGGCCCCCTATGGTCGATGTCTTTTATCGTGATGACATTTTATATGCAGTAGTATTAATGATCAAACGTGTGCTTTGTACTTTAAGTGATTTTGAATAAAAAAGTAGTGAAAAAAAGAAAAAAAGTTTTATTGGATATGTGTGTTAACAGTGCCAGAGTGAAGATTTTTTGAAAATTGAGTCTGGTAAATGTATGGAACATATTGTTTAGACCTTGGACAACAGTTTTTTGTATTTTACATTTTTCTCAATTCGCGCTGTATGAAAGCAATCGATGTCAGCAACTGCCTGCTTTTGAAATTTTGAAAAATATTGTTGAGAGAGAGAGAGAGAGAGAGAGAGAGAGAGAGAGACGCAAAAAAGAAAGTGTCCGCCACCATACCTTACACTCCCCGATAAAATTTAATTTAACGATTAACATAAGCAGCTAATGAAATCCAATTTTATTCGTCTTAATAAAAAATTTCTATTTGATGAAATTTTAAGATCTTGGCGTCAATAATGTTTCTAACTTGTAATTAATGAAAGTATTGACGCCAAGATCTTAAAATTTCATCAAATAGAAATGTTTTATTAAGACGAATAAAATTGTATTTCATTAGCTGCTTATGTTAATCATTAAATTAAATTTTATATTTGTTACAATTCAGTATTAAAACTTTAGTTATAAATTTTACTTTGTTAACTTTTATTTCACTAATTGTTTGGACATTTGCAAAAACTTTTACTTAACGGAACTTTTTGCATCAAAGATGTTTTTGTTGGGATTGAAATACTTTTTGCATCATTAATAATATTTTAGGGGAATTTAAGTAACTGTTTAGTACTTCAGGCTCTACGTTTGTCTAAATGTCAAAAAATCCAATTTTTTGGAAAAAATTCAAATATTTAATTTTCTGAAATATATATACAGGGTGTCTAACGTTTAGGGAAGTTAATAGGGAAAATTTCTAAAAATTTGTACAAAAATTAAAATTTTTGTGAATAAAAAATTTTGTTAATCTAACAAAACTTAGAAGATTTTTATTATCGTTTGTTTCTAATCATTAGATATTAATTTATTGTTAAATATGTCAGTTACCATATGTTTGTTCCAAAAAAGCAGAAATAAAATTAGTAAAAAGTCAGGGAATTATTTTCTCAATCCTTGTTAGACACACTGCTTAAATAAGTAAATTGTTTTTAAAGAGCCCAAAATTAATGACGCTAAATGCCATAAAAGAGAAGACAAAATGTTAAATTTTAAAAATTCAGTTTTTCGAATTTTTGATAATTTTTAATAATTTTAGATTTTTTACCAAATGGTGGAGACTAATTAATAAGTAAAGTGTTTTTGAAGAGCCCAAAAATAATGAAGCTAAATGCCATAAAACAGAAAAAAAAATGTTGAATTTTAAGAAATTCGGTTTTTTGAATTTTTGATAATTTTAGATTTTTTACCAAAGGGTGGAGACTATTAACAGGGTGTCTAACGGTCAGGGAATGTCAGAGAATTTCATTGAAAGTTAGGGAAACTTCTAAAAATTATACAAAAATAAAAATTTTTGTGAATAAAAAATTTTTTCAATCTAACAAAACTTAGAAGATTTTTATTATCGTTTATTTCTATCATTAGATATTAATTTATTGTTAAATATGTCAGTTACCATTTTTTTATCCCAAGTCAGGAAATTATTTTCTCAATCCTATTTAAACACCCTGATATATTAAGATTTTAACCTAATTAATAATATTCCAGAATATTTTACAAATCTGTTAAGTCGTTTAGTCGCTACGTTTGTCTAAATATCAAAAAATCCAATTTTTTTTTAATTCAAATATTTCAATAAATACTTAACCCTTTGAGGACCAGTATTGCTTTTAGGCAACATGAACATTTTTTTATTAACTCGGGCATAAATTTCTTAATTTTCAAAACTGAATATTGAAACAATAATTTTCACATAGTCTGGAAAATTTCGTATCACAAACACTGGTCTTTAAGTAAAAAACTTCAATAACTTTCCCTGAAAAGTTTGCTTAAAAATGAAAAATCGCGATTTTTTAAGAAAAAATTTGGTCCTCAAAGGGTTAATGTATTGAAATTTCCTAAAATATTTATCGAAATTTTAACCAATTTAATAATATTCCAGAGTATCTTGCAAATCCATTTAGTAGTTCACTGAATTCACTTTAATGCCGTTTAAGGGAATCTTTAGTTGCGGAGTTAATGCCCTATAATTAACTTGAATTCTTTCAAGGGGATTCAAATTCTAGTCATGTGGTTACAAAGAATTGAATTGGATAGAAATGAATAACTTAACAATAGAAAAGGAATTCATTAACCCTTGGGCGGTCAAGCGGGGTCCAGTGGACCCCGCATTGTTATAAGCATAAAAACATTACGATAACGTACACGGTAAAAAATTTACTATGTGGATTACAGTACCACTTAGTTGAATAGACAAAATTTACAAATTGAGCTATAAACAAATAACAAAATAGTGTTTTTCTTTTAAGAAATTTGAGCCTACACCAAATAATCCTGCCTTGCATTAAGAACGGTGTGTGTATTTTTCAGGGTATTTTGCAAATCTAACTGTTTGTTAAATTTAATATCTTAATCATCATTTTTATATTTTAATGCATTAAAATTCATAATATAATAAGAAGAAAACAAAATATACAAATATCTATGTTTTAAGGAGTTATACCTGTTTGGAGGCTTAAAAAAAGGGTGTTTTTCAAAATTTTTTTATGAGTACTGTTTTAAATTATTGTTGGCAACTAATATACCATTTGATTAATCAACTTTTAAAGAGTAAGAAAAATTTTTCTTTTCAATTTTTTGTTACAAAATGGTGGCTATAGGATTTCGTAAACAGTGCTAAGTTTTTTTGTAGAATTGATCCAGAAAAATTAAATTTAAAAACATTTTATTGGTTTCATGCAAGGATGTTTTTGATTATTAATCTAGGAATGTCATATAGTATATTTTAAGCCAATATTATAATAATTAGCCTCAATTATCCAAGTCAAAAGCAAATGTAAAATTTATACACACATACCTCGTTATACATTAATAGTATTTATCTTGTTCAACGTCTGCAGAATTGAATTGTTGTTTATGGCTGTTGCGTTTTAATGTGGCTGATTCACAATTTAAACTTTTTGGGTAAAGCTTCGGGCTTCCTACTCCATTCACATTCGAATTATTTTTTCCTCTTAAAGTACCATTCATATTTGTATTGGATGAAAAACTGGACAAACGTTTTGGTGCCACCTTCGAAACAAGTTTAAATTTATTAGAAACATTTACAAGTTTCTTCAATGCTTAGTTGCATTGTCAGCACTTGTTCAAATCATAATTTCAGATGTATAAGAAATACCTCTTTTAGTGGGACTATGACGTAAGGGTTCTGCTTTGTTATATAATGAGGACTTCCGGCGATATGAGATGCTTTCCGCTTCATGTAAAATAAACTCAATACTGTCATCAAAATCATACCAACAATCATTCCTGCAATGAAACTTCCTACAACTGCTCCAACAGACACGCCTGCCATTTGAACACTTGGTGACACGTTATTCGTAAATTCTAGAAATTATTTTTAAACAATTACTTATCCATTTATATTGTGTTTAATAAGTTTTTAGAACTTATCGTTTTTACCATTGTAAGAACATTGACGAAATTCTTGATTAGCTCCTTGGCAAACTCCATTACTGGCATGTACAAGGCACTGACGTTTCCTATACTGCTGATTATCATTATTACAGTTAGACCAGTTTGACCAACCACTCCAATCAATAGAAGAATCACAGTTTGGCATTTTGCAGGACTCTTTAATCACATTGGGCCCTTCACAAGTGTTTGATGATGCACATTCTCTCTTTTTTGTTCGGATTCCTGTACCACAAGACACTGAGCACTGGGACCAAGTAGACCATGTTCCTTCAACTTTATTCTTTTTCATCTCATTTCCACGACATGAGAATGGTGTACAAACTCTTGTTTCCACTGCCACACCTTCACAAGGAGGTGATTCACATTGTCTGGTCTGCAAAAATTTTATTTCATTGAAAACCGTCGAGGCAGAAAGAATCTGATAACATGCTTCAATTCAAATTAAATTTATGTTCATACACATAATACAGCCGAATATAATTATCTGATTTATGTAATTTATTTATACTAACCCTGGCCTGAGAACCTGGAGTACACACACGATTACATGAAAACCAGTGTGACCAATCTGACCAACCAACTTCTGTATTGCTGTCAGTATTTGTCATTCCGATAACATGAGAGCAAGAACCATCCTTCTTACAATAACGTTCTTCTTCTTTTCCTAAATGAATACGTAAACTGGACGGGTTATCAGTTTGAGCACGACATACAAATCTAAACCGCTTCTCAGTGTATTCAGCTTCTTTCGCCTGAGCCGTGAAGTTTACAACCATCCATGGCGTCCAATTAGAAAATTTCTTTGTTTCCGTGCAAGTTTGACTGTTGCAATGCTCGACCTAAATAAACGTGTTTATGTTAATGGCAATAAACATGACGACAGCTAGCTAGATGTTAACACATAAGGTAGATATTTAATATCTAGACGTTATGCGTTAATATTTATAAGATTTAATTTTTAATGTCAAAATATTAATTGTTATTACCTAAATGTTAATCGTTAATGTCTATTTTGGAATATCTACTTTTAACAATGCTTTCTCTCTGTATAAAGCTTTCAAGGTCGGATCCAGCATTTACAATAGGGGGTTGTCAGCTTATATAAATATTTCAGAATAGGGAGTAGTCAGCTAATATATAAATATAAAACAACGTAAAATTAACTACTTGGAAGAGGGTGGTCATGACCTGCAATATTACTTAAAAATATATAAAGAAACTAACTTCAAAGTTACACCCAGGACAGCTAGTGCCACCTTCATGAGATATTGGACCGTCACAAGTTCGTCTTCTAATTCGCATACCTACAAAATACAATTTTAATTATTTTAATTTTGTGAATTGGAGTAGGGCATTCTTTTTCAAACGTGTGATTGTAACATAAGTAGAAACTTTAAAATGATAATGCACTATTATAGTAATACTCATACCTCCGTTACACGGCCGGGAGCATGTCGACCATAATTCCCATGGTGACCACTGTCCACTTTCTGAAGGCAAAATTGATTGAGCTGGTTTGGCACACGGTGGAATATCAAGGCAAATAGCTTCATCATGATCAGGTCCTACACAAACACGACCACCAAAAGCTGGAGAAGGATTACTGCACGTACGTCTTCGAGTTTTCATTGCTAGACCACAGGTTTGGGAACAAGATGACCAGGTAGACCACGACGTCCACCCACCATGAACAGTGCAGTTAGTTACTTTCACCTTCGGACCTTCGCAAACATTTCCTCCGTGTTTTGGTGGAGGATTATTACATTCCCTTATTTGACACTGACAGCCATCCGCATTCTATGAATAATAATATTACTTCAATAATATTACTTATTATTCATAATAAACGGAAAATTAAATAATATACACACCTCATTTTTGGAAGAGATTACATGATGCGACTTTTCCGAACCAGATTCCGTAGATTCGTATTGACAGAAATGCCATGAACTCCAACTGCTCCAACCTCCTTCTACTGAATCTCTTAATACAGGACATTTTGTTACATCCTGATGCCAATGTGTGACAGCAGTATTCTGATTGGGTGCTTGTGCACAAGTCATGGTTAATTCATTCCATCCACAATAAGGATCTTGTGCATTTAGACAAGCTGATTGCGTTCGGTGTCGATGACATTGAACGGCTGATATCCTGATGAAGGGAATGATTAAAAATTATTTAAATATGTACATATTGTGGATAACTCGACATTTGGTCGTAAATCAAGTACCTTAATAATCCTGTTTGCATTCCCACATACAAACTATGTGTATCTTTAAGGTATTGTAAAATTACTGGTGGTGAAGGTAAAGGACCCCAAACTTCAATTACACACGTTTCTTGTAGTTTCGGCAATACAGAGATCTTTTTAATGTGTCCTGTCGTTGTTGCAGCATAAAGTATTATTACACTACGGTGCAATTTTGTAGGTGTTGTATCCACAGCAATATATGTATATCTTTAGCGAAAGAAATATATTTACAATGAATACAATAGCAATTTGTGTGAAACAATTTTGATCCTATTCTTTTATTTTTACCATATGTTTTTTATTTAAAATTTAAAAATAGAAACTTTCTATTACCGTTCGTGACTTGTATGCAAAGGCTTTAGAGCAGTACTTTGAACAGCATCGTCCATTAGTTGATACCTATGGTTATTCATTATTTGATAAGGTGCACTATTAAGCTTCTGGCCGCAATGTTGTCGATTATGATGAGGTACTGGTTGCCTTTCCCAAGTAGAGCCCGAATTTTCCTGATATTTATAAGGACCATTGAAGGCTTTTAAAATTGCAGACATATTAAAAGCACAGATTGCCGATCCTGCTATTGCATTACTAAAAAATCAATGAAAGAATGTATTATGAAATGTTCATAAACATTTCTTTTCGTTTAGGAATTGAATATAACAGTTACTGAGATTTTGCGTATCATCCTTTTTATTAACTGTATTATTTTGCAAATTGATGTGAATCATCTCTGATATCAAACGTTTTTTATAATTAATTTCTTTGTTAAGTATAAAAAAGTTGTCATAATCAAAAGTGTGGTTTGATTAGCAATATTTATAAATCCAAGAGGATAATTATTTTTTATTAAAGTTTTTTAACAAATTCAATATTTTTGAATTGGAATTTTTTATCAGAAAGTTTTATAGCTCTGTCAACGAAGTTATAAACAATATCAACTTTCTGAGCAAAAGAATATTTTTATTAGTAATTTATGGTGCGATCAGAAAATATGGGCTTTTTATAGAAGTAAGTTCATAAGTAAGTAAGTTCATTATTCTCATTAATAACGGGGACATGAAGAAAATTAATGGATTTATTTTTTTGTATCTCAAAAGTGAACTGTAGCCTGTCATCAAATCCATTAGAGACGTCAACTTTTTCATTGCTTTTATCTTTCGGTATGCAGGTGATTATATCATCAACATACCTATAGTAAAATAATGCTTAAAAGAAATTTTATAATTACAAGAAGTTTCTAACTCATCAATGACTATGTCCGCAAACAATTCAGAAATAAAAGAACCCACAGGGGTATCATGTTTGTTCTTTTTGTCTTAATGTATTAATTTGTTATAAAATCTTTTCTGAAATAGACGAAACAGAAAATAAAACTTTGATTACTTTGGAGTTGTAAATGTAGCGTAAACGGTTCCTTCCTCCGGATGATATACTGCGCCTTGAATTTCATCATAGTAAAATGGAAACTCGCCCGGGAGAGAACAATTTAAACGAGATTTACTAAATGTAGTCCACGTATCTCTCATTAAAGTTTGACCACCTGGATCGTTTTTACAAACTCTCGCTATTCTAGAATATATTCTCTGTAACAAAAAGATATGCATCAAATATCATTAATTTACACCTAATAATTAATAGGTATTTGAATATTGTATCCGCACTAAGTCAACGATTACCTTTCCGCAATTAATATATTCCACTGCTGTTTCCCGAAATAAGAAAAACACATATTCTTCCGTCTCAAAACTGCCAACAAACTGCGGGTCATTGAGCCATCTAAAGTAATAAATAATCTATATTTTCAGTACACTTTTCTTATATTTATTAAACAGGTAATTTAAATTTTCTATATCAAAACCTTTTTATAAAGTAAATCCAAAATGTGAAGCATGTAATTCGATTATGTAGCTCTACGTTTCAATAACAACTATAAGCCTGAATGATTATGCAACTTTTTGACAAATTAGTTTCAAAAACTCTAAAATTCTGATAGTTTAATTAATTGTTAATAATTAATAGTTAATATGAGTTAATAACAATTGTACTATTATAGTTTAAGAACTTAATTTTTCGATACTTTTTAATTCAATTAAAAGCATTGTACCTCACAGAGAAAATAACAGAGCTGGCACAACATTACACCACAGTTTGACCGATACCGCTGAAAATATTCAGTTTATTGTGTATTTTCATGCACAAGCACTAAAAGCTAATTTCTGAAGTAAATATATGAAATGTACTATTATATAATTAAATTATTAATACAATTGTACAATTATGTATCACATTTATAGTCTATCTAACAATAAGCCATCATGCAACTGTGCAATAAAAAATGTGTCACTTACTTAAAATCATATTGATGTGTTCGAAGATTTGGATATTCCAAAGTCCTGTAAATAGCAGAATCAGCGCCTGAAAAATCAGTAGGTGCTCCTGCAAATAGACCACCAGATCTACTCAGAATGGCTGTTGCATTGGCATGTGGTGAATATGGGCACATAGCTACTCCCGATAACGTATCAGTAACATTCTTAATGTTTTCAATCTGTAACACAAGTGTATCGCAAATATTATTTTGATAAACATTTTTATGAATTTTATGCTTTACTAACACAACATAACGCTTTTACTTAAGCTCAACACAAGAAATTTAGTTATACTTATTGATAGCCGTAATTATTTTGCTTGCGCAGCGTCCTTTAAAGGAAGATACAATATTAGAAGTTGAAAAAATTAAATTTTCAATTGCATAAATCCCCTCAATTTTTAGATCTTTAGCTGAAATTATTCTCCCGCTAAAATAATTTACCTAGATCCGGCAAGGGTCCTGCTAGCATGTGGACCATGTGGACTAACTAAAAAAATCTTCATTAGTAAGAAAAAGATAATATATCTTCGTCCTTTTCTTAGGAAATTTTTGTTAATGCCAGTAGGACCCTTTCCGAATCTAGGTAAATGATCTTCGGTTTTTCATTATTACTTATAAGATTTTACATTATCTAATATAGAAAAATTTACTACTACGATTTAGTTTTTCTTTCATTTTTTTCTACATAATAGTAGATATATAAGTAAACTCACTTCTCTCCACGTACACATCGGACTATAAGCATTAGTGCCGCATGTGAAAATAAATTTTCCATTGCTCAACAAAACTTTTATAAAATTGTGACAGTCTTCAGAAGTTTGTCCTTTATCTTGACAAGTTGATATTTTTTTTGAAGGCGCGGTCCATGATGCATGCTCCAGTTGAGTTAAAGAATTTAATTTTAAACGGAAAAGGTTGTCTCTGAAAACAGAAGTAGATTAAAGTATATATTAAACTGCTAAATTTGAATCTGAAAAAGTGCATTTTTTCATCCACTAATATATTTATTGTGGTTTTGTCAAAAGAACAAAAGGGACATCCAAAAACTTACCGTGCTCCGACAACTACTTGTTGCCTTGCTACATCAAACAATAATTGAGAATATGTAGTGACCCCCTCTTCTTGAAACAACTTTCCCTCTTGAAGTAAATCTAAAAATAAAAAATTCTTATAGAACTATATAATTTAATATCAAATTTTATTGAGAAAACTTGTTCGTAATATAGTTTTCTTATTTCTAAATGATAAACTATAGAGATCATTCCTACACATATTTAATCTGAGGAATAAGTTTATATAAGAATTCCTACTGGAATTCTGGATGAAATTCCTAGGAGCACCTTCCAAAAAAAATCTTTTTACGTGGGAGATGTTATGTGTAATACTACAGTGATATCAAGGTGCTGCTTGGTAAGTTTCATAAAAAAACTAACAATTTTAGAAAATTGTTGCATAATAAATCTGATGTTAGATTTTCAACATTAAAAATGAGAAATTTAATATGACAAACCTTATCATTTTTATCATTTTGAATATCTAACATCAGATTCCAAATCAGCAACGCCATAGAACTCAATATTTAAAGTAAACGACATTTCATTCTTTAGAAATCGCAAGTTTTAATAAATAATTACTAACACTTTTCAAATGGATAACTTAATGCATTAAACGACTTTTTCAAACTCTAAAACTTGGCAATAAAGTACCAATTTGATATTAAAACAAATATTTAAATTTAAGAGACGATAGTTCTCCTGGTGCTTTTAGGAAACGCTGAATATAATTTAAACCTAAAAAATTCATTTACATGAACCTCCAAGAATCCTTTATAATATCCTACATAGGATCGTATCAGAATCTCTTGCAGAATATGGGAACAAGGATCTTTTATAACATTTATAAGAAAATTCCATGTAAAGGTTCTTGTACAGGAACACCTGCAAGGCCCTGCGCAGGGAATTTTTTAATTTTTTAGATGCTAAGGATCATTTGCAGGAACCATACAATTTTCGCAGATATGAACTATTGTAGTCTTTAGGTAGAACCTGCATTGGAATTCTTGTTCCAATATCCTGCAGGGTATCCTAACACAATCCTATGTAAGATATTGTAAACGATCTTTCGTAATTCTTGTAGAAGAACATTAAAGGATCCCTTAAGAATTCTGAAAAGGAATTTTAGCTAGGTGAATCATTTAAAATATGCATAATAGATTTTAAAAAATTAATTTAACAAAAATAATTTTGCTAAAATTGTGGGTTGTTTATGTATTATCATTATAATGATAAATCATGTACATGATTTCTCATTAGATAAGAATTATATTTATTGATTCAAATATTGACAAAAATGCAAGGTGAACCAATATCTGTTGGCAAAGGTAAGAAAGAAGTAAACTAAAAGAATATTGGTATATCATGAAGTAGATTTTTAAATTCATATATGTGACGCGCTCCCAAGAAAGGTACCTAAGAAGCAAAAAATTTGAGGTTATGTTTTAAATTTTTTGAGTAAAAATGCAGAAAGAGAATCAATTAATAATTAAAAATTGTTGTTCTTCAAGTCTTTATTATATTCAAAATATTTAATGAATATTGGTTTCAAATTCAAATAATTAAAAATGAACTTTTAATCAAGATAAATCTAACGCGAACTCAACCTATAATTCGTTTGCTTCTTAGGTACCTTTCTTGGGGTCGCGTCACATATGCGTTTTATATCAAACGTACATAAAATCCTTGCAATTAACATTTTTAAAAATGATTTAAAACGCATTCAATTTCATATGGCGTATTGAATATTATTTTTCATGCAACATTAGATACGATTTGTTTTTTCTAACATTTAATTATAAATAAGAATTATAATACACGGAAATTTGAATAAGACGTATATAACATTGAAATTTGCATAAGACTTATATTACACTAAAACTTGAATAAGATTTATAATACACGGAACTTTAAATCAGAATTATATTCTTCGGAATTTCGAATAAAAATTTATTATTTTCTACAGAATCTTGGATAAAAATTGCATTACCTACATGATCGGGTGGCGTTAAAATAATGAAAAGTTATTTTCAATACAAAACCATCCAGTCTCCCTTACTCTACCTTAAAATACTTACTGTAAAGAATTTCTTTATTTCTAACTTAACGTTGTGCATTAAAGTGCGCATAAAATGAACAAAGTAAATAATTTATTTTAAACAGCTAAGCTCAACGACTTTATGCAATCACTTGGCAAAAGAAAACATACAACTTAAAATAAAAAATATCAATCCTTCGAGACAAAGTAAAAAATTCAGATATACTGTACCTTCATATGAAATGTGCCGAAAGTCTTCTGAGGCATGACATAGTGCCATGAGTTGTAAAATCAGTACGATTCCCAATTGGTACTTCATTTTTGTTTCACATTAACTGTTGTTCCTGTTAAAAAACAATTATTATATAAAACCAATTTTAAACTAAACATATTGTATTGATTGGGTTTTCAGGGTTATTACCTTAAAACTTGCATAAAAGATCTCATTCTAATTTTAACGTAAAGAATCTTAAAGAAAATCAGTCAAGCTTATTTGCATATTTCATAAAACTAACCAATGATATAACTTGAAGCTCATTTGCTTCAATCATCGGGGTTAGGCAACCTTAAACAGAGTTAGCACACCTTGACCGGAAATCTCTGGTATTTTTTACTGCTATCGAGCTGCATCAAATGGGAAATTTGACTATTTCATTATCTATTAATTGTTTGAAAACCACAGAAATGACCTATTGCTGAACCGAGAGTACTAAAGAGAGGTTTACAAAAGTTTCCCTTGTCTTTGATAAGAAAGTACAATAAGGGCTAATAAAAATACAAATGAATCTTAAAATTTCGACCCTTCGAAACTTAAAAAAAATACCAAGTTGGAGAAAACTTAGTGACCAATAGTATAGAAAAGTAAAAAGGAAATAAATAAGAGGGATCAAAGTCAGAGAAGTGAAAGCGTTAGCGTTTGTAAATACATAATAATAACAGCTGTTTATAAAAGCTAGAATGTTTATTTTAAACTGAAATTATGTAATTAAAAAAAATTTTTAAATAACCTAATAAAAAGTTAGATACAAAGACTGCATTTACGAGTCTTTGCTGGGTTATTTCTTATATTTGAAATTATGGATTATTTAAATCAAATACATTTCATTTTCAGTGTATTTATTTGCAGGGTTGCTTTCTTTCTTCTTATTTGGTTTAGAGCATTTTTTATTTATTTTCATTATAAAATTTTTTGATATAAATAATTTGAATTTGAAGCAAATTACTGTTTATTTGCTACGATCAAATAAAATATTTAAGTCAAGTAAATGTTTGCTTGGTTCGAATGTACAAATCATTTAACTGAATCAATTTATTTAATCCAAATAATTTTTTTCAATATACCGATTGTACGTAAAAAATGATTAAAAAAGTAAATGTTCAAAATTTATATGATGAAAATAACCAATTTCTTATTGTTTATACTATCAAACAAATATATTTACTTCAATCAAACAATTTTCATTTAAGTCAATTAAATTGTATTTCAAAAAATTTAAGTATTTGAAGCAAGTACGATTTAATTAATTAATTTAAATAAAAATTATTTGAATTGAAGTAAATATTTTTTTAATATTAGACAAGTAATCGGTTAACTAATAAATGAAATACTTTTTTTAAGTGTATTCACAGCATGGAAAAAAAATATTGTATGGAATGTCATCGAATTTTAATAACGGCGAGAAATTCAGGGTTTAATTATGAAATTCCCTGTTATTACCAGGGCGCAACATTTAATATTCTGATCATTTCCCTTTTTCTCGGTCAGCTCCCCACCCTGTTTAATTTTTCACAACGTAGATTTTTTAAAATTTCTTTTCATTTCAGTAAAGCTCTAGAATTTTTAATTGAGTTTCTCCCGGCCTTTAATGGATAGGTACAAAAGAATAGAACAGAAGTGGAATTCATAATGGCATGACAAAAGGGGTCAAGTGTCAATTTTATGGTTTTACAGGAGGTAAAAAATATTTTTAAAAATTCTGCTGACCATTAAAAAAAAGACTATGAAAACCGTTTTGAGATATTATTCTTTACCAAAGGAAATACAATTTGCTGAGATAACTTTACATGTTAGCAAGAAAAATAAGTTGAAGTCTGCAGTTTTTTGAGCTATGTGACAAATGCTCATATTTTCTTTTAACATTAATTACTATAAAAAATATACAACTTGAAAAAAGTAAAAAATTAGTTTTATAATATTGAATTTTATTGAATTGACGAATCGTATGTAAAAAAAAAGTAGTTTTTTCCAGAATATTATGAATTAAATTACTTATATAAGAAAGCATTACCCAAATTTTCAAAAGTAAATTATAATCTATATATTTAAAAATGAACAAAAAAGAAATATTTAATTTGTTTAAAATTTCATAAAGAATACAACTATTCTTCAATAAACATAACATTTTTAAGCAAAATTAAACATATACATAATTAAATTTACCAACGTTTTCGTCGACGAAATGAAATTTGTTTTCTAAACAAAGTTTTTCTAACAAGTTATGATTTCTAAAATTTATTTTTCTGCAATTTGTGAAATTCCATAATTTTGATAAAAGTTAGAAAATTGTTAAAAAATTAAGATTATGAAATAAAAACTTATTTGCATATTTTCTGCTTATCAATCACAATTCTGTTCACAAAGTTATGAGTTTCTTTTTGAAAAAGAAACAAAATTTTGATAAAATTCCTATTTCTTATCACAATTTTTTAACAAAATTTTGTTTTTCTTCGAAAAAAAATAATAATTTGTATCATTTTCATACAAAAATTTCGAAAATTAATAGGTATATTTTTAAAAGATTTTTTTAGAAAATTTTAAATAAATATCTTGAGGGGAAAATCCCTAGAATTTCTATTTGTTAATTACGATTTTTAACTAGATTATTTTAAAATTTTGTTAAAAAATTTGCATAATTTCTATTCTTTTTTAATTTTTTTAAAAAATTAAAAAACGTTCATAAGTTTTATATTTCAATCATATACCTGTTGATCATCATTACAAAAATTGAATATTGTTAGAAAAAAAATAAATTTGATAATTATCTTTATATTAGAAAAAGAAATTTTTAGAAAATGACCTTCATTAGAATAAGAAAGAAAATTAGAAAATAACCTTAATTATGTAGAAAAAAACTTTTTTAGAAATACACCTTTATTAGAAAAATAGTTTTAGAAAAACTGTATACCCAAAGTTTTGATTTAAATTAAAAAAAAAAAAAAAAAAAAAAAAAAAAAAATTATTTAATTTGATTTAAACCAAAGAAATTGGATTTTTTTTATTTTTAAAAAAGAATCATGTTTTTCAACAGCTCTGATAAGTACCTACTTAAAGATATCAAACATAAAACAATATTTTTAACCATATTAAATATTATTAATATGGTTAATAATCATTTTGGTTTTAAACATTTTTTTGTTTTTTAACTGGGTTACATATATTGTAAGTGTAAATTGAGGCTACTTTGTTATTCTAATTTTTATTACAAAATAATTTATAAATACAATTAGACAAAAATTCTTTATTTATAGAAATGTATTAATGAATTTTCTTAATTATTTCATTAAAAAATTTCAATTTCGAAAAATTTGCGCTTGACATATTTTATCATATACCATCCTTAAAATATTTACAACTTTTACACTCAGAAAAAATATGTTTAAATGAAATACTCTATTTTGTTGTATATAAACTTTATTTTGGTTATTCTAAATATTTGATTTAACATTTAACATTATTTGATTACATTTGGTTGAGTTTCATAAATTTTGCATTCGAAGAAAGAATTTGAAGCAAATTTTTAGTTGAACGAAACAAATTTTTGGTTAAGTATCCCATTGCATTTATATTAAACAAAAAAAAAATTGTTAATTTAACAAAAATTTGGTTATTTCATACAAATTTTTTTTAGTGTATAAATATATAAAAGAGAATTGAAATTCGCGAAAAACGGATAAAACTAAAATTTTAACTCAAATGATCATTAAGACTCGTGCAGAACAACTTTAATGTGGAATGTAAGAGAGCCAGTTCGAATGCACTTTTTGCTTACTTGACATGATAGGTAACATGAAGTGGCTTGAAATACCTAATATCTCTTTCTCTCTCTGATAGAATAAGTATAAAATAGAAATTCTACCTTCCATTCGTTTAAAAAATTCGTTTTTCGATATTCCCGCGATTCTATTTTTAATAATACCAGATTTTAACCTATTATAAAATATTTATTTTTTTGCAATAAGCATTTTAGAAATTAATGCGAAAATTAAATTGCATTCCACAATATTATTGACTGCGAAATTCTCCAACAAAAAGGCGCTTGATATAAATTGATAAAAAAAAACTACTATATAGATCCTAACAGATTGACAAAGTATTTAATTTTACGATCCCTTACAGTGAAAAGTTCGAAAATTCAAAGTATTTGTAGTATTTCCTAAATCAATAAAAAAAAGACGTGAAACTCAATATTTAAAGAAGAAATGTGCAGGAAATATTTTATCAAATTTTTTGAAGGAAATTTAAAATTTACTTTCATATAAGATTTATCAATTTTGATACATAGGTAGATTACGGACTTCTTAGGAAAATGATTGGAAAAATCTATTGCACAACTCTGCGATAGAAGTGCATATTTGCGCATGCGTATCAGTTTGAATTTACCACGCAAACTTCTGCAAAAACTTACCACCGAGAAATCATGTCACAGCGCATATATTTCTCTGGAAACTTTGTTAAAAACTTTCAGTGCAACATACCGAACATCTTAACATCCTATATGAAACTAATTTATTATTTACTTTCATAAATACTGAAAAATAGTAAATCGAATATTTTTGTCTTTCAAAATATTGTTTGACAAGTAGAAATTTAAAGTTTGTAGGAAGCATAAAAAATTTAAATAGAAAACGCAAAAAAGTTCCTCTTGTTGGGGCAAGTTTGCGTGGAAGAAAGACAAATTTTTACAGTACCTAAATTTTTATAAAAATTAAAATATTAAATAAAAAAATATTTTATAAATGCAGAAGTTGCAAAATGTTTAAAATATTTTTTTTTATTTTTTATGCAAGTTTTCTTGGGAAAATTCAGAAATGTTGTTTACATAAAGATAAGGTCCTGATAGGCCTGAACATTTCTGAAATGTTTAATAATGTGAGAAGTATTTTTACTCCTTTTTCTATAAACAACATTCATTATATTTTTCTTCATATATTGAATATTAATTCTTAATAATCGAATGTATTTATTTTTGTAATTTTATGGTGTCTTACCAAGTGCAAAAATGGAGTTTCAGTTGTACGATGATATGGGACTGAGTAAATAATCCTTTTCGTCCAATTTGCATAGTGTTTGTACAGTTCATTTTTAGTAGCATGGCACATATTTTTTTGTACTATTCCAACCACAAATAGTAGTAAATATTTAATAAACATACTATTAACAATCATTTCAACTCACTCACACATACACACACACGAACGAAGCATTTAAATAAATCTTTTCGTTTCGCAAGAGAAAAAAAACATTCAGCTTGGGTGCAAAACATGATTTATAAATAGAAACTACGGTAGTCTCTTAATAATTGTGAGCCTTCCTAACTTTATACTGAATACTTTGTACTGAAAACAACTTTTAGCGATAAAAAAGAATTTTTTCGTTTCAGTAATACCAACAAAGACGTTTATTTTCTGTTAGGTTGGGTACTGTTAGGTAACGAGGCTCGAGAACTGTTAGGTATGTACTGATACGACTTCAAATCATGATGAAAGGAGAACTTTCCATTCGCTTGGTCGTGTAGGCTGTTGATGCTCTGACGTGGTGGTAGAAACACTTAAGTGGTTTGGTCCATTGCCACTCCATTGGCGCTGAAAGTCAGATTAGAGAGAGAGAGAGAATAAAATAATAAACCAAAGTAATTATTTCTCAAAGTAAAGACACTTTTTAGCTAAACTCAAAATACAGTTTTTCAACCTCTATAATTAATAGTTAATGTTAAAGAAATTTATTTTAAATAGCATAGGCATAGATGTATATAATATGTTTTTAATTTATTTTTAGAATAGTCCAGCCGTTTTAGGTTTTAAGAAAAATTTTACGACTTCTGTGCCAAAATGCTTCTCATTTTCGTTTAGGGTTTTGTAAAGTGGACGTTCAAAAAAACATTCTTTATCTAACATTTATATATTTTTTTGTAAAGATAATATCTGGAAAATTTATCCTACTCATAATTTTGTGAAAATATAATTTAAAAACATTAAACATACCTAAATTTATGATATTATTTATGCATTCAGTAAATGGTCATTCAAATTCCCTATAATATGGTTTTATTATAAGTTTTAACCAGATTAACGTATTCTTATAACCGAAAGCTGATTTTTGTTTCGACTTTGGTGTAAATCTTGTTGCTATTCTTTAGGAGTTATATACGATCTCACTTATTACTACACAAAATATCAAATTTCATTGAATTTATTCATTATTGTTAAAAAATTAGCGATTTTGACACTATTTAAAAAATAGTAATTAATGTAAATAAATTATAATTTTTAGTATAATTGATACCCTCTGAAAAGGTTTATTTGAGACAACTTAAATTTTGGTTGAATGAACCAAATAAATATTTATTGTTATTTTACAGTTCAGTTAAATAAACGTTTATTTAATTTAAAAAAATTGAATAGTTTTTTTTGCATGAACCGAACACTTTATTGCATTTAACAAATATTTTGTTCTACACAAGAAAAAGTTTTTATTTCAATGAATTAAAAAATTGTATTAAACTTATTTAGTCGGTTCAAAGAGACAACCCTAATAGTTGTAGTAGCGCTCAAAAATTATTGATCATTTTCATGAATTTCTTTTTAAAAAAAATCAACAACATTTTTAAATAAAACAAATTATTTTCTAAAATTAAACAACTCAAACTAAAAATTCCCATAAAAATTTTTGAAAAATATTCAAAAATAAGGATGTGATGCGCGATCTTGTCAAGATCTTCATAAAAAATATGATTTGCGGTGACCACAATTACAAGGTGCTTAATCGAAGGTTTGAAAAAAAATTATTTTTGACAAAATGGCAACCGCTCAAACTCAACGTTTCGATTTTCACAAAAAAAACTATGGTTTTTCAGCTGTAAAAAAATGTTTGCATTTAAGAAAATCCGTTGATTAAGGATACTAGATTTTTATGTACTATAAGAAAGTACATTATTGTAATTTTTTTTCAAAATTTTTAAGAAGAAAAATATTTAAAATATGTGTGAAGTATTTTATTTTATTTTAGTTTACTTTCAACAGAGTTTTACTATTCCGTAACATCACTGAGAAATAAATAATAAATGTATAATAGGTATATACAAATTTTAAAACGTCAAATTTATTTATCGACGTTCATTTTTCATCTGCAGCATTTTGCGGTTAGTTAATTCGGCTAAAAAACCGGTTAGTTTAACTTTCCTGGAGTGTAAAATCACGTACAAGAGCATGTACATATTCGCATGTACCAAGATCATGGACAAGAATTTATTATTATAAAATTTATGAAATTACCAATATTGTAATATCTTATTGTTCTTGTATTGTAAAATCAACTGCATAGCCGAAAATAGTTAAAAAACTAATTCCTCAAAGTTTTATAAAAAACTTTAGTTCGGGTGAAGAAAAACTAGTTCGTGAACATTAGGATGGTTCTTATTTTGAAAAAGTTGGAATTTCTTAGGTCACCGGCCGAAATTTGAATTAAAATGTGAAAAAGTAAGCTATGCACAAGAACAGCCCATTTAATAAATATGAACCCTTTTCCATTTCCTAAAAATTTGACATGCGACTACGTATTCTTATGGTTTTTAGTTCGCTGAACACGAATCTGATGTCAAAAATAACTTTTGACAGTTGCCGGTTATTGTTAAAAAAGTCTGTCAAATTTTGAATAATGAGAATTTTCACGACTTTTACATTAGCTACCACAAGTATAAAGGTTTCTTATAAAAATTTCAGTTTCAGTCAACTTTTATAAAATCAAGTTTTTCAAAAAATTTTAAATTAATTATAAAAAACGGTTCTGTGGGTAAATTTAATTCATATATAGGAATTTAATATATTTTGGCAGTTGACAGCTGTCAAAGTGTATTGATTTGCTAGATATAAACTGAAATTTTCACAAGAAACCTTTATACTCGTGGAAGTTAATGTACCTATGCGTAAAAATCGTAAAAATTCTCATTTTTTATCATTTGACTGACTTTTGACAGTTTTTTGACAACCGGAACTGTCAAAAGTTATTTTTGGGGTTCCGTACAACTGCGCTGAACCGACGGAACCCTATTGGTGAGACTCTTGCGTACGTATAGCCAATTTCGTGTCGCCCCCCTTAACTTCTAAAGTTTTTAACCTAGAGAGCTCAAATTTGGTACAGATATATGTATTTTTACACGTAGATTACAGGATTACACGATTTTTGGCCAAAATTGCATAAAAAGTGACTATTCCCCCCTCCTCCCTTTAACTTCTAAACTATTCAACATGGAGAGCTAAAATTTGGCATGTATTTTAACGCGAATATTACAGGAAAAATATAAAGAACTTGCTATGTAATAATGTTCATAGCGTTGTCAAGGAAAAACTAAAAAATTTTTGAAAAAACGTTTTTTTCCTCTAACTTTTACATTATTTGACCTAATCAGCTAGCAATTGGTACATTAGTGTATTTTTACAGGCTAGTCACAGAAAATGTATTTAAGAAAATTAAAAAAAATTGTTTTTTAAATTTTTTAATTGTTTTAAATGATTTTAAAATTGGTGTACAGAACCCGCCATTTTATTGCAAGTGCAACTCGCACTTGCCCAATTTTTTGATATTAGATTCGTGTTCGGCATACTATCACGGAGAAAAAAAGGTAATTAAACTTACACTGAAGAGTGTAAAACTTGAAAAAGTTGACACTCCTCAGGTAAAGTTATAAACAGAAGATAGTCCCAAAAGTCCCTATATGCACAAAAAAAACAATATTCTAATTTTAATATACATACCTTACTACACACACAGCATTGAGAATTTATTTATACTTGACAGGACCTCTCACAGAGAAGTGAGAAGTATTTAATGGCGAACTGTGTAATTATTTTAAAAGCCGCATCCCTGTAAAAAAAAGAAGTATTGCGAATCTGCATTGAAAATAGGCTATTTTCATTTTTTTTGTCAATTATCGACTTTTAAAAGAATTATCCAACAGAAGGAGAATCCTTTTTTTGATTTCTAGAAATTATAAGTTAATTTAATTAATAAATGTTGATAAAATTAATTGGTTCAATTTTATGGCTTCGATTATAATCAGGCCAATTCTTTTGTAAGAGGTTAAAATATTACAATTCGCTGACTGAAATGGGAGGAGCGTATGTGAATAATCATTGTTTAGATATTTTCTAAACAATGTAACACAAAGTATTTTTCAGTCTTAATTACGGAAATTTAGTCTACTTTATCTCTGAACGGAATTTTTTTTGTGCATGGCTTTATAGATGTTATATTCAAATATGTAAACTGAAAATTGTTAATAGATTCAGAATAAAAATAGTCACAACAATATGGTTTTGATTACTTCAGTGAACACAAAATTATCACTCTCTAAAGTCATATTTATTTTAATACTAAAGTCTCGTGTGTTATATTAATTATTTATTAAATATTCGTTATTATTCTACAGCCAGCGTAGCGATCTTTTTTTATTGAATTAATTGGATCCCTATCCTATCAGCTTGAATCCGGCTGCATCCGGTGATCGAAGCTTTCATAAATGTCTCTAAGGCCGGAGAAGTCATCTTGTCATTTCGAAGACCGCCCATCCTCAATAGAAACATACTTAGAGTTGCTAGCTGGCACGAAATCTTGTAACAACGAAATTAATTAGCCGAAACACTCATTTAAATACATAATTTAAACATATGCTCCAAAATATGTATGAGTACCCCATGCTGTTCAATTCTTGCTATTCATCCCACGGAAATTTGGAATAAACTCATATTCTTTATATCAATTAAACTTCTAATATATGGAATGAGTTATGAAATTTTTTAATTCTTCAAGGTAGAGGTTATTATTATTTTAATTTCTAATACACAATTTTATCAAATTAAGTAAAATTAAAAATTAGATTTCAACTTAAGCGGTATAGTTGAATCACTATTGTTTTCTTGGTATAAAAATAAAAACCGCTGACAAGTTTTGTCATTGTAAATATCTCGTGAACACATTGTCTCCTCATAGAGAATGATGTTTGTTTAAATGTTTTAACTTATATTCAAAATAAATAATATACGCATATACAAATAAATATTTACCATAATTACAGTACGTGCTAACAAAAAATTTCCTTTTTACATTTTTGATTATTAGATGCCAATTACACTAAAAAGTTGTTTCTTTTCTAATTATTATTTTCTAATTTTAATTCCTAACTTTCCGTAAAATAGTTAATAAATGTTCAAAATTAGTTCAATTGGAGCGTTTTGGAATTTTCCATAATCTGATAATAGTTTAATTTCACAAAAGTTGTAATCTAAAATTTGAAAAAATTATATTTTTCACATTTTTTAAATACGAATAGCTTTGCAATATTTGATAGAGATAGTTTCTGATAGCCTAATCGATACGTTTTTAAATCCTCTAGAAATTGTTTCTGATTGTTTTTACACAAAGATTTTGAAAAAAAGATTTGAAAAATGTCGTATTTTTTAAAATATTAATATTTCTAAACAATATGACTGCAGAATGTTCGTTAAAAGGTCGAAAAATGCTTCCTAAAAGTTATCTACAAAATAAAAAAAAACTTATAGGTATCCTAACATTTTTTAAAGATTATGGGCGAAAAGCATTTCTTCACAAAATCAGGCCTCGGATCGACTTTAAGGGGCAAAAAAGTCGCTTTAATCGATTAACATTATAAAAAAAAGTTGAAAAAGTCGTTTATTTAATTGAGTTTTGTCACAAAAATTTTACTTTGTATATCCATGACCTTTCATTGAATTCTAAATTCATTTATTCAAGACTCGAATAATTTTGTTAAGTAAATATTTCAATATTTCTTAATTGTTTTTCCATGGAAAATAGAATTTCAAATTTAAACCTTCTGAAACTTAATAATTTCTGAAAATTACAACTACAACCCTTCCAAACTTTAATTATTTTCTACAATTTTTAACTAAATTTCATCTCTATATCTAATTTAAATTTATTAAAAATTATCAAAATCCAATTAATTAAAAAGTAATTGAATTTTTGAACAATATTTTTGAAGCTAATTTTCATCTTTATATTTGCAATTGAAAATTTTTCATTAAAATTTTCGAGAATTCAATTATTTTCAAAATTTTCAATTAAAATTCTTTAAAAGTTAATTTTCGAAAATTGTAATAAACTACTTGAAAAAAATTAATTATTTTCAATTAAATATTACAAAATTTTAATTATTCAAAATCTTTTTAAGTGTATACTTCGACAATTTAATTAGAAAAATTATTGAAAAATAATTTTTGAAAGATATGTCTGTAGAGTTAATTTTTACACTGTAAAAATTTTAATAAGCTGTATTTTATACTACAAATGTGATATTTTGTTGTAATATTTGAAACAAAATTCGAAAAAGTCACAATATCCGAGGCCTGCAATATGAAAAATGCACAAAAAATTTATTTAGACTCCGTGTCTAAGAATATTTTCGATTTTAAAAAGCGAAAACTGAAACATATTCAACTTATTTTTGTTCGGAATATTTTTCTAACTTGTTACCATGACTGACCATGACCTTCTCAATTGAAAACCTAAAAACAGCGTTCGCTTTTTTTACACAGAATTTTTATACTTTTATGAGAAATCAACTAATTCCAGACTAGAATGAGAGTAATTATATGATATGTCACTGTTTTGAATATGTACATAATCAGGTCAGTTACAAATATGTACATGTTTATTAAATAAACTAAAAATGTTTGCAATTATCAAAACTAAAAATAAAGACTAAAACTTATAATTGCTATAAACTAATGAACAAAACTGTGCATCTGTAAATAAAAATAAAGTATTTATGCTGAGAATTTTCAATACAATCATTTATATGATATTTTCGAAGTCACTTTATTTCATTATTAAACTTGTTAGGAGACCTGTTCGTTAATCAAATTACTAGGAATAAAATTGCACAGCCTTAGTCTCTATACAAATATATTCAATAACAATCACAAAAAAGAGTATTTATAATTGAACATTTACAATAGTAAACCTATTTTGTTACATATATATCAGGATGTATGCAAAAAGAATTTTTAAGTGCTTCCAAAAAAAGTACTAAACTCATATGTATTATACATAATTATAGAACTTTTTTATTGTACACAAAAATTTCTTCATGGACACGTTCATTTTTATATATATTATTGTGGCCCTTATTTCAACGAATTTTATTTTTTACTAATTTCGAAATAAACATCTATATTTTCCAATTTTCAAGTATTTTATTATTTTATTCCACGCCGTCTTAACTATGAGAGTGAATAATTTATTATTAATTTATAGAGAAATTGGAAGAAATTTCATCTAGCTGAAACTTCAGCATTATTCGTAAAAGTCTGTAAAAAGTTAAAAGTTTAAAGTTACTTTGGCGGGAAAAAAGAATTGATCAATCTTACGTTATTCAGATAAGAAACGTATACATTTGACAAATATTTTATTTCGAAATGTACGGGAATTAAAATTGTCTAAATAAGCACCACTTTAACATATACAGTCCAGCACTACGTCGGTTGATGTTAGAATAAAAAAAAATTGTACGTGATGCATGGATAGTCTAATGTTCTCTTTTGTATCTTATATGCCGTTGAGTCAAAATTTCTGAACTGGACCACCTAAAACTAATTTTTTAAATTTGTATTATGTCCATGCGTTTTCAAAAATTTTAATTTTTTAATTCGTTATGAACAATTTTTCTTTTCTTCCAAATCTTCGTAATTTAATTCTCTATTGATCTTCGGAGTCCAATTTTTGAATTTTTGTTTTTAAACATTGTTTAAACAATTAATTGTTATTTTTGTATAAATTGTACTTAGAACTAAAAATTATTAGTTCCTTCTCAATTGTTTAATTTTTTATGAGTAAAATATCTACTGATGATAAAAAAAAGAAAATTATTTATTTAAAAATTTTTGAAACAATTTATTGTTATTATTTTTGTCATAAACTGTGCTTAGGACTAGAAATTTTTTTTTCTGTATTGTGCATTTTTTTGTAACTAAAACTTTCAAGTATAAAAGAAAAACTAAAAATTTATTATTTAACCATTGTTTAAGAAATTAATAGTTTTTAATTTTTCAATTGATTGTATTTAGAAAAATCTAGAAATTTCTAGCCTCAAGTGCAGTTTATGAAAAAAATAACAACAATTAATTGTTTAAACAATTTAATAAATAAATTATTTTTAATTTTTTATCATTAGTAGATGCTGTACTTCTAAAAAATTACACAGTTGAGAAAAAACTAGAAATTTCTAGCCCTAAGTGCAATTTATGAAAAAAATAACATCAATTAATTGTTTAAACAATTTAATAAATTGTTATATTTTTTTCATACATCAGAAACAATCAAACATTATTTTAATAGGTTTTTTGATTAATTTTCTTAATTAATGAAGCTAAAAATAATATTTTTTACGATTTTATAATTTTTTTAATACTTATTGTTATTAAAAAAATGTTTAAAAACAAAAATTCAAATATCGATAGAGAATTTAATTACAAAGACTTAGAAAAAAAAAAGAAAAATCGTTTCGGTCAAGAATTGTGACCTGTAGAATGATTTGAAACGAAATTTACTCAATTTTTAAAGGTACTATAAAATTTTTTTTTTTTGAAATTAAAGAGTAGAAAACATAGGTTTTTGTAGTTTTTAATTTTTTTCGTAACTATTCCAGAAGTCACTTAAAACTTTAATTGTTTAAATAATTAACAATTTATTTTGCATAAATAATTATGCATTTTTTAAATTCTTGTTGTTGTTAATAGAGGCATTATTTTTGCATATCTCTACCAAATATTATTAAATTCTATCGAAAAACAACGAAGAAATAGTGAATTTTCGAAAAAGGTACTTTAAAGTTTAATTGTTTATAACTAATTGAAAAATAAAAATTTTTGGAAACGCATTCCGGGAATGTTTTTGTACCACCCGGCAGTAACAAATTATGTAATAATTATGTAACATAATGCAAATTTAAAAAGTTTGTTTTAGGTGGTCCAGTTGAGAAATTTTGACTCCGTTATAATGTTTATTCTAATTCATCAGCATTCGTATTATTTTGAACTAAAGCAACGAATGTTGACCCGCAGAATTTAAGTTAGTCCAGGCTCTATATAAGATATTCCCTTATCAACAGGCTTGAGATATACAAACGAAATTGTAATAAGAGGTAGATGATAAATGCAGTAAAAAAATTTCAGCCTGGAGTGGGAGGGCTTTTATGTCAGTGAATATTAAAATTATACTGCTTTCGACTAGATGTAATACGTAGCCATCGGCTTACGGCTAAAGGTTCCGGATGACAATTTGACCATGAAATGTCCTCAAAGTGAGGATACGGAGACGATGTGGTAGTTGCTTCGAGTTGAATGGCTGTTGAGAATTCTGGACAATAATCATGCTTGCTTCTTTTAACTTGACGACTCATAGAATTATTCTGATTATCCTCATTGTAATCGTTTTTACCATTGATTTGACTTCTTTGAAAATCTAGATGTTCCGTCGGATTAAAAATATTTAGTACGGACACTGATGTTTGAGTTTGATAATTTCTAGAAACAGACTGTTGAGTGGAAGTACTTGATCTGGGCAACTGAAGTACGAGATGAGAATTGTCCTTATACATTGAAACGGGTGAATAAATAGACGAGTTTACAGAGTCGATCTCCATAGGCGCATTGGTTTCGAGAGCCATTGTGACAATTGGTTGTCTCACTGGCATTAGAGGAGTTCCCATTTGAATTGTCGAAGAGCTAGAGACTGGAAGTAGCATGGCTACTGGCGATTCTTCAGTCATTGACGATCTTGGCGAGAGCGACGGTAAGACAACTGATATTGATGTGGTCATGCCGGTTGTGGAGGCTGTGGACTTGGCTAACGTTGATTCCAGTCTTAGTTCTTCATTAGCAAAGTCATCTTCCAGTTTTGTCTAAAACAGAAACAATGATGTAGAACAATCACATTTAGAAATCTGGAGCAGTCTTAAAACCCAAAAGAAACCATGCCTTACAGGTTTAGTGGAGCCATGCGGGGCCAGACACCGATAAAGCAAATCAACAGCCTGTAATAACAAAACAAAAGGAGGTAAAAGGAGATAACTGGCACTCTTTTCGAATATAGAACAGGCTGATTGGGATAAATATAAACTTTCTGGGTTACATTATATCACATCTTTTAACAATGGGATTAAACGATATTTCTATTTAAGGACAAACTTTTAAATTAAAACTTTTAAATTAAAGAACAAAAACATTTTCTCTATTTTAGAAACAAAAAATAAATTAAAATTTTATATAGAAAGGTAAACTAAAAGAATCGGTTTCTTATTAACTCAATAAAAAAGTATTCATCAGAGCCGATGTATGTCTGAAGTAAGGAAAGTGACAATTTTTTTGGTGCCAAAATTGTCCTAAATATTTTTCTTTTGAAGCATTCAAATGGAAGTTTTATAAACAGAGTATTCAATATAAATCCTTAAGAGAGGATCAATGGCGTTTGGATTTCTTTGTTATGTGAGTCCTGCAATTATTGTCCAGCGGAAACAGCATTGACGTTTAATGTTATTATCAATCATTATCGTCATCAGGTCTTTCAATAGATTCACGTTTAACTGATGTGAAATTGATAAACAAACATTTCCCAATAAATTTTTCTCTAAACACAGATAATTTCCATAAGAACTACCAACACAGGACAAAAGTATGCAGAGAACACAGAGGCTCAGTTATTAAATGATTAGGATGACATTACTTTTGCAAACTTGGGCGTTCTAGGAAATGAATTAGCATACACAATTCTTTCCCTTACCGCGAATCATGGATCAGTTTTCATCAGTTTTTTGGCGAGTTGGATCGAACGAACCATGAATAGAAGTTTCATTCCCGCGAAATTGGACAAATACTGTGATTAGATTTGCTGTTTGTTGGGCGCAAATTAGAGGTCTCACATAACCAAGGAATTTTAAAGACCAATGATCATTCTTTAAAAAAGACGAAGAATCAGAGTTTCATTGGTCTATGGAAACAACAAACATTGGCTTTTAAACAGTTTTAATAAAATTATTAGGAGGAATAATTATACCTATTATTAGGACAAGTGAAAATATGTTCTAATATTAAGGCCAGGTTTCTCCAAAAAACGTGTTTTTTTAAAACAAATTTTATTATATTATAAAAAATATTTATCAACCAAAGTTTTTATAGTTTAAGAGGCATATAAGAATACTAATTAAAAAAAATTTATTTTTTTTTTGCAATGGCGGCTCCAGAATTGTCTGCTGCAGCACATCCCTTTTGTTGGTGGGTGACACGGTAAGTCAACAACGAATCATCTGAAAGCAAAATCAAAACGTTTTCTTATTCTGTATGACATTGGCTATGGCCGGTACTACAATGAAACATTTTCACAAAAAAAAACAAAATGGCGGACTTTTTAATTTTTTCACATTAAATTGTTTATAACTTTTTTAAATAACAATGAATATTTTTAGTTGTAGTACCGGCCATAGCCAATGTCATACAGAATAAAAAAACGTTTTGATTTTTGCTTTCAGATGATTCGTTGTTGACTTATCGTGTCACCCACCAACAAAAAAAATTTTCTGCAGCAGCCAATTCTGGAACCGCCATTGCAAAAAAAAAAAAAAATTTTTTAATTAGTATTCTTATATGCCTCTTAAACTATAAAAACTTTGGTTGATATATTTTTTATAATATAATAAAATTTGTTTAAAAAAACACGTTTTTTGGAGGAACCTGGCCTTAAGGAAGGTACAAATGTGTACGCACCAAACAAAAATAAAAACAGGTTTAAAAGAGGATGTTAATTCAGGAAAATAACACATTTAAAAATAATACAATAAATATTTTTTTCAAATAGAAACATTAAATAAGAATATAGATATTACTGTAACACAAAAAAACTTTTTCTGAAGAAAGGAAAGGAATCACAAAATTCAGTATAAATAAATACGTTTCCGTTTTCTTTACGATATTTTCTATTCCTAAAGCACAAAAGTGTCGATTTCAGATATCATCAGACGACAGGAAGTAAAAGTCATTCACTTGTTAGAATCGTATGTAGATATGGCGTACATTTTCACACGGTTGTGGGGATTGGCCAATAGATCTCGCATCTACGTCAATTCCCATATAGATCTCTCACAAGTGCAATACGGGATAGTCTTGTAGCATATATGGGGCGTTATTTCTGAACTGTCACAAGTGCACGATTACTGTTTCTGTGCACGTGTACGTTCAAATAAGAATAACTCCTATGAAAATAAAGTAATTTAAAAAAACGAGTAGGGTTTTGGAAAGCTCTTTTTACGTACTTAACAATGGTTTTTTAAAAATTTATAAAAAATAACATTTCCATTCAAAAATTAAGAATAAAAAATATTTTTCTATTTTTGATTAATTCGGACATCTTCAATTTTTTTCGGAATACCTTCAAAAGAAAGTAAATTTTCTCACCTTTAAAATGATAGTTTGATCAAAATGGGGAGTTTAAAAGTTAAAGTTATAAAACTCCCCATTTTGATCAAACTATCATTTTAAAGGTGAGAAAATTTACTTTCTTTTGAAAGTATTCCGAAAAAAATTGAAGATGTCCGAATTAATCAAAAATAGAAAAATATTTTTTATTCTTAATTTTTGAATGGAAATTTTATTTTTTATAAATTTAAAAAAAAACCATTGTTAAGTACGTAAAAAGAGCTTTCCAAAACCCTACTCTTTTTTTTAAATTACTTTATTTTCATAGGAGTTATTCTTATTTGAACGTACACGTGCACAGAAACAGTAATCGTGCACTTGTGACAGTTTAGAAATAACGCCCCATATACAAGTTCCGAATTTGCTTCCCCCGTCTAGGTACTGTACTGATGAGTCCAAGTAGTGGGGACCGGGACGAAACGATATAAAGTGGTCTTCATACCACTCTATGGTTGATATATTTTAAATTCCCATACTGTCGAACAAATAAATAACCTTAATCCTTGTCGTCAACTATCTAAAAGCTCCAGTTTATGAAAATTAACTTAAATATCTCTTCGCCAGGAATACGTCGTGAAGTAGAAATAAAACTATAAGGTAGTAATGTTACTACATTACTTCTAGTAATTTTTGACCCCCCACAAGTTGATGAAAGCGACCGAAATAATAATTTATCGGACAAATAAAAAAATTTACTAACAATTTTAACCTATTTCATTTCATAAAACAAACTCCTTAGGCAGTTTAAGAAAAACTGTTTTTTAAATCGTTTCTGAGAGTAGAAACATTTTAATGCACTATTTAACGAATGCTGTCAGTATTTACTAACATTATAGATTATAACAATTGAAACCAAATCCCAAAACCTATTAAAAAGTTTTATATTGAAATGAGGTGGAAAACGAGTAGAATCAATATTAACATAAATATTTTTCAATGTAATTCATTGTGTGCTAATATAGCAGCAATATATCTACGCTAAGAAAAATAATGGAAAATTGTTATGTCACATATTTCAAGGTTTTTTTTCGTGGTTAAAAAAATGGATATTTAGACTAAAATATTTAAAACAGAACAAACATTTTTTTAATTGTTGAATATTTAAATTACTCAAAATTGCAGAGTAAAAAAGACTTGAAGAGGAAAAAGTATTTAGAAAAATTTTAATTAACTGATCGAAAATAAGATGCGAAAGAAGAATAATATTAGTTTAAAAGACGTTGTTTCCATTAACCCCTTAGTTCCATCACACAAAAGTGTGACTGTATGTTGCTTTTAGTTTCTTACTTACTTGCTTCCTAACATGAGGTACCGTCCAATGCAGTAAGTTCGGACATTTAAAATTGTGATTTTTATGACTTAAATATTTACTTTCGTTATTTTCATAGAACATCTAGTTACAAAGTATATAAAATACAGTTTTTACTTAAAATCAGTCAGTACAGTACATTGTTCACAAGTTTCAATTGTCCGAAGTTAGTCTGACTGTCCGAAATTACCCTGTTTGACTGGTTGTAGTAAGTTTGCATTTTGAGAGTAGAAAGATTGGTTTACAATCGCCCCACACGAAAAAGGGCAAAGCGAAACAAAATCAATTACGTAATGTCATTGTTTTTAAATAAACAGAACACGAAAGAGTGAGGATTTGTAATATGAAGTAAAATACTGCAATAAGTGCACGGAGAAAATTTGTTCCTTATATTTTACTGAATTTTTCAATAAAGTTGGAATATAGCGGCATAATCGTAATTTTTAATAATTAAAAAATTTTTTTTTCACTAATGTTTAAAATTTAATGTGATATATTTATTTCTTACAAGCTAGTATTGTAAAAGTTGAAAAACAATTTAAACTGAACGTTTAGTATAAATAAAATAAAAGTTTAATGATTATTTTGAATACCTCCTTGATGGACATTAACCTTTCTGGAATAGTTCGGTAAAAGTTCCTTGACTTGCCTAAAGTGTTAGTTTTCAGGATTGAAATACTTATTTAAGTGCCCCGTAGTTATTTATACTTAATTATTTCATTATTAATTAAATTAAAATTCAATTAATTATTTTAAACACTTATTAATATAATTGTCAAATATGTAATAAATATTTTTAAATCATACAAAAAGAAAACATGAAATAGCAATATTATTTAATATTTCAGAAAGATTAATTTTCCATTAATTTAATAATTTCAAACTTGCACTTTTATTCAAAATATGCATATTTTTAAATTTTAACATAAAATTTTGAGAATAATTGCAACTGATCAATTTTACCGAACACTTTATCTTACGTTTTACCGAACTAAATTCAGTAAAATTTCAGGAATAAATTTTCTCCGTGTGTTCTTGGAAAACGTAATACGATTAATATTTCTAGAATCTAACACGTTTTGAATTAAGTATTGCCAATATTTATTATCATTTTTGAAATCAGCGCATCTGAAAACCTTTGAAAATATACGCATGCATTTCATTTTTCTAACTCCAACTTAATTTTAAAAAACCAAAAAAATTACTGAAGATACCAGAAAACAAAAAACTATCTATCAAAAATTTATATCTATAAGATACTACTTGGGAGGAAAGCAGCTTCATTTCATGTGTCTGGCGCTAGAAGACTAGAAATAGAAATCCTAAGGGCTTTAATAAAATAGCCAAAAAAATAGAAACTTTTTTCCAACTCATAGTTCTATAAATTGCATCTAATTTCCCGCACTATACTATTTTTAGATATATATTCCAAAATTGAACTTAATGGAACATAATTTTAACTATCGGAATTTTTAAGTTATAAAACTTAGATATTGGACAATGGAAATTAATCAATTAAAATAATTGAATTTCATAGTTCCATCTCACTTCTTTTATGAAAGGAGACGAAGAAACAAATGGCATTTAAGTATACTTGCTCAACATGTATTATACAAGAATTTCAGACACCTTTTCTACTCTAGTCTTCTTAGCCTGGCGATTGTGAACAAATCAAGTCTAGTTGACTACACTTCTGTTGGGAATTATTAGACAAACCCTTTTCATGATTTTTGCAACGATAATAAGAATAAAAAAAATCTTTTTCATTTTTTAAAACGATTTTGTTGTCAAATTTACTTGTCATGATCGAATCAATAAAGATCGAAAAATTATAACACCTGCAGAAAAGGTAATGAGCAAAATTTAGAATTAGATCATCAAATATGGATAGTTTTCAAATAATAAAATTACATGGCTACAAAAATTAACATACAAAACGAAAATATGGTAATGGTGTAACATGCACAGGAATAGACAAAAAATATCAAATGTGAACTGTCATGAAAATGCAAAAAAGTTACCCTAATGATGTCTATTATTATTAAGAATAAAAAACTGACTGACTAAATTGTGTATAAAATTAAATCTTAAGCAGAAAATAATTTCATCTTTTAAGTGGACTTTCTAAAATTTCATCAACCTTCAGAAAGTACAAAAAAAAGATGTTCTTTTCTGTTTTTATGAACTTTTAAAGTTATTTTTCATTCATAAGAACTAGGGTAGTCTGATGAATTCCGATTTTATTCGGGATTTTCAAGTGTAGAGAATAAGTCTCCTTTTACATCTTCATGCTCACTGATGCTAACTAAAGACTCTACTGAGAAATGACGAAGATATAAATACTCAGCGATATTAAAAGTTCCATTTTTAATTAAAATCTGTTTTATAATTGTGAACTTGAAATATTACTTAACAAAATATTTTGTAATCTATCAAATGCATAAGTATATATTGCAAAATCCACAATTTGTTCAAGTATTAAAAAATGTAATCACCAAAGTTGAATAAAAAAAATGAATGTACACACATAAAAAAGATATATCTTACCTGTGGCAGTGGGTAAGTATCTGGCAGTGATAAAACAGGCGGCGAACTAGGGGTTTCAGTTTCAGTTGTAGAAAGGGGAGTATTAGAACTTAAGGATTTGAGATTAGTTACGTCAGAAGACACTGTCACGGTGCCAGTAACAGTAAATTTTGCCGGTCTAGCAGGAAGCTCCTTGGCAGCTCGATGCTCCGCTAATAACTTGTCGAAAGCTTTGCTCCTTCCACTGACAGTCCGTCGTAACGATACAGTGTGTGCCTTGCAGGTGAGAGAGCGAGTACATGGTTTCGATGTTTCTTCATTCCAAACACCGCAATGTTTGTCGGGATCGTATTCTCTGTCTTTGAGCAGAGAACGATCTGCTTTGATTCTTTTCCGTTTTGTCTGTCCCACTGTGACTGGACTCTTGTTAGGGCTTGAAGAAACGACTGTGTTACAGAAAGACGAGTGTCCTGATAAAGTTTCCAATGGAGATTGAGGAGCAGAAAGTGATATGGTAGACTGGATATTGTCGTGATCTCCACTTCTTTTTATGGACGCGTGGTTCACTTGAAGCTGGGATGTTGAGTGACTTTTCTTTAACTTAGATAATTTACAGTACGGTGTCTTCATAGGAGATTTAGTAATAGGATTAGAAGGTGGAGGAAGATTTACCATACCAGATGGATGTCTCGTTTCTGAAAGAGAAGCGATATTTTATTAACAATAAAAAATAAATCATAAACTAATATTTTACAGTGACTACAAATTTTATACATTATTCATTATCAGATAAATCGCCTAATAATTAATGCACTTGGTCACCAAACCCTACAAATGTAATTTAAGTTGTATGTTTATTGTACTACATTATAGTATATGGCTTACTGAAGTATTTATCCCATCAGTACAGGAGTTTCAAAGAAAAGAAAGAATCTCGCACAAATGTTACTTCCCTTACTCAACCAATGGATCAGGAAGTAATAGAAAAAATGAAAAAACAGTACAGAATGAAGAAAGTCTTCTTCAATATTTAAAGGATTTAAACATGTTGAATTGCTGCACGCTAATTGCAATGGCATGGCATGAAATTAATTCAACAAATGTTTCTAGATCTTGGAGGAAGCTTATAAGCTTCTTGAAGCAACTGAAGTTTCTGTGGATGATAATGAAATGAACATTGATTCACAATGTGAAGACGAAAAAGAACAGACTTCATGTGACGGAAATATTGATACCGAAAATATGGTCACTTAAGCGTAAAAGTGTTTTCAAACCTTTAAAAAGTGGTATCAAAAACAGTCAAAATGTACAACTAAAGATATTTTATCTAATTTAAATAATTTGACTATTTTAATAAAAGATGTTAAAAGTGTTGATCAGTCCATTCGTAATTAGTAAAAAGATGTTAAAAACTTTTTAATTCTTTTGATCAGATATTTTATTCAATTTAGCTTATTTTTATCAAGCAGCATACATTGAATACAACAGTTCAAAAAAGTGCTGAAGATGAACGCAAGTAATGGATGAGACTGCTTACAAGGTAATAAATAATAAACAATGAACATGTAGTAAATATGATGCTCTCTTAATCTGAATCAGCAAAATTTACTGATTCCCAGCGATAAGTATCACCAAACTCCTTAATACAATTTCACTGAAGCGCCAAATTACTTGAGCGTCCAAACTTACATTAACCATTAACTTCAATTTGTCATCAATAAAATCTTTAATTTAAAATAGATATTACATACCCATATGTTGAATTAAAGCTTGCGGTTTGACTATGGCATTGCATATTTCGCAAACTACTCCGTAAAAACTATCTCTTTCTGGACAAAATCCATAGAGGTCAATGTCTGTAAATCAGAATTATTTAAAATATAAATTTACATTCTAAATGTTTCATTATATAAACTAATAAATATCATAAGTTTCTTAAAATCATATTATTTCAAAGGCTATTATATTCCATTCTATTCGCTAAACTAAGTATTCCACGAAAGTAAAAATAAAAAATTTTTAATTTAATTTAACAAAATTTTAAATTTTTTACTTTCAAGATTTCAAATAAAATTTCAAATCTATTATTATATTACTACTTGATCTAGACAACAGATTGTTGATTATGATAGTCATTTCCAAATTTATCAAAAAGTGTTAAATATGGTGTGAGTAACAGTATGAAATCTAATGTTTTTGGGTCGTTGATCACGAATGCAAAGAACGTTTTCAAAAATTGTAAATAGTAGATATAATTTATTTATTTACATTGGTAATGAATAGAAATATGTATACTAGACAGTTTGTATAAAGACTAGTTTTAAGATGTAGTGTACAACACTTGATTCAATATTTTGTTTAACCTTTGTTAACAATAAGTTTAAAATGTAAAAAATAATTATAAAAATCCAACTATTGAAAAGTTTTAGTAACTGCATTCGACGGTATCTTTCCTATTAACTAATTACGAAAAGTAGAAATTATTTACCGTCCACTGAGAGTCGTGTAACTGAACTTGTAGTCTCAACTTCCGATTCATCGTCACCTGAAAACAAATTTTTTTAGAATTAAATGATACATAAATTGCAGTAATCAAGCCAATAGCGCTTATCTCCTTATTGCACATAAGCCCTTAATTGTCTGTACAAGATCAACCCCAGTTTTCAAAATTACTAGACATAGAAAATGAGAGCGAAGGGCATCTTTTATATAACAATAAAAAATAAAAATCTAAAAGGAAAAAGTTTCATGTATTTACTTTTTACATTCTCATCATAATGAGAAAGTATTCAATTTATGCGATTTTGAGCCTATTCTAATTCCTGTGAATATTTACGTTTTAAGACCTGCTGATGCCAAAACGTGGATTTTGGGAACCTATGTTTGATTCGGCACTTTCTTTTTTCTGTCTAGAAAATTAGAAACCAAAATTCAGCAACTGTTTCCAGTTCGCGACCATTCCTACTACACCTGCGACCGAAATTTCGGTCTATACGGTCAAAGCATATTGAAACAATGGATCAGTGAAGCAGTGAAATTAGTTATTTTACTAATGGAAAAGTTAATGTCTTTAAAAATTGTGCTGACAACTTATCACTAGTACACTCTAACAACTACTCTTGATTTTGATGTACTGCTAAATGCTCAACCTGCATTTCCCATAGGGACAGCAACCGCAAAAATTATTTATGTCAAAGCATTGCTAAAGTATTTAAGTCCCAAAGGACAACTAATTTTTAACGATTTATTTGAATCAATATTCAACTTGTGTCAAACCGCCAAAAGCATCTGAAAAAATCTTAAGAAATCTACAAGAAAGTATAAAGTTACAGCAGAAGACACAAAACCTGGTAAAAAAATCTGTTAAAAATAAAGTAAAAAAGTTCCAAGGAATCTTTAAGTGAGTATAAAACGACATCAAAGAAGCGACAAATTTAAAATAAAAGACAAGTATACCAAAAAAATTAAAATAATAAGGAAATTCAAAGAAGAAAAGTTAGATATTATTTGGTAAATTTTCATAAAACCAAAAAAATTTTGCACAATCAGAAGAAATTTTATTATATGTTAGAGCAAACTTTTAAAAATGGGATTAAAAATTTAAAATGGGATTCTAAAGAAACATTCATGAAAATGATTTACTTTAATTTCGTTATTTTTATTTAAGGGGTGACATCACCCAGAGCACATAAAATGTAGTCTATTTTAATTAATTATTTTAAGAAAGCGATATAGTATAATGAAACTGGGTATTCTTTAACGTTAAACACATGTATCAAACTAGATTTAAAAATAACAAACTTTTTTTCTAGAAAATATCTCTTTATTGTAGTAAATCTCAACTGAGATCACGTTTTTCAAGACAATCTTTACGACCGAGAAGATTTCTCCGACGGTTTTTAACGGATTCCATTCAAATTTGAACTGTAGCTTTAAAACAGTATTGTTTAGAGAAATACATTGGATTGTACAATATACAATTGAATCCGTTAAAAACCGTCGTAGAAATCCTTCCGGTCGTAGAGGTAGTGCGTTTCGAAATAAAACCTGAAACTGGTTACTCGGGGATTTTCGGAGTCGTTGATTACGAATGTAACATCAGTTTCTCAAAATTCAAAATGGCGGATCCAATATGGCGGACGACAAAACTAAAAATTAATCAAATTAGGTTGAAATATGTGACGCGTTTCCAAGAAAGGTACCTAAGAAGCAAACGAATTGTAGGTTGGGTTCGTGTTAGATTTATCTTGATTAAAAGTTTATTTTTAATTATTTGAATTTGAAACCAATTTTCATTAAATATTTTGAATATAACAAAGACTTGAAGACCAACAATTTTTAATTAATAATTGATTCTCTTTCTGTATTTTTACTCAAAAAATTAAAAACATAACCTCAAATTTTTTGCTTCTTAGGTACCTTTCCTCAGAGCGTGACACATATATTACTCTAGAGTTTGCGAGGTCCCTGATAATCAGACATTAGTTTTTCAAAATTCAAAATGGCGGATTGAATATATTAATTGTACAATTTGACTAAAGTCTTTTTTCTACCCTAGACTAAAGAGAAAATTAAAAATTTTGTTTCCTACTCTTGTTAGAAAAAAGTATATTTCGGAGTGAATGGCCAAAAGCACTTACTATCACTTAACTGGCATAAAAGAGTTTGTCCGCCATTTTGAATTTTGAAAAACTGAAGTTAGATTCGTAATCAGTGACCCCGGAAACCTTAGGATACCAAGTTTCATAAAAATCCGTTAAAAAAATGTTTAACACACTTTTGGCCCAAACAGTGAAAATCTTGTTGACAACGAAGAGGTTAAAATTATACGAAACTCAAAAAGAAGCATTTCCTCGTAAGGCGTTAAAATTTTTTTATAAATTATCAACAATTTAAAAAATAGGTTCATTTTTTAAATAAATGACGATAATTTCCCAAAACATTATCGTACGACAATTTTTAAAAAAGCGTTTGAAAGATGATAAACTAAACTTTCAATTGCATTGCATGAAATATTTGTGTAATCAATTGTTAAAAAACTAAATTTGTTTGAAATTGACCCAAACAAATATAAAAATTTTGTTTATTGTTAACTTGAATTTAACAATTAAGAGATTTTTTTAAATTTATTATTTGGATATTATGAAAGTAGGGAATATTAACTTTGAAATGAGACTTTAAACAACTATTTATTTTTATTAGAAATTAAAATAAAATTTTTTTTTGCAATTGCTCTATTTGCAGTAGTGTGAACAAATCCTTTTTTTATTTTTTTATAATTTCCCAATTTTTCGAATTATGTTTTTTTATAAACAAATTAATTTTTTTTTAAATTTGGACAAGATTAATGGTAATTAATTTTTTATTTATTTATAGGGGAGAGGGCCCTAAGGTGGTCACCCATCTTTTGAACGACTGTAGATTTTAAATGGAATTATATATAAAGGTCAATAATACGGCGTTTGAAACTTTATCTTATTACCTAACTTCCTATCATAAAGTTTTTTTTATTTCATTAATAAAAAAAAAGTTATGGCACTTTTTAAAAAAAGTTGAAAATTCGACTTTTAAAAAAGTGGCCCCAAGGTGGTCACCATACAAAAATTCACTAAAAAAGTTTTAAAAAAATGTAAAAAACGTATTACTAAGTTGTTTATTTAATATTAATTGTTTTTCAGGATCACAGAAACATATTACATATTTTTTTTGCACTTTGTCCTTTCGTCAAAAATGATACTTTTTGTGTATGTATTAGATAGGTAAAATTTTGAAAATAATTCTATTTCATTATTATTCATCATAAAACTTAAAAATTGATAAAATTCACATTCACAGTGATAAATGTTGATAAATATGGCGTATAAACACATTTTCATAAAAAATCAGAAGTGACCACCTTGTGGCCAAAAAAGTGTCCACCTTAGGGCCAAGACACAATTTTTTAAACGTTAATGAAAAAATTGTTTAAAGCACAATATTAATTATATTCATTTGGAATATTATTGTACGATATATAAAGATAATTATAACGATTTTTACTAATTAAAAATGGTTAATTTCGATGATTTTAACACCCTGAGAAAAAAATTTCTCGATCATTTAAAAACAGAAATTTTACGACGTTCACGTTACAAAGAGACTCATACGACTATTTACCTCAAAACTTTACTAAAATCTTTGTCTTCTCAAATAATAAGAATAACAAAAAACATTTGAAGATACTAACTAATATACAAAAATTTTCTTAGGGTGACCACCTTAGGGCCCTGACAACCTTGGGGCCCTCTCCCCTACCTGAAAATATATAGAAAATTTTCCTAAAAGTCCCGAGATGGGTTGATTGAGTTTAAGGAGTTTAGAAGTTTTTTTCAAAATTCGCTTGCAAATTGCTCGTAAGCTACGCTACTCTTCACAGTGTGATTTTTTTTACAATTGACTGTTCGATTTCGGAAAAATAAAAATTTTCTTTCTTTGACAACTTTTTTTCTAAACTCAATACTTTCAAAGTTATAAGCTACTGAAAGTAGGTCTACTTTTAAAAATCCTAAATTTCGAAAATGCATAACTCGAAAATTTGGGCAATTATACAAAAAGAAAAAAATACGTATTTAATATTTTTCTATAAAGTACGAGAAAAATATATGTTTAACCGACTTTAAAATGTCATGGAAAAATTTCAACAATTATCACAATAACAAAAAAAGCACAATTTGTTAACAATTTCAATCTTTAATTATAACATCATTTAAAATTAGATATTTTTCAGGTACAAGAAAGGAGCTGGCCATCAAATAATAAATAATAAACAAATCAATCCAATAAATTGGTAAAAAATTCTTTTTCCAAACAAAAATAAGAGTCAGGCACAACTCAACTTGAAAAATCATTTTTGTAAAAGTTTATAACCTTTTCTTCAAATTTTTTCTGTACTGACAATCTAAACTAAAAAAAGAAACGTCAATTCTGAGTTGTCATGTTTTTCAAATCTCAGCTCAAATGGAAGGATTCTCAAATGTTTTTTGAAACGGCATGTTTTTCACGACTAATCTGAATTGACACCTTTCTGCTCCCAACCGACGAACAGACGCTTTGTCTGATATTTTAGATTCATTGAAAAATGACCAATAAATATAAATAAATATAAATTTGCAATCTTAAATACAGAAATTGTAAAATAGAAAAAATGTCATAAAGAGGTCTTCCCGAAATTTAAAGTAATTGCATTGTTAGGCCCGTCTGGAAAGAACAAATAACACGATGGCTTTTTAGAGATAAACTTAGGATAAATGTACGCTGTTAGTATGCTCCTGGATTTGCCAGTTCGTCATGCGTCGTCCTTTTCCCCACCATGCCAAATCTTTATCAAATAAGGTAAATACATTAGACAACATTCCACCGCACACCAATTTTTTTTTTTTTTAACTCAGTATTTCCAACTTTAATAATGTTGATTATTACAAAGAGATTTGCATAAAAAATTTGGAATACAGTATAAACTAAAATACAAAACTAACTACTTACAATATTTCGAGAAATAATAAACAAAACTTACTTAGTGGTTTGTCCCGTCCGATTCTTTCAATCCAACTCGACCACGGCTGTCCGTGAAAAAATGTAGGACTATCACTTCCTGACATTCCAAGAGCAAGTGTATTATTTTGCACCAAATCAACTCTTTACCCTGAGCGTCAAAATTTAGTATACTGTCAATGTTATTGTAAAAATGTTGGAAATGTTGCTTACTTTACTTTTTACAATAAACAGTACATATTAAAAACATTGAATAAAATGTGTAAAACGTTAATAGATTTTGATTTTTAAGTTGAAATAATCGTTTCATTGTATGTCGAAATTAATGCTAATATGTACAAGTAATACTAAGACATAAATGATAAACTATTCTAAAGTAAATTCACTAAAAACCAATAAATCATTTCAAAAAGTCTAAGTATGTTGATTATATGTAACCCCGGCAATAGACTTTTTCCAGGTAAATGACAGTTGAGTATCGCTTAAGGGATGGAAACAGTTCAAGCTGCGTTTACAATATTGCCTTTTGTAACTAGGCTATGAGAGTAAGAAAGATGGTGATATTTTTTATCTCTCTCGCAAGCATGGTCTAGTTACAAAATAAAAATAAGTCACATAATTTCGCATCTCGAAATAAAAAGACAAGAAGAAAATTCATTCTTTCCTATCTTATAAAAGGGCTTAGGTATAAAATAAAACGGAAACGCAAACATTTCATAGAAAACGATAGAAATTTCTTCTGTTATATAAAAATACATTGTGTACAAAATGTACAGTCGTGCTCAGAAATGCCTTCTTTCGGACAAACGTGTTGCACTCGTATGTTTACATGGAAATATTATGTCCGAGAAAGGCATTTCTGAGCACTACTGTACTCTAAAGGTGCTTCCATACCTCCGGTATTATTTTAGTTAAAAAAATCAGCTGGATAAATTTTTTACGTGTGACCTGATCGAATTGGCTGTACCAATTATTTCTTTTTCAGAGTTAATTTTTAGAAAACAGTAGTAATGAAATTGATTCGTAATGCCAATCAAATTAAATCACATAACTGTGAAAATTCATCGATCCTATCTGCTTGCCTAAAATACCGGACGTATAGTAGCACTTTAAAGATGGTTACACACTTCCAAATTTTTTGGCGAGCACCTAATTTTCACGGTCGTGAAACTTCACGTCACTAAATATCAGCCCGGTGACACTGCTTTACAACTCGTGGCAACATGCTGACTGCTGCCACCGCAGCGCTGATTAACTTTAAGGCCAATATTTTGGCGGGAATTTAAAAAAAAATAATATTATTTTAAATATTTATTAATTATTTTATATTAATAATTATTAATTTTGCAAAATATTGATAAATAATTAATAAATATTTATAAATAATAAAAATAATGTTATTTTTTTTTAAATTCCCGCCAAAATATTGGCCTTAAAGTTAATCAGCGCTGCGGTGGCACCAGTCAGCATGTTGCCACAGAATTATATGGAAATGTATAGGAGTGTCACCGGGCTGCTAAATATGATTGGCTCTACAAACAGCTGCGTGAAAATGAACTTTTATCAGAGATTATATTTAGTAAGGGTACAGTCACACGATCTCATGCAAAACTTATGGCAGGTTGCCATGGTAGCGTTCAAGAGTGAGAGAGATAGGAAATTATTCTATCTCTCTCACTCTTGAACGCTACTATGGCAACCTGCATGCATAAGGGTGGAGTCCCATGGCAGCGTTTTGCGTTGCGTTTTGTAACTAGACAATGGGTGTGAGAGACATGGAGATATATGTTTGCTATATTTGCACTCATGGCCTAGTTACAAAACGCAACGCAAAACGGTGCCATGGGACTCCACCCTTAGTTTTGCATGAGAAGGTCTGAACGCTCCCTAACGTGAATTTTCAAGACCTTGCTCTCCTAAAAATTTTGAAGTTCGCAAGTGCCTTAAGGCAGTGTTTACATGCTTGCGTTCAAACGCTGCGTTTTGCGTTGAATAATAAGATAAAGAAAGAAAGACATATAGTTTTATCCTTCTTACACTCACTGCTCAACGCAAAACTGTTGACTAACTAAATAAAAATTTACTCTAAACTTTTTCTACGCTGCGAAAAAATAATGAGTTAGAAAAGGACAGATATATGTTCGTGTGCTTTTCTATCTCATTCATCTCGACTCGCGAATCTATTGTGCATTGGCCTTAAAGAAGCAGGACGTGCAAAAGAAAATGACATAAGCTGTTTGTGTCCTTTTCTTTCCAATTCCCTGTTCCCGTATCCGTATTCTGCGTTGTCCTTACGCCTTCTGCTCACGTGGGACCTTGTGACAAGAAGTGATCATAATATTATATATTATATACTCAATTTAAGAAGTTGATAAAACAATATACGTCAAAATTTGATTTCGGATTTGAAAAGCAGTAAAAGCACATGACAGAAACAGATCCTTGCAAGAAAATTGCTTGTAAATTACAAACATGTTTAAAAGGTTAGTGTTGCCGTTTAAATAATTCAAAACCTTGTTGTATTTTTTATTAATTTTGTGTTCGCACAGACGTAAGTACCTACGGAATAGTATGCCTTATAATTTGAGAAATTTTACAAAAAAAGAAAGAAAAAATAATAAATTTGGAGATTTGTGTTTCTGAAAATGATAAGTGTACAGTTACGCACATGTTTGTCTAATAAGGTTATGTTGTCAGGCTTGTTTGATGTACACGATGTACACTCTCTAAAATAGCTTTTGCCGGTATTTTATTATGTAAGTTTATTCTTCCTCAACTGTGACAATCATTTTAAAGATTTACTCTGTTAAAAAGCTTGTAATTATACTTATTGACACATAAAACCTTTCACTCTTCAGCGATGACGTTTGAGATCTTTAAATTTTGTTTTCTAAAATCATTTTTATTCGACATTAGACGACCATGTTTTTTTGAACAAAACTTTTTTAATAATCGTTTGTTATAACTCATAAACAGTTAACATAACTTTTCAAACAATTAAAAATGCGGATCACAAAACCACTATATTTATTGTAATGAATATACAAAATTTTTAAATTGCAAGTACACATTTTATTTATAGAAAATTTAGTTAGGAATACATTTAAAAACAGCAATTTTTCTTGTGAATCATTTTTCTTTAATGCTTATAGAAATAATATCTATCCTTTACAAATTTTTAAATCCAGGGCCTCAATTCTCTTTGCTGGAAGAAAAAATCATAATAATTATTTTTATACAATGGATTAAACAATTTAATCTGTAAAAAAATTATTAAATTATGGCAATCAAAAGAAATTATCTTTTTTAGCCATCCATTAAAAGGGGTGATTTTTATTTAAAAAAAAATTAGAACAGTCAGTAATTTTTGTATTTAATTTTAAGTATATTGGATTTTCATTAACTAAATGATTAAAATTTATCTTATTAACATTGGTTTCAGAGAATGTTTATCAACCGTCTAGATGTGAAAAAATTATTGAAGAATTAAGACAGTGTTGTATGAAACATTCATCGCATTCCCTTGTTTGTGATGGAATAGACACAAATAAACCATACGAACATAACACAGTTGATTACGTAAGTCGTATTTTAATTTAAGTTATATCAAATAATAATTGGCCGTCCTAAAGTTAACATTTCATAATGTTATAAATTATTTTTAAAATTCAGGGTAAAACGGAAAAAAGAGTTACTCTCTCGACACAAAACGTACACAAAAAAAATTATTTCATTCAATTAATTCAAATTATTTGAAAAATATTTATCTCAACAAAAGCACCTTTGATGCAAAAAGTTCCGCCAAGTAAAAGTTTTTATAATTGTCCAAATAATTAGAGAAATAAAAGTTTACCAAATAAAATTTATAACTAATTACATTTCCGAATTGAGTCAATGTTTCACGTTATATTTTGAATTGTAGCAAATATGAAATTTATTTCATTTCACGATTAACATATAAGCAAAAATTATTCATCAATTATAAGTTAGAAAAATTATTGCCTTAAATAGAAATTTTTTATTAAAACAAATAATTAATTTTAATTTTTTGTCGGTGAAACGGTTTGAAATGAAATGCCCCATATATCTAGATTTTAACGCAATTAATTATATTCCAGAATATTTTACAAATCCGTTTAGAAGTTTAGGCTCTACGTTTGTCTGAATTTCAAAAAGTCACTATTTTTTCAGCTTTCATTGCTTAAGTTCTATAAAAGTATCGAAAATATTAAATGAACTTAACAGAATTCTTTCTTTTATCATTCTTTATCCAAAAAAAATTGAGCAAAATCGGTTATGATTTTCTTGAGTTATTCGATTTTATCTATAAACAGTCGCATCAGGTAAACTAAATTATTTAATTCAAATAATGCATTATTTAATCCAAATAATATACAATTTAATAGAAACAAATAAAAAATATTTGGATCAAATAAATAACTTATTGAAACTATAATAGTGGAATTAACTGTTAATTCAAAAGTGGGTGCTATATGATTCTTATTGAAAATTCTATGGAATATAAATCTAAATTCAATTGTTTGTGTAATAAAATGCTAATTGAACTGAAAATTCAATACAATATTTATTCAAGTAAATAACCAATAAAATTATAAATCCCTCTTTAATAATTATAATGTTAACGTAAGGTTTCATAGGAAATATTCTCTTCTTAACCTTGCATCTTTGAATCATAATAACTACATATTTTTCAAAATATTTTAATTAATAGTATTTTCTAGTTGAAAATATTTCAAGTTTAAATAAAAATTTTAACAAAATTAACCGATTAATTTATATTTAAAATTGAGCCTGTCCATAAATTTAAGAACTCGACAGAATTCTCAACTCCAAAACTTACTATGTTATAATAAAATTATTATGTTTCAGAAGACAGCAATAAAGTAGACCATGAAACGAAGAGCGGTATACAAGAACGCTCCTTTACATTACCGCTACCCAAGATTTTTCGTTATTGGAGGATCTATTTTGTGCACAGGATTATTTTTCAGTAGGCAGATTTACGAAATTTGGAATGCTCCTGTTATAAATAAAAGTGACATCATAAGAGATTTGAATATCCCCGAGTCGAACGATGAGTAACGGCACCGAAATCTTGAAGAACACAAGAACTCGTTTAAAAAATTATCCTTCCTTATTATTGCAGTGCCAGGAATCAGCTACTGCTTATGCACATTGCGTAATAGAGAAAGTTAGTTTAGAAAAAAATAACTGTAAGTTAGAATTCGATAATTTTAAAAAATGTTTAAGGAAAGCTGCTCAGCGGAAGTAAATGTAATTTTGGAAATAGACTGCAATTAGACACCGTAGAAGTTTTTATCTTTTTTCGTGAAAGCAAAATGAAAAGATTTAGTTTCAAGTTCCATTGTATAGTTGCTTTCCTTGTGCGTGTTCTTTTGGTGGCTTATTCAAAATTTCAGGATGCAAATTTTAATGTTCCGTATACGGATGTGGACTATGAGGTATTTACGGATGCGGCTCGATACATTCTTGATGGTTTATCACCTTTCGAACGTCATACTTATCGATACAGTCCGATATTAGCTTTAGTTTTGACACCAAATATATTTTTATCTCCACAATTTGGGAAAATTTTATTTTCATTCGTTGACATTTTAGTTGGATTGTTAATTTATAAATTGGTGGTTATTAGTAAACCGCGTGAGGTAAACGTCGCAACGAAATGCGCCTGTCTTTGGTTGTACAATCCGCTAACAATTGTCATTTCAACCAGAGGCAATGCTGACTGTTTAGCTGCATTTTTAGTTATTCTAACTATATACCTTCTGCAATCAGAATGTCATGTATTGGCTGGTTTAATTCACGGACTTTCGATCCACTTCAGACTGTATCCTCTGGCACTAAGTATGGCCATGTTCTTCTCTCTCCGAACGCCGAATCGTGCCTTTGTGAACATGAACCAAATCAAATTTACCTTCTTCTGTCTCTTGTCTTTAATAACTTTAACTGCAGTGAGTTATTATTTCTACGGTTACACATTTATTTACGAGAGTTTCTTGTACCATTTGGTGAGAAAAGACACCCGTCACAACTTCTCAATTTTCTTCTACCCTCTTTACTTGTCTATTAACAACTCATACTTGTCAATTTTTCGAACTTTCAACAGTATCCTCCAACTTGTGATATTGATTTCAATTTCCGTTTTTTATTCATCCAAACGCAATTTGTCATTTGCTCTAATGCTGCAAGCGTTTCTTCTCGTAATATGCAACACTGTCATGACGTCACAATATTTTTTCTGGTTTTTGTGCTTGTACCCACTATGTTGTCAAAAATTAAATTGTGGGTATCTTCAAACCTTCAAACTGTTTGGAATTTGGATGTTATCGCAAGGTGCATGGTTGTTGATGGCTTACATGTTGGAATTTCAGTCCATAAATACTTTTAGTTACATTTGGATTGCGAGTATACTTTTTTTTATCACTAATATTAAGGTATTAGTGGAAGTGGTCAAAAGTTATGAAAAGAACTAATGCATCAAACAAGTAGTTACGCGACGTAATGCTGTATAATAAATATGTAGTTATAATTGTATACATTTTGTATAAAGTTTACAATAAAGAGGCATTAAGTTTTCTTATAAGCTGAAGAAAAATCTAACAACTATCAAATTAAGCTTATTTATTTTGTGCTTACAAAATTTCAATAAATCTTTAGAAATAATTAAATTCTTCTCCGAAATTCAATTATTTTCAAAAATTTAAATAAAATTTTTGACAAAATTCCAATTATTTTCAAAAATTTTCCTTAATTCAATGATATTTATATATCAACTATTTTAATTAAATTTTCCAAAAGAATTCAATTATTTTTAAAAAATTTAATAAAATTTTACTCAAACCTTTAATTATTTCCATAAAATAATAAAAATTTCACAGGAATTCAGTTATTTATAAATTTATTATAAATTTCTTCGCAATCATTCAATTATTTTCATAAATAATAAAATAAATATTTATTGGAGTCAATTAAATGGTATTTGAACCAATTTTAAATAACAATTCTGTGGAATTAATTTTTTTGAGAAAGTTTAATTGCGGAATTTTTTTTAAAAATTATTTAAAGTTTTTATTTTTTAATAAAAATATAATAAATATAATATAATATAATAAATATAATAAATAATATATTTTATTGAAGAATTTACGAATAATTGAAATTTTGTAAAATTGAATTGTAAACAAATAAATTTGAAAATTCTTAAAGAACTTTTTCAAAAATTACTAAAAATAATTGAGAAGAATTTTAGTTAAAGACAGAAAAAAAAATTTAATTTTGGAAAAGTTACAAATTATTGGAGAAATTCAATTATTTTCAAGAGTAATAATATTTTTTGCAAAAATTAAATATTGTTCAAAAATAATAAAATTCTTCTTAGGGATTCAATAATATTCACTAATGATATAACTCATTGCAGAATTTCATTTATTTTTAATAGAATTTTAATCAAATTTCTTTAAAAATGTAAAAATTTCATTAAAATTCTTCGAAAGAATTCAATTATTTAAAAATTTGTTGATAAAATTCTCTATGAGAAGTGGATTTTAAGAAACATTCAATTATAGCGTGAATTTCGTAAAATTTTTAGAGCAATTAAATTATTTTCAATACAATTTTAATAAAATTTCTCAAAAGAATACAATTATTTTTAAAAATATAAATTAAATTCGATTATTTCCAAGAATTTTAATATGAATATTCAATTATTTTCGATAATTTTGATGAAAATTTTTTTAAAAAATCATTATTTTAAAAATATTTAATAAAATTTCTTCATAAATAAAAAAATTCTTCAAAGGAATTCAATTATTTTTATAAATAATTAAATGTTTCGGAAGAATTCAATTATTTTCAATACAATTTAAATAAAATTTCTCGAAAGAACCGTAAGTGAGGCTAATTTCGCTCATGGAGGGTAAATTCGCTCAACAGATATGTATTTTTTAAAATTCGATAAACATACTTTTGAGACAGAAATATTTAAGATTTACAATATTGTTTTGGTTAATATAAATGCTAAACTTTAATTTAAAATTTATTTGACGCAAATTCATTGGTATAACTTTCAATACAAATTATATTTAAACCACAAGTGAATAATTTTCATATTGAACAAGTATGTAGTATGAAAATATAGGGACTAAAGCTTTACTTCAAAATTTTTAAGTTGCATCCTTCTGAACATTACATTTCCTGTATCTCCAACATGATTTTCATAAAGCACAAAATTAAAAGCAATAAATAGATTCTGCAAAAAATTAATTTAAAAAAAAATTAAAATTTGTTGTGTAAATTCGCTCAGAAAATAAGTGTACAAAAAAGATGTTTGGGCCTGGATATTTTTAGTATGTTAATTATTTTAATTTACAATTCGATTTTTTTTAATAATAGTACTCTTATAACTGAAAATTAAACGATTTAAAACGGTTTAAGCACTAAACTGCCAAACTTAACCTTAATTTTTATGGTTATGAGTACGTTTGATTGAATGATTGAATTTAATTACTTATTGATAAAACAATATTAAATATTTATTCCAAAAACTTTGGATATTGTTCTTAATTTTGTTCTTTATTGATTCTAAAGAATATTTAGTTTTATTTTTGCAGATTATAATATATATTTTGCCAGAATAATAATGGTGAGCGAATTTACCCTCATTTAAAGATAAAGTCGCTCACAACAAAACGGCTTATAAATAATTTTCTGCAACATATTTTAATTTCTTTATGCAGTAATAGGAAAGAGAAAGGGTTAGAGATTATATATTTTCAGTGCCAATGTTTATTTTCATCGTTTCCCGAAGTTATTTAAAAAAGAATTGAAAAATTGAGCGAAATTAGCCTCTTTTACGGAATATACACTTATTTTTTAAAATATTATTTAAATTCAATTATTTTCAAGAGTTGTAATAAAAATTAAATTATTTTTATAAATTGTAAAATTCTTGGCATGAATTCAATTATTTTCGTAAATAATAAAATTCTTCTGAGAAATTCAATTATTTTCAATACAATTTTAATAAAATTTCTAGGAAAAAATTCAATTATATTTAAGATAAGTTCAATTATTTTTACAAATTGTAATAAAATTTTTCTAAACAATTCAATTGTTCTCAAAAGTTTTTAATAAAATTCTTTGTAAATTTCAATTATTTTCAAATTTTTTGATAAATACTTTGTAAGAATTCAATGATTTTCAGTAGGTATATTAATTTTAAAATTGAAAACATTTAAAAAGGGAAATTATTTCAAAAGTTAGGAAACAAAAAAGCAAGCAGCAACTAATTTCAAACTTCGAATAATAGATTACCTGAATACAACGATTATTAATAATATAGATAATCGATAGAAATAGAATAGAATAGAATTTTAGTTAAAAATTCTTTAAAATAATACAGTAGAACCCGGTTAATACGATTCTGTAGGGACCGCGCTAAAAATGCGTCTTATGCGGGAAAACGTATTAAGCGGGAAATAAAATGTATGTCTTTAATTGCAGGGACCACTATAAATGAGCGTTTTAAGCGGGAAATCGTATTAAACGGGATCGTATTAACCGGGTTCTACTGTAATTGAATTGATAATGATTTTATTACTCGGTCATCTTTAATTATTATAAAACATGAAGAAATAGATCACTCCGAGTTATAGATATATCTTCATGTTTTGTAGTTATGAAATTTTTAATTTATGTTTCAAGTAAAATGTTCTCTTATTTGACTCGGACTGGTTATATTTTTGTCAGTAATTGGTCCGTAAATTTTCACTTTTGGTATAAACAAAGTATAAAAGCAATCGAAAGACATGATCAAAAAAGCTGGACAGTTCACAAAAATCACACCATGCAATTTTAATGAACAGTGACCAACTGGGGTTAAGAACTTAATTCTTCTACATTATTATAACTTTATTTTATTAAAATAATTTAACAATAAAACAGCTGTAATAAGATTTCACTTTTATAAATATTAATCCGACATTTTATTTCTCTCAGAAAACAAGTGGTAGAATTTTATGTCGTCCCATCAAAGAAAGTCTTTATAGTACTCAAAACTTGTTCGGGTGTGTATTTAATATATTTCCCAGGATTCTTTGAAAAAGAAGTTTTTCTGTACTTATTGTAAAACTCAACATAAACTGGGGTGAGAGAATTACACAATTCCTTTCTCAAATCTGATCTCAAACGCGCGTCCGGCACTGAAAATGATCTCTGATGTTTTGCAACTTCATCAAATTCTTTTGTGAATGCAGAGAATTTTTCCTTTATTGTTTTCGATCCTAATTCTGTAAAGAAACAATTTATTTTATCAGAAAATGAATTATATTTCTTTTCCTCTTGATGGAGGATGATTGTAATATTTTTTTTGTGCTAATGAAGTTAATAATCCTACCTGTATCATCATTAGCATTTTCTATGGGTACTTTAGCTTTGCTAAATGTGGCGGATACGTAATTTATTTGGTTTCGTAGAAGAAGGTCGTCGTACGTTTGTTCAGCATTTGGTTCAGCCAATAATAATAATTCCATTAGGGAACTTCTGCGAAGAGCGTTTATCACATAATTATGGTTATTTAGTCTGAAGAGAGCACGTAAGGCTGGATCTGAGTAGGAATTGTCACTTCTACTCACTAGAGATAAATTTAATTGGGCTAACACTTTTTCTGAAAGAAACAGAATTAAAAAGTTATGTTATGAATATTTCCTTAAACTCAAAATAAAGATTATAAGAACAGTTAGCTTTTGAGTTAATTGATAAAGTGAAGATAAAATTATTAACAAAAAGTTGTATACTTATGTAGGATCCTAAAAGTGCTCGATGAGAATTATCCTTGGATGCAAATGAAGAATCCGTTTCGTTACGGTTGAGAACACTGCTCACAGTATCAGTGTACTCAATTAATTGTTCAAGAAATACTATTACATTACTAGTGCTTTCAGCCACTGTTCCATCTTTCGGTAAAGCGGTTCCCGCTTCATTTCGTACACTTTCAGCAAAGTCTTCCAACGCTTTAGCTCCCTAAATTGAATACATAAACTCAATTTTTTTACAATCTTATAGATAAATAATAATGTTTAAATATTTATTTAAAAAAGAAGTTGTTAATGTTCTTCAGGGTCAGGGAAAAAGTCAAAATTTTGTGTCAACCCTGTTATGTATTTTTTATTTTACTTTTAAACTTTGAAATAAAAAACTCACAAAATTAAGGAATAGACCTTTTGGTTGGGTATTAAATAAAATTGCCAAGAGGTTAAGAAATACGAAGAATGGATTCTTACCGTTGCATTTAATGTCGATATCAGTGATGCAAATTTTGATCGTAGGGTGTAATCGCAACCCTCAACAGTTCTTTCAAAATCTGGTTTCAATTCGCCCAGATGTTTTAAAATTGGAAAAACAACTAAAACAGCAGAAAAATCGCGCCTTCCAATGCAACGCTTCGCTCGTGACGCAATATTTTCTCCATCATGAACCACAAGATCCATAGCGTCACGAACGGTTGCTTCTAAAACTTGTGGCTGTAAATATGATGGTAAAATTCTAGCAAGCAGAGAGCGCTCTGACTGAATAAGTTTATGTAAACTAGCAGTTAACAGAAGATAGTTTTCCATTTCTTGCTCTTCTGGAGCAGTGTCTTCCACAATAACGTTCGACGGCGTCGGCAACTGTCTCCTTGAAGAAGGAAATGAGAGGCCTATTCCAGTAGTTTGAGATGCTTTTAGAAACATTTTACTGGCCTTTTTCTCCAAAGCATGTTGCAAACGCCGCGATGTTTTGCGTCCTACATTCTCCTGCGCACTTAAAGAATGACGGTGCTGGAATTTTGATTTCTGAAAGTAGAAAGGATTTCTCAATACTACTACCGAAATATTATATCATCATCAGAAATTATTTCCAAATAATTAAAGTTAAAAAAACGATATATCAGCAACGTACCATCATGGGACTAGCGGCATGTGTGCTTCCACCACTTGCACTTCTGTGATGTTCCTTCATCAGTTGTAATGATCGGAGAACAATTGTCGATCGCACAGATGCATAAATATCTGCATAGCGACGAAGTCCTCTTTCTTCTAGCCAGACAGCAATTTTCACTAAATCGCCAATGGTACTTTCTGGCAACTGACAGAGAGACTGTGGTGCATCCTCGCCACTAGTGTCTTCATCAGAACCAATTATGTCCAAAAGCACAATTGGCAGCATGGGTTTACTTTGTCTGGCTAAAATATCATGAAACTCGGCATAAAGTGCTTCCAATCCAACACCAAATAAAGTTGAAATATTCTCCAGTTCAACAGAGCTTGGGTTATTCTTCTGAAAGTAATGTTGAGCATTGTACAAACGGTTCATTGCTTCAAGAAAACCGTCTAAGCCACCAGCCCCGTTAGGCCCACCACGAACCGATCCTTCCACTTCTTGACAAACTCCATAGTAGCCAATTGCATGATCCAGTACTGTCAAAGTTTTTTCGATGTCTAAATAAAAAAAAGTATTCAAAACAACTTGTTCATTTCATCGTCATTTAGCTTTAATGACGATTAAATTGTTTAACGAATATTTCCTACATAGGATGAATAGTATAAAACTAATAAATTCTTACTGTGTTGTTGGGACTGCAGATTGCCTGTCTCATTGTAAACCGGAAGAATTGTACGCCGAAGAGTTGCTAGCCTTTCTTCTAACGAAGATATTATAGCTACCATGCCACTCGTTAGGCGCTGACTTTGTACACGAGCATTATTTAAAGCTTTCAAAGCATTTATTTCTGCTTCTAATTTACATTCAATCTCAAATCTTCTTTCAGAAGTTTCCCCTCCAATTAGAGACATCGTATTTCAATAAAATTTTTTATAGAGTAATTGTAGAGTCTGTAAATGGAATAAATGGTTAAATCAAAATTAAGTCTAAATCTGTAATTATTATTAAAAATTTTATTTATTTTATTATTTTTCATCCCTTTCAGTAAATTTAATATATTCTTATCTAAAATTGTATGATGATGGACATATAGTCTGTCTTACATGTATAAGTTTTGACAATTACACTTAAACTTATAAACACAATCCAAATTCAAAAAATACTATTTAAGAATCATTAATAACGTTTTATGTTTAAAACATTTATAATCTAAAATAAATTATATTTTTAAAGCGCTCTAAGTACAATAGTCTTTTGCTAATGGTGGTTTGAAATAGAATGTGACAGATATAAAAAATGTTCTCTTGTGTAAAATACCTAATTTGTTTATAATTATATAAGATAATTTCAGCGGAGTTCGAATCATTCTTGCAACAAAAAATCGTATTCAGAGGATATTTTCGTTTGATGACACAAACATTAAAAAAATTTTCTTCAGAAGTTGCCAAAATTTAATAGAAACTTTTATTATATTAAAGAATAGGGGAAACTGGGGTGTAGTGGATCACTTTTCACTATTTGTTACATAGCTGCGTTATTTTCATATCACTTAAGCTGAAAACCAGATATTAATCGTTTTTATGTAACTACTTTTAAAAATGTTATAATAAAAATATGAAACAGAATAATTATAAAAATTAATAAATTAAAATAAAATAAAAATATTTGGGGGCATTCTCTGTAAAACGAACCCCCCCCCCCCCCCTCTGCCCAGAAAGGGTTTAAAAATAAAAGACAATTCTTTTTGAAAAAATACAGCTTGGGATATGTCGTTTCTTTTGCCATATGGCTTTTCTTAATTAAAAATTTTTAATAACAAAAAATAAATAAATAGTTTTGGAATTTTCAAATTTGACCGGATTGTGCTTAAAACTTATTACTCAGGGTTTTTTGGGGTCGCTGATTACGAATCTGAAGTCAGATTTTAAAAATTCAAAATGGCGGTTCCAATATGGCGGACAACATTTTAAATTTGATAGGATTCGCTTAAAAATTGTTACTCAGGTGGTTTTGCAGGGTGGCCGCAAGTCAGGGAAAAGTCAGGGAATTTTGAAAATAAAATTTTGCGGCTACCCTGTTTTGGGATCGCTGATTACAAATCTGAAGTCACTTTTTAAAAATTCAAAATGGTAGATCCAATATAGAGGACAAAATTTTTTAAAATTTGATTGGATTTTACCGTTTTACAAAGAATGTCACATTTATAAAATTATTAGTAAAACAAATATTAAAATAAATAAAATTGTATAAAAATGTTTCTTTGTTTTAAATTGAAATGATTTGTTAAACGTTAGAATTTAAAGAACTTAAAGTTAATACAGGTAAATAATTTGAAAAATACTTAAGTTTACATAATTTAAAATTCGGTATACTTGTAAACGTCGCGTCCCTAGAGATTACAAGAAATACATGAGTAATAAAGAGACATGACTGATCGCTTTCGAATAAAATGTTCCATTTGCATTAATTAACGAGGTCGCAATAATTAAGCAGTAGCATTTATTTTACAGTTCAAACATGGTCAGACTATGTTTCTATTCCCCACTATCTCCTACATTTCAACTTTAAAAATAAAAGTTAATTGAATGACATTCAAATGATTTCTCTTAAGGGGTAACACCACTCTAGAGGCAGAAAAAGAGACCTATCTTTGATGATTTGCTTTGAGAAAATGAAAAGGGATTTCTTTTAGGAGGATTTATTAAATACATATTATAGTGTGGAAAACATTATTTAATTAAAATTATAATTATAATAAGATATAAACTATATTGTTTATAAACAATTTACTGCTTATTTTTTTTTTGTAAAAAAATCGATTAATTTATTCAAAAAGTACGTCATTTTTACAAAAATTGATATAAAAAAAATTCCTTATATACTTCCAAAGTTCATATTATATAGATCATGAAATTTATTTATTTTTTGTTCCAGGACTTAAGCTTTTCAAAAAAAATGTCCTGCCGTTTTGGTCATGAAAAAATAGTCGATTTTGACTATGAAATTTATCGCCGCCATTTTGTTATAAAATTTTAAATAACAATTTTTTTCCACACTTCAATATGTATTTAATGAACCCTCCAAAAATAAATCCTATTCCTTTTTCCATTTTCCCAAAAAAAATCTTTTTTTCTGACTCTAGAGTGGTGTTACCCCTTAATAATATTCTTCCCTCAGTATCATTACACGGAGAAAAAATTAGTGTTAATATAATTAATGCTAAAAGTTGTAGTTAAAAATTACAATTAAAAATACTTACCAATTTCCAAAAATCATTCACGTGCATACGTACATAATTTTACACGTAGATTAAAATGTATGCAAGAAATGGAAAAACAAAATTGAAGTCTACACTAAATTGAATAAAAATATCATAATTGAAAACTTTGATCAATTTAGCTGTATCATTCTTGACAATGTGAAGTTTGTTTCATTTTTTATGTAATTTAATCTGCGAAGAATTAAATAACATAGTTTGATAAAAATTTATCAACTTTATATTGTAGCAGTGTTCAATTCTATCGACTAGAGTTTAAAATTAAATTCTTTTTAATAGCAGTACTAACATTTATTGAAGAATGGTTTTTAAAAAAGAGAAAGTCTCAACATTCATCTAAATTAAAACTGAGTCTTTTTCACACTTTTCTAAAAAATGACTCACGGTTTTCAATCGGTCACTACAGAAATCACGGAAGTAATAAAATTAAAATTTCTCAGCAATTCTTCAAAACTATTTTACTCTTTAATTACAAGAAAAGATTAACAATTCTTCCATTTTCAGATTGTCTCTAAATTTAAAAATCAATCTTTAATTAATTCGCTTTTTAAGAAACAAGAAAAAGGGTATAAAGATTTTTAACTTATGTAATATCTGCAGAGAAAATATTATACTCAATAAATAAAAAATAACACCTTATTTAAATAACCGTTAAAACTTTAGACCGATATGGATAACATACAAAAACTTTTAAATTGTTCAACGTATTTTATTTAATATTTTATTGACAATTTAACATAATTCCTAAACTTTTTTTACTAACCTGTAAATTTTGAAAAAAGATTGTTTTACATGTTTTATAAAGTCATGAAAATTACATAAATAAATGAAATGATTCACTTTTGTATTTTTTTACATATAAAAACAACTTACGGATTATTGTAAAATTTAGAAAAAATTTATAATGTAACTAACCTAAACTTTTATACAAATTGTATTTTACTTAGTTCTGTGGTAGATTAATTATATACATACTTTTGTTTGAAGTATAAAATCAATATATATTCAGTAAAATCATTAGTTTCATTAAATTTTGACAAGTATCAGTAAAAACAAACTGTCAAAACTATGTCTGCTCAGTACTGACAGGAAGGTCAGTCTTGAGGCGTTTCTGCAATAGGTTTTTAAAGTCTGCGTTGCGTTGACTACAGCATATGTTGTCATAGCAACCAACGCAGTGTATTGCGAAAAATGCTTTTGGGATCCTATTGGAGAATGGCCTTTATGTTGAGACTACAATAGCACGAATAGCACTCTTGAACGGAACGTAAATGTAACGGAACAATGCTAAGTATTTTGTTTCGTTCCGTTCAAGAGTGCAATTGTGGATTCAACCTACTACTGTGGACACAACCTTATGGTAGCGAAACGGAAAACGTTTAGGGTGCATTTATACCTCTGTCGGTAGAAAAAAAATTTACCAAAAAATGTAAAACTAGCCTTCACACCTTGCTATAAAGGTGTTTCTGCAATAACTTAAAAATACATTTGTTTTCTGATTCAAAGTAATTGCACATTTGCATATGAATTTACATTAAATCATTAAATTTAAAGCAAATTATCTTAAATTTGTATGCAGAATGTGCAATTACTTTGAATTAGACAAAACAAAATTTATTTTCTGACTGACGCATTATATGGGAAATTTTGATAAAAAGTGACAAAATCAAAGAATCATCGGAAGCATTTAAAAAGATAAAACCATTTGGAGGTTGTTGTTTAAATCCTTCTAATTATAGAAAAAATAATAATAAATAATTAAAACTGATTTTTAACCTAAAAAAGTAATGTCAAATTTAGTCAACTTTGACAAAATTTGTAAAAATTTGTGTTTTTTACTATCCCACGCTTATTAGTACCATATTTAATTTAGAAAACACTTTTTCTAAATCTGCAATTGTTTTCAAAAAATTCAAAATGGCTGATCAAATATGGCGGAAGTTTTTAGCTCATTTTTTAAATTAATAAAATTTACTTGAAACTTTTATTCTGGGGTTTTTGGGATCGCTGATTACGAATATGTAGTCAGTTTTAAAAAATGCAAAATGTCCGATCCAATATGGAGGACGATTTTTTAAAAAAATTAATCGGATAAACTTGAAACTTGTTACTCGGGGGATTTTGAGGTCGCTGATTATGAATGTGTTGTCAGTTTTTATAAATACAAAATGGCCGATCTAGTATGGAGGACGATTCTTTTAAAAGTTAATAGCTTTCACTTGAAAATTGTTTCTAGTAGGGTTTTTTGGGTCGTTTATTACAAATTCATAGTTTGAATTGAAATTTAAGTTATTTAATGTATAAATCTAGAAATTATCTATAAGTGGTTTTATCTTTTTAAATGTTTCTAATCAAAAGTTATAGATGTAAAAGAATCGAACATGTATTTTATTTATTTCACTCTCTAGTCATCTAGTGTTAAAAAACGCAAAACATGTGATTGCACCCTTAATTTGAAGAGGATTGTATTGTAAAACTGGACTTATGGGTTTAGAGCGCATGCCCAGCCCCTCTACGAAGTGATATCTCGACCTGTTTATATGACCATGCTAGATTTTATTTTTCTGTTTCGAGAACGTTCTAGTAAAAGAAGTGAGTTTTCGTGAGTACGTACAAGTGACCAATAACGTTTAGTCATCAAACCCTAGTGAAATATATGATTGGCTAAAACCCTCGCATGTGAAAACGTCTAACAGAGTCAGTTGAATTGGAAGGAACGAAAGTTGGTAGATTGCGGATATCTTCCCCGGGAATGGTTCTGTTTGGATTGCCTTGATCAAATTCGATTTTGTTATCTCTTTCCTCCCACTGGGATTGAATGTAAATCTGTAAAAATTATTAGTCAGTTGTTAATGTTTACTATTCAAGTTTCCAAAGACGTATCGAACTGTTTAATTTCATTGCATTTATTCATTTTTAACATATCCTGAGATTAAGAATCATAACCATAAAATATTCATCGAATCTAAAACCATGGCCGCAATGTCAGTAATTGGAATTGACTTTGGAAACGAAAGTTGTTATGTAGCCGTTGCACGTGCAGGTGGCATTGAAACTATCGCCAATGATTATAGTCTTCGTAATACACCGTAAGTAAATAAACTTTATGTTAGAAATTTCACGATTAATTTCATTTTATTTTATCTCCCAACGCAGCCGGTATTTCAATAATTTAGTTGGTTGCTAGCGGCACATGGGAGCCAAAGTCGCAAAAAATTACTATCTCCAAAAAATAACTTTCAGCGTGAAAAATGTTTATTTTCAACATTTCTTTTTTTTAAAGCTGATGAAATTCTGGAAAAATTACACCTGGACCACAAAGTTATTTTAATTTATCTTCTAAGTATATTTATTTTTAATTTCAAAATTTTCTTTGAAATAATTAACATTTTTTGTTTAATAATTTTATGCTTTAGAGGAAAATTTTTACATTTACTCTCTTTCGAATATATTAATGCGCTAATTCTGGATCGAAGGGTTAAAAAAGTTATTGACACTTTAATGAAAGGTTTTTTAATCAAACAAATATGACGAGTAGTTTTTGAATTTGCATAATGTTGGTTCAATAATAATAGTAATTATTATTTGAACTTTCATGTCTACCAACATTTCAAGGAGCACAGAAAAAATCTGGGTTCAAATTGAGTTTGAAGAGCAGCAAAATTGATGACTCATTTTGAGTATTAGACCAAACTCAACCGCTCTAATTCATTTAGTTTATTTTACTTTAATGATCATTTGCGTACGAAAAATAAAATATACAAAAAAGGAGATATAATTACGGTTTTTCGAACAAACACATAGTACTGGAAGAAACTACTTCTCGAAACTGATTCACGATATTAAATAGTAGAAATTTATAGGTTAAGAATCAAGTATTATCTTATCTAGGCTTGTCAATGTTGCGTGAAACTAGGGCAAGAATAAAATCGTCTATTTTCCCTCCCTTTCCCTTTCTTTACCAAACAAGTAAAGGAAATAAAACACTGTCCAACTGTAATTCAAAAGAATTTCAAATTACAGAAAATTAATCTTTATATTCACAACGTTGATCAACGAACAGGCCTCGGATATTGACTTTTTGACTTTTTTCGATCATTTTCAAATAATGCGACTTTTATCGACTTGTATTAAAAAATAATAGATATAATAGAAATAGAAATGAAAATTAGTTTCTAAAAATTATATTAAAATATATTTGAAAAAAGTAATTCTCAGAATTTTTTCAATTCTAATTTTTAAAATGCAATAATTATTTTCAATATTTTCGATTACTTATTTCTTGAAATTAAAATACATACAAAAATAATAACATTAAAAAAATTTACTTTCATAGACTTATTAAAATTTCGAAGAAATCATTTATAATTAAAATTCTTCAAAAATTTTATTTTTTTTATATATTTTTTAAAAACTCAATTATTATTAAAGATTCTATCAAATTTCAAATATTTTTCGAAGATTTTATCAAATTTCAATTATTTTTCAAAGATTTTACCAAATTTTTATTATTTTTCAAAGATTTACCAAATTTCAATTATTTTTCAAAGATTTACCAAATTTCAATTATTTTTCAAAGATTTTACCAAATTTCAACTATTTTTAAAAGATTTTATCAAATTATATTATTCTAAAAGATTTTATCAAATTTCAATTATTTTTAAAAGATGTTATCAAATTTTAATTATTTTTCTAACTGAATATCTTTTAAAAAGAAAAATGGACAGGTTCAATTATTATAAAAAATTGAATTTTCGTATTTAAATAATTGAGTTCTTGAAGAACTTTCGGAAAATTATTAAAAATTAATGTAGATAATTGATTCAGAGATAAGGTTTAGTTAAAATTTGTAAAAAATAATTAAAGTTTAAAAGGATTTTAGAAATTATTAAACTTCAGAAGTTGAAATGTTTTGAATTTTATTTCCCGTGTTGAAATTTAATTATTTATTTACGTTTATTTAAATTATTTATTTATATTTATTTAAATTATTTACATATTTATATTTATTCAAATTATTTATTTATATTTATTTTAATTATTTATTTATTTCCGTGATTTAACTATAAGAAGTATTTAAATTTAAATATTTATTTAGCAAAATTATTCAAGTTTTGATTAATTGAATTTAGAAATCAGTGAACTATCAGGGAAATACGAAATAAACTTTTTGTGACAACACTGAATTAAATAAACGACTTTTTCTATTTTTTTCTATTTTTAATCGACTAAAAGCGGCTTTTTTTCTCGTTAAAGTCGATCCGAGGCCTGAACAAAGAAAATTTGTTTAAAGTGTTCGAATATTAGTTTAAATAAATATACAACAATTATTGTTAAAACACAAATAAAAATCATCCGTTTTTACGTATTTTCGTGAAAAATAATTGCAGTTATTGAATAATATAATTATTAAAAAAATTTCGTTGGTAAACGTTGTGGACTTGAACTTGTTATTTGGTTCACAACAGCTAAATTATTTTGCTCACACTTTTTTGTAACCTTAGCTACCTTTGTTTATTCAATTGAATTATTCTTTTGCGCTAATAAAAAAAAATTGGAAGACCGCAAGCATGACCGGCTTATTAAAATAATTACGCATTCTCAACCAAACGGTTTTGTTGCTTTAACGTGAAAATTTCGTTAGGATGAAAAATTGTCGTCTGTCGGCCTAACGTTGTTAGCCAGTGGTCGGGAAGGCAGCGAATTGTATTGATAATATCAGCCGACTACTGGTTGACACAGTTGAGAGACTGGCAGATCAATGGAACCTCGATTATACGATTGTCAACTATTTTATACACTTTATGCTATATCTCAAATCTCAATATGTATTTTTTATATTGATTAGTAAAAAATTCTTGCAAAATTACTTTTTGACCCCCTCTCCTTTCCATCATCGTGGACTTTTGACTACCCCCCTCCCTCCCTCCCATAAATGTCCACATGGATTTTCTAGATGCAAAAGTAATAATATTTTTGGTGTCTTTCACAAAATTATAACTATGAAGAACTTTTTTTGTTTAAAATAGTAAATATTTAGATATTTAATAATTATTAAAATTTATGCAAATTAAAAAATTTTTATTTCTAAATATAAATTTTTGAATAATTGCATAATCAAAATTTCAAAAATTCACTTATTAAGTACATCATTAATTATTATTGTTTAAATATTTTCAAAAATTGTAATAAAATTTTATGAAAGAATTCAATTTTTTTTAATTTTTAATAATATTTTTCGAAAAAATCAATTATTTTCTAAAATTTTAATAAATTAATCCTTTCAAACAATAATTGAGGCCTTGGATCCAATAACTCGCCCGACGCTCGGAGGAACGCGCAACTGCCAGTCAGTGAGCAGTGTCAGCCAATGGAAAAAAAATTAAAACAATTCCTTTAACGTTTTCAACAGCAAAACTGTCCTCTTCAGAAACTATAACCGAGTGATAGAATCATTATTATTATAATTCAATTATTTATTTATTTTTATAAGTAAATAGTAAAATTCATCGCAAGGATTAAATTATTTTTTATAAATAATTCTTCTCAGGAATTCAATTATTTTGCATACAATTTTAATAAACTTCAAAAATCAAATATTTCATTACAATAATAATTATTAACAGACACGATTATTTTAAAAAGTTAAGAAAATCCTTTGTTTAGTTCAATTATTTTCAAAATTTTCAATTAGAATTATTCAAAAAACTCCATTATTTTGAAAAAAACACAAATAAATTCTTCAAACGAATTTAATTATTTACAAAAACTCTAAAATGAAATTGTTTAAAAAAGTTTATTTTTCCATCAATATTTTTAATAAACTTTTAATAATAAAATTATTTATTACAATTATTAACAAAATCGATTATATTCAATAAATTAAAGAAATTTTTTGAAAGAATTCAATTATTGTCATAAATCTTTACTAATACCTATTCTGAGAAGATTTAATTATTTTCTAAAAATTTTAATAAAATCAGGGATTGATTCTGAAACGAAACTAAATTAAAAATGTAAGTTCAATTTAATTTTGTGTCGACTCGAAACTAAAGTTCGAAAAACTTAAATATTTAGTGTCAGTCAAAAAATTACTAAAAAAAACAAAATATTTCAATATTTAATATACATGAAAATTGGATTCACTTTTTCCACTTTATTTTCTATTTAAGTCTCCTTATAATACTTTATACCTATTAGTAAGGCTATAATAATATTATTTCTTTAAATATTTTCTTTTTTGCTGTAATTTTTTAATTGAAACTAAATAATTGAGTTTCTCAGACACTTATTTTCGATCTGCACTGAAATAAATTCAATTTTTTTATTTTAAAATTTAGTTTTTTTAGTTTAGTTTCGAGTCGACACAAAACTAAACTCAGTTTGTTAATTTAGTTTTGTGTCAACTCAGAAACTAAAATAAAACTAAACTTTCGTAACGGTCCCTGAATAAAATTTGATAAAATTAAATGTTTAATTTCAATTATTAACAGAGTGTCTAAGAGGCCGTTCATAAACTACGTCACACTATTTTGCATAATTTTTCCACCCCCTCCCCCCTACCCACGTCACAAATTTTACATGCTTAAAGCGCCATTTTTTCTACAGAACGTCACAAAAAATTAATTCCACCCCCCCCCCCCCCTAAGGAGTGACGTAGTTTATGAACGGCCCCTAACGATCAGGGAAGTTAGGGAAATCAGGGAAAAGTCAGAGAATTTTTTTGGTCGAAGAAAAGTCAAGGAAATTTGTAAAAACTTTTGTGAATAAAAAATTTTGTTAATCTAACAAAACTTAGAAGATTTTTATTATCGTTTGTTTCTATTATTAGATATTAATTTATTGCTAAATATGTCAGTTACTATATGTTTTTTCCAAGAAAGCAGAAATAAAATTAGTAAAAAGTCAGGGAATTATTTTCTCAATCCCTTGTTAGCCACCCTGCTTAACTCTCCGTCACACATCTTAGAAATAATTACACCATTACACACGTTTAGAGGGAATCCCTCACCACATTGTAAAATAAGCGACATTACAACATAAACGAAGAAATCAACAAAAATTTAATTTTAACACAAACTTATAAATATGTAGTAAATTATTCTAAATTATCAAATTAATAAAATTAATTTTCGGTCTCAAAAATAAAAATTAATTAGGGGTCGTCCATAAAGCATAACACATAAATTCGGTAATCTAGACCCCCTCATGATGCTTTTTCCATTAACAGTTAACATGGAGTGTGATATATTTTGATGACCTCCCCCCACCCCCTAAAGTATCACATGCTTTATGGATGACCCCTTACGCACATCTTCGAAGGAATTCCACTTTACATGTAAAAATAATGTAACATTAATAAATAAGCAAAGAAATCATTAAACAATTCATTTTAATTATATTTATAATATAATTTTGTCATTAACAAAGTGGACCAAAAAATGTTTTGAAAACTTGATTTTTTTACTTAACATAACCTCACTTTTTCGAGTTTTTTCTGGCTTTGAAGCCTCATAATTAAAGATTAATTATGTTTAAACTAAATGTTTTTTTAGAAATGTGTTGAGGAATAAATTGTCGAAAGGTATAGAAACTGATTTTATTTTGCAATGAGGAAAACAAAAGTTATTTGAAAATAGTGAAACTGTAGAGGGAATCCCTCCCAAGGTGTGTGACGGAGGGTTAAATAAGTAGATTTTTTTTAAAGAGCCCAAAAATAATTAAGCTAAATGCTATAAAAGAGATGAAAAAATGTTGAATTTTAATGAAATTCGGTTTTTCGAAATTTTGATAATTTTTAATAATTTTAAATTTTTTACCAAAGGGTGAAGACTATTAAGTAAGTAAAGAGTTTTTGAAGAACCCAAAAATAATGAAGCTAAATCCTATAAAGGAGAGGAAAAAATGTTGAATTTTAAGAAATTCAGTTTTTCGAATTTTTGGTAATTTTAGATTTTTTACTAAATGGTGGAGACTATTAAATAGGTAAAGTGTTTTTGAAGAGCCCAAAAATAATGAAGCTACATGCCATAAAAAAGAAGAAAAAATGTTGTATTTTAGGAAATTCGGTTTTTCGAATTTTTAATAATTTTAGATTTTTTACCAAAGGGTGGAGACTAATTAATAAGTAAAGTGTTTTTGAAGAGCCCAGAAATAATGAAGCTAAATGCCATAATACAGAAGAAAAAATGTTGAATTTTAAGAAATTCAGTTTTTAAGAAACACTATTATTTTAAAAACTTGAAAGATATTGTCCATAAAATTCAAAATTTTCAATTAAAATTGTTAAAGAAACTCCATTATTTTTAAATAATTCAAAGAAATCCTTCAAAAGAATTCAATTAGGATTTTCAAAAATTTTACTAAAATTCTTCGAAGAAATTCAATTATTCTCAAATTTTTTGATAAAATTCTTAGAAAGAATTAAATTGTTTTTGAATATTTTGTTAATTTTCTTTGCAAAAATACAAAATTCATTTTTGAATTGAAAATATTTAAAAAGTTGGGAAACAAAAAAGCAAGATCATCAACTAACTTCAAACTGCGAACAGATTACCGGAATACAACGATTATTATTAATATATAGATATTTGACGGCAAATTGTAGGAAAAAACCTTTTTTGAACAAACTATACGTGTTTTTCTGAAAAAGTGTAAAATATCTGGTTTTTCCCCACAACAGATTGAACTGGTCTGTTTTACTAAAACATGGAATTTTTTAAAAATATTTATTGGTTAATTATCTTTTAAGATTGTTATAAAAAGTAATTTATATGTAACCTGGTAAGTTAAAAGGGAGTTTACCTTCGTCTCTGAGTACGAATCTGGTATCAGATTTTTAAAATTCACAATGGCGGATCCAAAATGACTGACGAAACTAAAACAATGTTTGGATTTGCCTGAAACTTAACTAAAGCCATACAAGAATCATTTTGATTTTTATAAAAAAATGATATTACTTGTTTCAGATCATGTGTAGCTTTCAGTGGAAAGAACAGGATTCTGGGAGTGGCAGCTAAAAATCAAACTGTTACAAATATGAAGAATACCATTTACAATTTTAAACGCCTATTAGGAAGAAAGTATAATGATCCTTTCGCTCAAACAGAGATGAAGAGTATGCCTTTCAAAACTTCTCAACAAGCAAATGGAAACATCGGCATACATGTAAGATACTTATTAAATAACTACTCAACCAAATCCATCGAATACTCCAAATGGCAATTTTAAAGAAATTGCATAGGACACGTTTCAAAATGCAACCCAAAAATGTTACAATCAGTTAATGCAGCACCTAAAATCCAACTCACCCCCAAAAATCGAACAGCATGCAATTCTCTTCTCAATCAACTGAAGATATCAAGTGATATGTTTTTATTTACAGGTTCAGTACTTGGGGGAGGAACATGTATTTTCGCCAGAACAAATTACAGCTATGTTGTTCACAAAATTGAAAGACATCTCTGAGACTGCCTTGCAAACAGTTGTCAATGACTGTGTTATATCCGTTCCTTCTTATTACACACAAGCGGAAAGACAAGCTCTCTTGGATGCCGCTAGAATTTCAGGCCTAAATGTTTTGCGACTGTTCAATGAAACTACAGCTACAGCTCTGTGTTATGGAATTTACAAACAAGATTTACCCGCCGTAGAGGCAGCTCCTAGAAATGTTGTCTTTGTGGACTGTGGATACGCTAGTCTTCAAGTATGCATATGTGCTTTTCACAAAGGCAAACTAAAGGTATGTCTTTTACATTTTTTTAAATTAAACATCACTGCAGGATTCTTTGCGGTCTTTAATTGTCGTAATAAAATTAATATAGTACATTGTGCACCAAGTAAGAAAAGAAAGTGTTTTTCGATGAGCTTGAAGGTTGCTTCTCGAGCGAACCCAGAACAGTAATCAAACTCGTCAGAAAAGCCTCTTTCGTTCTTTTGCTTTGTGTAACATTTGTTTCACTGTAAAAAATAAATGTTACTTTCAATCCCTTTTTGACTGAAACTGTTTATATTAGAAACATTTTTAATTAAATCGTAGCCTTGAGAGTATTATAATTTCAAGTCCTAAAATTAACTTAATCAAGTTTACAGATGTAAACGGTTTCAGACTCAGTTTTTTCTGTGTTATAAAAAAACGTTATTTCAATTAGTTTTAAAGAACAAATGGCTTGAAATTCGTTACTCAGGGGGTTTTGGGGTCGCTAATTACGAATCTGGCATCCAATTTCCAAAATTTAAAATGGCGGATCTAATATGGCGCCAAAAAAATGTAAGAAGCAAATAGATTTGCTTAAAACATTTTGAAAACTTATCAGATTTATTTGATACTTGTTCCTCGAGGGTTTCTGAGATCACAGATTATGAATCTTGCATCAGATTTGAAAAATTGTTTGGACTTTTTTAAAATTCATTGCTTGGAGATTTTTGGTGTTATAAAATACGAATCTGACATCAGATTTGTAAAATTTGAAAAATATCGGACAAAATTTAAAAAAATTTGAATTTGCCTAAAATTCATTATTTGGGGGTTTTTAGGGTTGCTGATTACGAATCTGACATCACATTTTCAAAATTCAAAATCTGATGTAAGATTTGTAATCAGCTACCCCAAAAACTTTCATGTCCTAAGTTTGATCAAAAATCATCAACTTTTTAGTTTTAATGTCCGCCATATTGTATCTGCCATTTTGAATTTTGGAAATCTGATATTAGATACGCAGGGTGGCCACATGTCAGTAAAGTCAGGGAAATGTCAGGGAAAAAAATATTTTGTCAGTTGAAAAATTAAAAAGTGCGAATTGATGCTTTTGAAAGAAAAACGTTATTAAGGACCAAAATAAAGCTTTTAACATTAGGTTAATTAAAAGTTGCATTTCAAACTAATATATAGCTAGAATAATATAATATATATTAAATTAAATATAAATAATAATAATAAAATAAGTTGTAGGGTACAAAAATTGATCATTTGCATGAATTTTTTTAAGAAAAACCACCAACATTTTTAAATAAAGCAACTTATTCTCTATATTCATAAAAAGTAATAAAAAAATTCTTTTTTGACAAAATGACAACCACTGAAATTTAACGTATCGATTTTTTCTAAAAAAAACAGTGGGTTCTTAGCTGTAAAAAGATATTTTTGCAGAATTTTCACTAAACTTTGCAAGTAAATTTTTAGTAAATATTTAGGAAATTTTCGATGTTGTGTGGGTAAACTTAGAAAAAATACAAGAAAAAAAAACCCCCCATTTTTTGAAAATTACAACTAGGGTTGCCCTTTTAATTATTGATGATTAATTTTATTCATAAATTTATGATAAAATGTATTTATAAATAGATATTTCGTTAATTCAGATTTAGACTGTGGAATATTTTTATATTTTTTGCACAAGAAATAAAATTATGCGCAATTATGCGAGAATTCAAAAATTGTGCGATGAAAAAATATTATGCGTTTTGATGCGACGTTAAATTTATTTTATTTTATTCATAAACATGATAAAACGTAAAACTATAAACTTTCTTTCAATTTTTGAAAATTATGCGATTATGCGCTTCGCACAAAGTGTAGGTCTCTATTCATAGGACAGTGTGTCATGTAATAGTGTTTTGGTCGCAAAGGAATACTTTTAAAACAATTTATTCTTAATTCCAAATAATTCGTAATATGACTCTGAAGTGAAGCTATTTTACCAACAGATATCGCAGAAGTAATTTTTGAATCTCACTGTCAGTTCCACAATAATTGTTTTGTCCTTCAGATTTATTATAGTGACATTGTCAGAACTTGAATCAGTGGATAGTCTAATTCGTTACAGGTGATAATTAAGGTAACCAATTTTAACCCATTGTTTTTTAATAAACTATTTAATAACCAACAAAAGATCATTTTGAACAATACCTTCAATAAGGTCGTGTGCAATGCAGGATGGTAAACCTGACAAAACTTGAAAATTCTTCAGTGTATGTCCGATTACTCCAAGATAATCTACACCGGTTTTTTTCTGCCGTTTCAACACACTGATTATACTTCTGTAAACTTTACAACTCTTGGACTTTATAATTATCAAATTTTAATTGAGCTTTTGTGATTATACAAAAGCGACAGAAGTATTTACACTTAAAACTAGTCACAAATTTGCCTATATGGTGGCTTCCTAAATTATCACCCTTGATTAGAAGAAGACTATCTTTGAAAATTCTTTCACTATTAATTATCAGCAAAAACTTTTATTCCTTCGGTTTCTAATATTAATAAAAGATCTATTATGCACTAGAGAATAACATTCCAATTACACTTCGATTGCTCCTTTTAATGAGTCCTGTTTTAGAAAATAATCTTTCCGAAGGGACTGATGACACAATAATTGAAGTCTGTTTTAAAGTAATTTTGCTTAACAGTGTGAATGTTTTTTCGACGCTCTTCCAATACTGAAAAAATGTTCTTTTCTGTGAATGCGATTAAATTGCATGTAATGCTATAATTCCAAATTCATCATACTGCATATCGTGAAAGTCCCATAAACTTTAAAATTTTTTTGGATTGGGCTCGGAAGATTCAGAAGACTCCGACTCCGAAAGCATGGATATTTTCTGCTCGATTAATTCCTTTAGTTGCTGATTGATCTTATTTAAGGATGGATATACAGCCAAAGCATCACGAAAATGAATTTTTTTAAACGCGGATCTAATATGGTTGATACCGCTAATAATGTAAAGCGTTTAAAATTTGCGAATGTTTTCTTAATAACAGAGTCAAGACTTTTTTTTAATTGTTTGCCAATGCCTGTTTGAGGATCAACATTCATTATATTCGTTTCCATGCAATGTATAATCGGAATAATTAAACTGCAAGTAGGATACCGTTCTTCGCTTAATTCCGTGATGACTTCTCTGACATACGTATTCTTGAGGTCAGAAAGCGTGAAGAACAGTGAAAAAATCGAATTTGAATATTTTCGTTAAAATAATACAATATGCAATGGTGTAATTTGACATATATTTCTGTAGATGCTGGCTAGTGCAGCTGACAGTCAATTAGGCGGTCGGGATATTGACACAATTCTCGCAGAACACTTTTGCAAGGACTTTCTGGCTCGGTATAAAATTGATGCGCATAATAATCCCCGAGCATATCTGAGATTACTTACGGAGGTGGAGAAATTGAAGAAACAAATGTCTGCTAACTCTACAAAACTTCCATTAAATATCGAATGTTTCATGGAAGAGAAAGATGTACATGGTGATATGAAACGAGGAGACATGGAGGCTATGTGCTCACATTTGTTCAAACGGGTTGAATCTACTCTCAAACAATGCCTTGCTGATTCAAGTAAGATAACTTTTCATCATTAGACGGGGCATAGATTTAGAAATAGTAATTTTAAAAAAATTACAGTTTTTCTTCTCATAAAGCTAGTACATACACGTATAGGGTGTATTAATGTAGATTCGTTTATTTGAAACGAATTTGATATTTTTTCAGAATTGAAGTTAGAAGATATTCATTCAGTAGAAATCGCTGGTGGTTCTAGCAGAATCCCATCTATTAAACGTGTGATTGAAGAAGTTTTTGGCAAAGGAACATCAACGACGCTGAACCAAGACGAATCAGTGGCTCGTGGATGCGCACTCCAGTGCGCAATGTTGAGTCCCGCTGTTCGAGTTAGAGACTTTTACGTTACTGACACTCAGCCATACCCCATAAAACTTATGTGGGATCCTACTCAAGGAGAAGAAGGGTAAAATTACTTACTCGTTATTTATTTTTAAGTTCAAAAAAATATCTATTTCTATTCGATTTAATGTTTCAAATTAATAAGGTTACAACTAAAGTGCTATTGTGTATTTGCATTTCAAAAAATTCAAAGTAAAATTACAACTTTAGATGCGTAAATAAAAAGCTTTTCTTTTTCTAGTCAAATGGAGGTATTCGGATACAATCATCCGGTTCCATTTTCAAAGATGCTTACATTCTACCGATCAGCACCGTTTTCTTTAACAGCTAACTATATCCACACGCCGAAGTGTTACCCTCAAGTTGAGCTTGGTACGTATTTCATTTGTCTCATATCAACTTTATTGTTTTATTAAGATCATTCTACAGCGAAAAATTGTCGTTGACAAATTAAGAATAAAACAAGAAATAGATATTTATTTTTCTAAACTATTCCACGCTTTTTCAATGCAGGTGTATTCCATATCAAGAACGTTAAGCCTACTTCCGAAGGCGAATCTTCTAAAGTCAAAGTTAAAGTTAGGCTGAATCTCAACGGAATTCTAACAATCGCTTCAGCGTGTCTAGTTGAGAAAAAGGAACAGGAGAAAGAAGAGGAAGAGCTGCAGAATCAGAATAGCGTTGAAAATGATAATCAACCTCAAGAAATGGACAAACCCGACCAGGAGGCTCAGGCTAAGGAACCCCCTGTTGCTGAGGTAGGTCAAATATGGTTTTACTAATCAAACGAATGGTTTACAGATTAATTATTATTCTATTGTGTTGAAAAGTTTAAACTTCTTTTTTCGGACGTTGTATTTGCAACAAACTCGAAATATACATTTCTGGTAATGATTCTGGCCTAATTCGGAATAAATTTGAACAAAACTGGTTTTTGTCTTTAAAATTGAGGGGCTGAATGCTACAAGGGGATACGCGTCATGGTAAGGAAATGGCGCGCATGCCCTTATAGCATCCAGCCCCTCAATTATTCAGGTGCTAGGTAACTAGAAGAATTCCAGAATTAGTCCAATTTGGTCTAGTCCGAAAGTAGTCCGCATTGATGCAAGTAGTAAACACGAAATTTTTCCGTAATGGTAAATAAGTATTGGACAAATTTACATTTAAGATTTTCTTCCTCAACTCTACCAGACAATAATTGAAATTTTTGCTATTTCCTTGAAACTTTGGTAAATTGATGTTATATTTGAGAATATTCAATCCATTAAGTATGTTTTTTTAATGTTTTTGATCAAATTTTGGAAAACTCGATTTTTATCAATGATTTATTATCTAATTCCTGCGCATTTAAAGTGAAAGGTGAAAATAAACATATCGTAGGTAAAAAAATAGTTTCTTCAACGCCTGTTCAGAAAGGTGCACTTTTCATGTTAAAAAAAGTGTGGCGAAAGTGAATCGTGTGACGTCAGTCACTCTTCAATAATTGGAATATATACACTGAAACTTTACTTATTTAAAGTGTCATTTATTTGAAATCGCATTTATTTTAAAAATTTCGAGTCTCACTTATTTTAACTTAAACATTCCCATTGGTAGATGTTAAAGAATCCACCAATAAAATCAGCTCCTCATATTACGTCTCAGAGTTAAAATAAGTGCGTGTCTGCTTGTCGATTTGTGTGAACCTGGTTAAAATAAGTAAAGTTTCAGTGTAATTCTTATGTATAGCACAAGTTTATCAAAGTTTCAAAACAATCTTAAAACTTATTATTTCTGAAATCTAAACTGGAGGAATCTCCCCTACATTTGAAATTTCGCGTTTTTATATTTGATGTCATATTTTTAAATGAAACTGAAATTAAAATGAATGAAACTGTGTTTAGATTTTGACTCTAATTAATATAATTTTCCTTTAATTCATGAAATATACTGAATTAACATGCAAATATGTTAACACATTAATTTGATGTTATGTTGAAATTACCTCGTGTGGTTATTAGGACTAAAATGTAAATAGTAAAGGAGTTCAAAAATCTCGAAAACTCGAATCAAGCCTGATATATATTCTAGGGCAATAATGATCACTTTATTGACCAGCTGGGCATTATGGAGGAACTTAGCATGCATCGGCACACAGGTAGCGTAAAGTGATCATGATACGCCTTTGTTGCATAAAGTACAATATACGTCCTCGGACTTGCGGTGGTCTACAACTCGTTGGAAATATCATCGTTTGACTATAAAGATCGCTATGATAATAATTTACTCATTAATAATCAAACTTTCGGCTTTTTTCTTTATTAGGACCTTTTTTGTTACACACTGCATTACATGTTTATTCACAAATAAGGATCCGAATTGAAGAAGTCGACCGCGCCTCGAGTGAATTTTTCGATCCGGCTCCTCAAATGATATTTGAGATCGTCAAGATTTCATAAAATTTCATAAAAATTAGCAAAAGCCAAAATTCGATAAAAACTAATACCCTCTCGTGTGATGAGAATGTAACTCAAACTTTGTTCTTTAAAGTTTGAAGACTTAATCTACATTTAATATTAGTAGAATTTTAAAATGTTTTTGTTTAATATGACGATTAAAGTATTTTAAAACAACTGCATTCAGTTAAATCTTACTACTTGGGAACATTTTTAATGTTAATTTTCATTAGTTATCAATACGGATATAAACATAAAAAGGTGTCAAAAAAATTGTTTAATCTAAAAGATTATTATGATTAGAATTTATAATTATTATCTTGATACTAGGATCAAAGATCATAAAAGATACATTACTAATAATTAAGACTTTAAAACTTAGAAATGTTTGAATATTTTAGACGGGAAACAATTCAAAAGCATTAAAATAATTACGAAATATTAAAACAGAATAGACAGGAATTGGACATACTACAGGGCATTTCAAAATTTAAAAAAATCGGAAAATCAGTGAATTATTAAAACAAAATTCTTTGAAATTTACTTTTAAAAATTTCGTCCTCAAAAAGAATACAAAGTAATTGAACACAAAGTTCTTAATTTCCCGCTTTTACTGAAATGATATCCTTAGAATTAATTAGTTCTTACTTTACAAGATAGTACAAGATAGGATTAGAGTCCACGTTTCTGAGTATATTCAGAAACGGGGAACAGTTTTCTTAATTTTAATTGCCCATCCCCATAGAGAACTTCCAAAAGTTTCAATTATTCGGACATTTTCTATGGGCATAGCCAATCAAAATTAATGAAACTAATCAGTGCTGCTGATTCACAAAACAAGGGAGAGCACTTCTGTTTTCTTTAAAGCGACTGATACACAACTTAGGTAACGTGTTGACACACCAAAAGGGAAATCAGAAACACTTTAATAGCCAATCAAAATTAGAGAAACCTTTGCACGTTTCTGAATTTACTCATAAACGTGGAGGTATACAAGCACCTTTAGGCTGCTCGGTAATGTTCGGAAGTATAAAGTTCGGGAGTATTATTGTGTATTCCTCTTTCTAACGTGTCATCTATCTAGAAACGTAAAATAGCAATCAAAGTTTACTGACATACCTATGGAATACTTTGTGCTCTTCTTTTTACATTCTTCCCGACTGCTGAAAATGTTAAGAATAAGGAACCAAAGTACTTTTTCTCCTGCTGCACCCCAGTAATAAGGGGTGAATTAAAGTGGATTGGCACTTTTATGCCCTTAAATTCCAAACCAATTCCGGTTTTGTCCGCAATCGTAATGAATTCCTTTTACTATTGTTAAGTTGTTCGTTTCTATCCAATTCAATTCTCTGTAACCACGTGACCACAATCTGAATTCCCTTTAATGTCGTTAATGGGAATCATTAGTTGCGGAGTTAATGCCCTTCATTTAACCTGATTTCCATAAATGGCATTAAAGGGAATTCAGATTGTGGTCACGTGGTTGCTGAGAATTGAATTGGATAGAAACGAACAACTTAACAATAGTAAAAGGAATTCATTACGATTGCGGACAAAAACGGAATTGGTTTGGAATTTAAGGGCATAAAAGTGCCAACCCACTTCAATTTAATTTCACTTTGAATAAGTATTATTTTGAACTTTAAGTTTATATTTAGCATTTTATTGCTCGCATCTTTGCGTGACATTTAATTTCACAATATTAACCACTACGGCGGTATAACGCTAGAAGGCCTTTATTGACGTTATACCGCCGAAGTGGTTAAAAAGTAGGATTTAAATTGTTCACAAGAATCTATTTTATTGTTGGATAGATTAAAGTGGAATTAAACAGAGATTACAAGAACCCAGTAAACACAAATAACATGCGCATAACAATAATTGTTATGGAACAATTCTATGCAAATATCAGCTTATAGGTGTAGCCTGTTACTGGTGCATAATGGTTCTATAACGGTTATGTACCAGTAACAGGTCACACCCATAAGCTGACATTTGCATAGAATGCGCATGTTATTTGTGTTTACTGGGAAGTTACTTTAAAGAATATTTTTCCAATCTTTTTCAAAAATCAGAGTAAATAGTTTCTAAAAAAAACTATCACTTTCTTCAATTGGTCATCAATAACGTTTTTTAAATATAATGCATGGAATCATAGCTGTAATTGGAGACTTACCATTCGCTTGAAAATTTTAATTAATTATGCTTTAATAATAATATAGCTTACACAGAGAAAAGCTTTAAATATTAAAATCTTTTGTTTCACATTACAATGTTAAATGATTATAAATGTGCGAAGATATTTTTTGATTTGATATAAATTAACAATAATATTTGAAATTGAAAATTTAAATGTTATTGTTTTACCTCTTGATTGTACAACATTTATCGGCGTGACTCTGAGTCTGTTGTGATTTAGGTGAACATGGATAAAAGGCGACGGAATTCAGATGCTGACGATAATGGAAGGGGTGCTTCCTCCTATTCGTCCAGGATTCTCTCTTGGTTCAGCTCGGTACGCGGCACGCTTATCTCCACTTGATATCATTTACTTAACTCTTCCGGGTCTAGTTATGTATACATTAAATAAGTACTTATCTCAATCACTAGTCTTGAAGAACTCGTCCTTTGGGTATTTGCCTTACACTTTTTTACCATTTTTACGAGTTCTGCTATTCAGTCAAAGAAATTTTAATATATTATAAAAAATTAAATAAAGTTTTGTAACTAACAAGTGTGGAAAATTAATTCTCAAATTCTTGATGCATACTAAACAGGACGAGTTTTTCATTTTTAAACTTTGATGTACTTGTGAATTAATTATGAAATATTTTTAAATCTTTGATCCTGGAAGTGTTAAATCAAACATCTTTGCACATTATTTGAATTTAAAAATTAATTACTCTAAGAGGTTTAATTGCTCATACTTCTCTCTCTAAAAAAAACTTTTCTCTAGCTTTTGGTTTTTAAGATGATTTCGAAAAATGCAATTTGCAAAAATTCCATCAACATCAACAGTTATTTTACAAATTTTACAATTTCTCTACAATTTTCTGAAAAATGTCTACACATTTTTCAGAAAATTCTACATGAGGAATGGTATGAAGAAAGATTTTTAATTTCGTTTCAAGTTTGAGTCTGAATCAAGATAGGTTCGTAAGTACGTTACGAGTTTGTAGCAGAACCATTTTAAGCATTCAGTTCTCTTAAATTTGCTGACGACTAATTTTTAAAAATGTAATATTTTTCTTTTCATTGTGTATTTTAGACATACAAACATTTGTGTGTCTAAAATATACAATGAAAAGAATTTTTTCTGTCCAACGAACTGAATGTGTGTTTGAAAAAATTCTCTGTTTTATTACATGCACCGAAAGTACACCATTTCTTACCTGTGTAGAGTGAGAAAAGTATGCCTTTCCCTGCGATAGGGGGGGGGGGGGGAGTTACTATGCCTCTCCGTGGCGTCATAAGAAGGATTTATACAGAGAAAAACTAGGCAACTGCCTATGGGTCCACCATTTAAATTATTTTTTACAAAAAGTGTAAAAAAAATTTTTTTTTAAAAAGTATTTTACAAAATAATTTTAAATGTTTAGAAATTTAAGTAGCTCGCTTAATTCGTATATAAAATATACTTTACTTAATATTTTAATCTTGGTAAATATTTGAAAAACCCTTTCCTTACATGGGGCCCCTTGTCAAGTAAATCCGGCCCCGGTTAGAAGTGAAAAATCCGTAAGATCAGATACCTGGCTTAAATTCGAGGTTATGTGAATTTGACCGCTCTTGTTCTGGTCGACCCACTAAAAACCACTTTCGTCTTTGGCTGGACGTTTTTTTCCTAAAAGTCCTTGGGATTTCACTTACGCGACCTATGTCATTATTAGTAATATATTGGAGAAGATTTCATGGACCCCAGAGTCCAAAAATCCTGTACCCACACTGATTTTTAGAGTGCTTTGCAACTAATTCTCAACCTTATGAACAAGTAAGAAAGTGGAATTGGAAGGTTAAATTTTACAGATGGCGGTTGATATAAAGAGTAGTTTCCGTCCTTAGTATAGAATTTTCAGAGCATTCTCAATTTGGTATACCGCTTTTAGTAGGGGAATGGGTCCAAAAGTGATGACTACAGAATAATATAGCCCATTTGAATTACATTGGCTATATTCCCTTCTAGGATCCGGCGGTTCAATTGGTTGAATACACTTAACGGAGTAATTGTGCTGTCTGCTCTCTGCTGTAAAATCTTGTGTTTTGCATAATCTGATTAGTAGCACACACAAATTGTGACTGGTGCCTTGCCAGGTAATAACAAAAAATTTGGACACGCGCAACTAAACGATTAGTGCATTCTACAAACTCAGCTATTTTCGAAGAGTACAAAATTAGTTTGCAGATAGCGCAAGAAATACTGCGAAAAACGCAGAGGATTTTTTCCATGGAGTGACTAGCACATCGGTTATTTTTTGAAAATCATTGCTTTCTTGGCGTTACTCAATTTCTGCTAAACATTTGAGCAATGATTCCACTTTTCATTCTATCTTTATATATGTCCCAGGTAAATCGATAATAAAACTTTTAAAATGTTAATAGAAAATATATTATAAACATATCAGCGAGAAACTAATACCTTGGAAGTTGACTTGTGATCCCTTTAAGGCAGAATCCGTACTTGGATCTAAAAAGCAAAGCGAAACAATTTTTCGTGATGTTTTCTATGTATATAGGCATAATTCACTATAAGATACTTCATGGATAAGGGTTCCGCTTTTCTTCTTAGATTGAAGTATGAATTCTACCTAATAGAAAGGCACACTCATCGCTAACTAAATGTGTAATAGTTTTTCATCATCAATTGTTTAGTTACTAACAACTTCATTGTTCTTATTCCAATTTTTAATTCTGAGAAGAAACCGTATGGAAGTAGAGTTCTACATTGGTCTATACAACAATGTACCTGACATGGTTTGAACGCGGGTTTTATCCGGAAACAAAATTATGCTACTCACGATTACCACTCGATTCTGATTCGATATTTAGTCGGGTGCTTTATATGATTTCTACTTGGTCGTTTCTGCTAGCATATTAATATTACCTTTTTAACCGGTAAGTTTCAGCAATCTTGCTGTAATTAGTAAAATGTCATCATATAAGTCTATAGAATCACAACTTCCCGCCGGCTTTTGCGGCAGGCTCGTATTCTATCAAGTTATGAGGACATTTTGGTACTTTCAGCAATCTTACAGGTTAATTCAGGAAAATTATCATTCTACAGAACCGTCTTATAGCAGAATAGTCAATTAGCAAAAGAAAACTGCCGGAATCCTAAAAAGTCTATTACTCTTTTAACTCAAATTTCAAAGACTAAGGTTAAGAGAACTTTAAAACTCACTGCATACATGCTAGCTTGCATGCAACGAATCGGTTTGTGCATCAATCCTACAAACTCTGCTGTTTGTGGAGTCTTCAAAATCAATTTGCAAATAGCGCAAGAAATACTGTGAATAATGAAGGAAATATTTCCGTTTACAGATGAGGAACTTTGCTCGAAATGTATCATTTATATCCAAATTTTTAGGTGTTCTGGACTCGATTAAGCAGTATCTAATTTCTGTGACAATTAGTATTTATTTATCGTCATTATTTAATTAATATTAATTATTACTTATTAATTAATACATCAATAAGTAAATGTAACAAAATACTGAATGAAATTTAAATTTTTTACAACAAAAATAGGTGTACAAGTTACTACGTAAAGCTTATTAACCCCGTGAGTAGCATGCTAAAATACTGATAGATTCACTTAAAACGGATTACTCGGAGGTTTTTGGGTCTGTTAATGACGATTTGGGTGTTACTTTTTCAAAGTTCAAAATACCGGTTTCAATATGGCGGACTTTAAAAAAAAAATTGGACAAGTGCGAGTTGTACTCGCACTGCAATGGCGGGATCCGCACACAAATATTAAAACAATACTTGCACAACATTGATCGGTAATTGGTAGAATTAAAATAAACAATTATAAAAATATATTAAAATCATTTGATAAAAAAAATAACTAAAAAAAATTAAAGTATTATATATCTAATATTGTAAACAATAATAAGCAGAGGAACTATAATAAATTTTGAAAATTTTGTTCCTCTGCTTATTATTGTTTACAATATTAGATATATACAATACTTTAATTTTTTTTAGTTATTTTTTTTTATCAAATGATTTTAATATATTTTTATAATTGTTTATTTTAATTCTACCAATTACCGATCAATGTTGTGCAAGTATTGTTTTAATATTTGTGTGCGGAACCCGCCATTGCAGTGCGAGTACAACTCGCACTTGTCCAATTTTTTTTTATTTTTAGTTAAGAAATTAAAGTCAGAAAACAATCTCTCATTTATTCTCTTAAAATTTCACTCTCTTCCTTAAAATATTTAATACCACGTGTTTAAACTAAAAAAAATTTAAAAAAATTTTTTTTTTTGAAAAAAAAAATTAAAAAAAAAATTTTTTTTTAATTTTTTTCAAAAAGTTTCTTAAATAAATTTTTTGTCGTCAGACTGTAATAATACACTAGGATACCAATTTTCAGCTCATTAGGTCAAATAATGTAAAAGTTAGGAAAAAAAAATTTTTTTTTTTAAATTTTTTAGTTTTTCCTTGACAACGCTATGGCCATCATTACATATCAAGTTCTCTATATTTTTCCTGTAATATTCGAGTAAAAATACACCAGCATGCAAAATTTCAGCTCTCCATGTCGAATAGTTTAGAAGTTAAGGGGGGGGGGGGAATGGTCACTTTTTATGCATTTTTGGCCAAAAATCTTGTTATTTCCTTGACAACGCTATGACCATCACGTCCAATCACATTCGCTATATTTTTCCTGTAATCTACGAGTGAAAATACATATCTGGACAAAATTTGAGCTCTTTAGGTCAAATAGTTTAGCCGCTAGGGGGGGGGGGGACACGATTTGGCTACGGACAACAGAGTCTCACCAATAGGGTTCTGCCGATACACCGTAGGTGTACGGAACCCTAAAAATTATTGGATTCGATTGGACCGGATTACTTGGAGATTTTTAAATTAAGAAAAAATAACATCGAATTCGTAATCGAGCACCTGGATCGTAGAAGGGCACGTAAATTTTTCTCGGCCGAAATCGAAGTCCCCTAGACACTTAAAATTCAATTTCTGAATTTTAATATTTTAAATACACATCCTTATAGAAAATTTCATTGCGCATCTTTTTTTCTTATGAAATTTTTTTGTATCTATTACCGTTTTCGAAATACACTGGAACTCCCAAGAGAGTCCATCGTAGAGTCTTATGTGACTCTCTTGGAGAGTGACCTTGCCTTTTTGAAAATGTAAACATTAAGGGCCGTAGGGTCTATGAAAACAATATTTGTACGTCCATATGAAAAGGGCCCATTTATTCTATTTTTATAAATGAATATAAATTTTTATATTTTTTTACAATGTTATATTATAAATTAAACAAATGTTATTAATGTGAATAGAAATGTATAATGTTTATTTATAATTTAAAGTTTAAAATCGTTTGATTACAAAAATTAATCATTTTTAGAAAAAAAAATTGATAGTTCAAAAGTATATTTTATTTCAGTTAAACAAAAATTATGTTTCAGATATTTAGTTTAATTCTAAATGATACTATTAGATAATATTTAATTTAGAAACAAATTTTATGTTTAAATAAAGTATATTATTTGCATTAATTAAATAAACAGTTTTCTCAAAAATATTAAATAAATACCAAATTTGATCAAACTATTACTAAAAATTTGGATCAAATTATAAAAAAAAATGTTTGGTATCAATTCATTGCAATTTGATCAATTTTATTTAACAGTGAAAAAAAAGTTTAAGAAACAAAAAAATCTTTAAAAAGTAAGTTTTAAATATGTAAATAACCAGGGCCTTGAAGGAACACTTAAAATTTACACTCCTGGTTTTCGTTAGTTGATTTTGACCCCGCCCATCTGTACCCCCCTGACGTCTCTAAACGCCGCGACCACAGCTGGTGACTCTCTTGGGAGTTCCAGTGTATTTGAGAAAAATTGATTTTTTGAAAACTGCAAATTTAATAACATTTTTCACTTCAACTCGCGATAATTCAGATGATTTTAAATATTTTTCAATGTACCAAAAAAGAAAATACGTCTAAAGATATTCTACGAATGATAAAAAAGGAAAAAAGTTATTTTCTTTATAAACAAAATTGTTATTAATTTTTGTCTTTATTAATGTAAAAAACATAAAATACAATCTTCTCGGCTCTCGTTTAACGGGCGAATTTTAAGTAACAAAGAACTTTCAGTGAGAAAGTTGTTTATTATGGACCAAAGAAGTTTTCTGGAAAATCACAGGGTTAATAATTAATTACTGTTGAAATGGTGAATGTTTAAAGTTAATACCGTCCGAACGTGTGGCACGCGCGATAGCCATAACCTATGAAACGACACTCCCAAGCCTCCCAAGCACCTGTGGCGAGTGACGCGTGCTACACATTCGGACGGTATCAACTTTAAACATTCACTATTTCAACACTAATTAATTATTAACCCTGTGATTTTCCAGAAAACTTCTTTGGTCCATAATGAACAACTTTCTCACTGAAAGTTCTTTGTTACTTAAAATTCGCCCGTTAAACGAGAGCTGTGAAGATTGTATTTTATGTTTTTTACATTAATAAAGAAAAAAATTAACAACAATTTTGTTTATAAAGAAAATAACTTTTTTCCTTTTTTATCATTCGTAGAATATCTTTAGACGTATTTTCTTTTTTGGTACATTGAAAAATATTTAAAATCATCTGAATTATCGCGAGTTGAAGTGAAAAATGTCATTAAATTTGCAGTTTTCAAAAAATCAATTTTTCTCAAATATTTCGAAAACGGTAATAGATACAAAAAAATTTCATAAGAAAAAAAGATGCGCAATAAAATTTTCTATAAGGATGTGTATTTAAAATATTAAAATTCAGAAATTGAATTTTGAGTGTCCAGGGGAATTCGATTTCGGCCGAGAAAAATTTACGTGCCCTTCTACGATCCAGGTGCTCAATCATAGCTGCTTTAAAATCCTCTGAAGGGGTTCAAGTATTTTTAGATTAAAATGTTTCTGGCGTCATCTTAACCCTGGAACGGAAATATGATTTCTTTACCCTATAACTGAAAACTGGGGTGGCTTGGTAACCATAACGACGATTATAACACCATACCAAACAAAATTAAAGTAGTAGTAAGCCATGATCAAGAACCGGAAACCTTACTTCGGTCGGGTCAGAGGCGTAACTTAAACTTCGCGTGGGGTGCCTAATAACCCCAGTTTTCCGTTCTAGGGTTAAAATTCCTCAAAATTACAAGTTACTAACATATAAACTGCATTAAGTGTTTTATGTGTATGCACATAATTAACTTTAACTTTTGTCTTAAAACAATGAAGCTGAAACTGGCACCCAGTTATCAGCAATTTATTTTTCAAAATTTTATATTAGTTTCCACTTAATTTCCAAAATTAAGTGAATGCTGGTAAATAGGTAACAGTTTCAGTTTACTTTTTTGTGCAATTCTTGCGTTTTAAATTCTAAGACGGCAAAAACGTCTTAGCTACTTGCAAAATTGTAAAATTTTAAGACATTTAACACTTGGAACACCTGAATTGAGACACTTCATTTAAAAAAAGACGTTTTTAACCGAGACACTTTTAAGATACCTGTTTGTACAGTAACGTGAATAATACCAATGTACGGCTAAAGAAAAAATATTTTAAAATGTTCGGTTTTGTTTAATGCTAATAATTGAAAGAGAAGAACTTTTAAGCAAAGAAATATTTAAAAATTTACCTTGCACGCAAAGATACGGTCAGTGTAAGCAGGATGTTTCTGAATTTTGTACTTTATGTCTCTAGTTTTCCTGAATAGATATTACAGCACAGTTTCCACTAAATATTCTGTCCGTTAGCATTGTTGAAATTAGCCACCTTTTCTCTGCTGAAGAATAGGTTCAATGAGCTTAAACCTAGGTGTCTAAACTAACTACTCTATAAGAGAGTCTACTTTAGAATAGAATTAAACTTTTATAGTTAATAAAAATTACTCCTAGCATTTAATATCTTTTTCCTTGTTTTAGGGTGATGAAAAGGAGGATGGAAAAAATAAGAAAAAGATTCCAGTTCGTACCATTGAATTGCCTATTGATGTTCACAATAATGGACTTACTCAGAAGGAAATTGATGCAGCTACTGAAAAAGAGGTAAGGAATCAAAATTTATTTTGGTTTGTATTAAAGTGTCAAAAAAGTTTTTAATTTCATTTAATTTAAAATGGCATTTTCCGAATTGTTTAATAACGCGTACAAAATTTAACCAATTCTTTTGATATTCTCCGAAAATATAATTCTCGGGATCCTTAAAAAGTGTACCAAAGCTGGATCCGATTCAATAAATAGTTTATGAAAATTGCATTTGTTAACTAAAAACATGATTTTATCAAATGGAATTTCTTCATTTTTTACCTGATGGAGGGGATCATTTTTTGCTTAATAAACGATTAAACACAGTGGCAACATTTTTAACTTTAACATTTTGGGGTAAACGCCATTCAGTTAGATATATTTTTTTGCAAAAAAATCATGAACATTTGGTTATTAATATTTTTACTTAATTCTTCGATAATTTATTAGTTTATTAGTTATATTATTCGTCAAAAAGTTTGCAAACCTTTCAACAAACGACTTGATAATGAAAAATCGAGTTTTCATAGACCTTTTAGATTTCCCATTTAACATAAATGTGAAGAATTGTGTGAAGAATGTTAAGTTTAGAGTGTGTAATTTTAAAATGCTTAAAATTTTTTTATATGATTTCAGGGAAAAATGGTCGCTGATGACAAACAAGAGAAGGAACGTATTGATGTTAGAAATGCACTAGAGGAATATGTATATGATTTGCGTTCAAAACTTTTGGATGAGGGACAATTGGCAACATTCATTGTTGAATCAGACAGGGAAGATCTTTGTCGACTATTAGATGAAACAGAGAACTGGTTGTATGAAGAAGGAGAAGAATGTCAACGACAAGTGTACTCAGATAGATTATCGACGTTAAAAGTAAGTTTCATTTTAAATAATCAAAATTCTCAAAAATTTTACCGGAAAAAAGTATTATTGAATCATAAGTATTTGACTTCTCAAGTGACAATTTTCAAAGCTGTAACTCTATTTTAATTTGTAGATAATTACTTTTATAAAGTTGTAATTATACCAAACAAACTTTTTGTCTTAAGAATTACGAAACTTTCGAAGACTCGGTTGTAAAATTTAAACTATTTTTTTTTTTAATTTTAAAAGTTGTTGATAATTTTTTAAATACTATTTTACACCCTAAGAATAAATTATTTGGTTTTAATTGCCAAGTTTCATGATAACAAAAAAATACTCATAGAATTCTTGAAATTTGATAGTTACGAGGTGAACCAATAAAGGATAGAAAAATGGAGTTTGAAGGAAGAACTCATGCACTCGAAGAATTAGGCGGAGGTCTTCAACTAGCTAAAAAGGGTGTAGATCAAATTAAATTGTCTGCCGAGAAAGACGACAAGTACTCTCATATAACGGATGAGGAAATCAAAAAATTAGAGAAAGTTATCCATGAAAAGTGGATGTGGCTGGAAGAAAAGCGTTCAATTCTTTTGAGTACCCCACGAACCCAGCAACCTCCAATTCTCGTAGCTCAAATTCGATCTGAGAAACAGGTAAATTCTAAAAACTGCTTTCTAAAAAATTGATTTGAAATTGTTGTCTTAACTTTTGTACTTCATTTTGTATTTCAGTCATTGGACAGCACTGTCTTCTCCATTCTAAACAAACCTAAGCCAAAAGTTGAACATCCAAAAGAAGAGAAATCAAAAGAAAAGTCAACTGACAAGAACACTCAAAACGATCAAGGAGACAATGAGACGCATAGCAGTCAGCGGCAACCTAATGAAGATAATATGGATGTGGAGTAAAATTTAAAATCAATTAAACCAATAATATAAATTTAATTTAAAAAATTAATGTCAACTGTTTCTTATGCGAACGAGCATTTATTTCTGATCTACGAAGTACTGTACTGATTATATCATCACAATTTAAAAATTTTCTTTGCTGAAATAATTGTAACATCTCTAAATTATTAATTAATCAGGCATACGTAACTTTTTTTTCTTTATCTTTTCAATACTAGAAAAATAGTAAAGTGAGTTGTTCCAGTTTTGTATTCGTATTTTTTTAATTTTTATCACATTAATAAAACCATTGGCGTTAATAAAATGATTGCTTAAAACTGTACTTCTGTTATTACTTTTTTAAAATAAAACTCATTTTATAGTGATGAGACGTGAGTAAGGCAGACTTACCAATTTTCTCTAATTATCAATATTGGAGCAAAAGTAAAATTTTAGTGTATCAAGCTGATTATAAAGTTTATCCAACGAATTTTATTTTCTATTTATTTGTACACAAGATATTTCTCGGACCAAAATTAAAAATTACGGACCAATTATCTGGGCCCTTTTTGTGATAGTTGAAGTAACAAAAATTAAAATTTCTTTCTATGGAAATGAAGGTAAAACAAACAGCAGAATATTATTTTATAAATATAACATTATATTTTTGAGTTTCAATTATAAAAATTGGAAGTCTTGTGTCTCCTTAGATTAAAAAACTAATTTTCTTTCAACTTTATTCCTTTCCGAAGTAAATCCGACTTTGCATCTTCCGTTTGCTGTAAAAAATAAGAATAACGAGTGAAATCAAGTTTCATTGTTTGGTTAAGCGATATTTAAGCTACTTAATTATGAATTTTGAGGGATTCTATTTCTATAATAATAAATTCAGCTTGAAATGAATATAACTTACCTTTTTGAGCTCGAGAGAAGCAGCTTCACAATTATTAAACGTAAATACCCTGTAAAGCACTATCGAAGCTGCACAACTTGCAAAAAAGCCTAAATATAAAATACAAATTAAAATTTTCGAGTTAATTGCTGAAATATTTAAGCCAACATGTGAAACAATCTTTTCTGAATTTATTAGTAAGAGCGCCATCGAAATGAAGATCCCACATGTTCGTACAATCCAGTGCATAAGATTAGACATCTGAAACAAAAGAAGTTGATTCCTACTTATGATATTTTTTTATTTATTTATTTTTAAAAAATCTTCAAAATGGACCATAAAATATCAGGCACCTCATGGAATGGAGTTTTTGAAAATAGAACGAAAAGTTCTTCAATTTGATATCAAGCAGTGAAATCTTGGACTATTTTGCTTTTTCATCCGAATCTAAACTTCATATTGATTTATTTCTATAAGTAAATCGAAAGTAATGAGGAATGAACCTTTATTTTGTTATTATTAAATTAAAATTAATTCAAAATTTTGTTTTCAAATATCGAAAAAGGCAAAAACTTTACTTCCGTGAAACTTCTTGGGTAAAAAATATTCAACAGGTAGTTCATTGTTTTGTTTTAATTTTTCTTTTTACAGTATTATTGCAATTTGTTTTTTTCTCAAAGTAAGTATATGCGCAAATAGTTAAGAAATAATCTTTAAATTATATGAAAGTACTTTTGAAATACTTTTATTTGATTTTCGCGGTGCATCATTTTCAATTTTTGAACGCACATGTTTTCTGTTATTGAAATTATAAAAGTTTTTTGTTTAATGTATCAATGATTCCTCCGTTTAATAAAACTTGTATAATAAAATCTATTTTGGAACTAACAATTTTCATTAATTTCCAAGTTTCATTGAAAGTTAGAAAAAAATGTTGAAAATCACACATAAAACGTGAAAATATTGTTATTTTTTTACTAATGTCAAAAATCTTTTTTAAATGATTTGTTAAATGATTATTAAAATATCTCAGAGGAATTTGATAATTACACTGTAAAAAAAATTTTCTGTAGATTTACAGTTTTTGACGGAATTTTATTGAAATTTCAGAATAGTAAATTTACAGAAAATCGTAAAATTGACACATAAAAAGTATTAAGTTTATCTACAAAAGGGATTTTAAATTCGCTACATTTAAAGACGTTATTTTACAAATTTCTTTAAAAATTCATAAAAAACTGTAAACATACAGAAATTTTTTTTTACAGTGAGTTTTACTTCCAGACATATATGTTCACAACGTTCACAACGTTCACAACACGTAAAGAAAACATAACCTCTCTGAATATTTGTTTTTTGTGGTTATATGTCATGCATAATTAATTTTCCACTAAAAAAAAATACTATTTTTTTGCTAAATTCTATAGAAATAATGTACTTGTACTTAAATTAATTCAAAATATAGACATAAAAATGATAATATTTACTAAAAACTTACAATTTTATTTACTTATTTTTCCCTTGACAGTAACTACAGAATTTGCCTATGTTTACTGGAATATTTACCCAATCACCGCTCGACAACGATGGCCATTTTGACAAACTTTAGGCGGTTGGCGTACATTGAATTTAAAGCATCATTCAATAAAATATTTACAGAAAAAACTTGCTGTAAAAATTTATGAGAACTCTAGTCATTGCCAAATTTTGAAAACAAAAACTATGCCTAATAGAATAAATTCAAAATAATCGTCTCAAAAAAAGCAGTACCTGAAAAATGCAAGTTGAAGTCGTCGTTAATCTATTGTTAACGACTTCGACTTGTATTTCACTACATTTTTCCCAAAAAAATGTGAAAATATTGTAAAATGTAAATATTCTTTGTTGTCGACACTTCTGTTACTAAATAACAATGAACTGTAGAAAATAAACAAATGAATTTCAACAGAAACGAATCGAAACTATGTTTATGGAATGCTGCTCCAAAATGTGTGCACTGAGATAAAAAAAAGTTGTAAATAATGATTAAATGAAAGAACATATTCACAACGGAAAAAAATTCAACTTAAAAAAGTTGAAAGAAAAAATAGACAATTATGTTTAATTTTATTCTTAGGTATTTTAATTTTAATTTTTATTGCAGATACGTTACTTTTGATTGCTTATTTGAAAAATTCACGAAATTTCCAACAAATTTCATGTAGCATATTATTTTCGTTCCTCTGATATTGAAGGAGAAAAACGCCTTCAAAAACATTCAATAATTTGCGTGAAATAAAAAAATATTTATTCTTTCTTTTCGAAACAGAATCCAAAAAGAATTATTCTAACCAAATCTAATTATCGAAAGAAAATATTGTGGAGATTGTCGCTTCTATTCTTCTGTAACGACTCCATTGTGCAAAAAGTTGAATCATTAGCCGTTAGAGAAATGGCATTGTTAACAGAACTATTCTGTAACAGTTGTAATGTGTTTACAGAGAAACTAATGTAAATACATACGTATTTTGTGACAAAAGTTTACCTCACTTAGTTTGTTTATTTTTGATAATTGCCACCATATTGTGTGATAATTAGCATGCTTAACAAACATACTTTTCAAAAGATAATATCAGAAAAACCCTTCACGACATTCAACAAGTTAAAATGATGAGAATTTTGCAATTTTTTTCTTTCTTTTTTATTGTTAGTAAACAATTTCTACCACAAGTTGGTAATAAAAGACAAATTTTCAAATCTTCTTAAATTTATACTCAATCTTTTCAAACTATTTTATAATTTTTTATTAGTCCTCTTATAACTATCATGACTTTTCGCTTATCCTTTCGATAATAATTGTAAAAGAATAAAACAGAACGTTACATTTTTTAAAAGTTAATGCAAACTTTTTATTGTAAAAATATTTATAACTGTTAAAAATTAGTACACGAAGAAATGGATTATTCTAGGTCTATATTGATACTAGTGAGTACAATCTGATTTACACACGAGTGTCATACACAATTTTTTGCAACACTAAAGCGCCTAAACTTAAAGTTTAGATGCAGCGAAAGAACTTTATACGAAAAAGTATGAAAATTTCAAGTTTGTAGTAATCTAACTATGTATTTTCTTTAACAGTGTGCTAATATAAATAAACCCACTGCTATAAAAAGAGACACTTTACACACATTTTTCTTTGTAAAATTCAACTTTACATCAATTAGTGTTGCAAGAAATTAAATTATTATAAATTAAAATATTTTATGAACTTTTCTTTTACAGCATTTCGGTTTTATAGGTATTTTCAATTACAGCCTGCCTATTATCGTTTGGAAACCTTTATTCACAAGTTTAAAACGTTCTATTAGATTATGAGTACAAAATATGAATACTTTCGATTAAATTTTGAAGGCCGTGAAAATATCAGGAACCAAGGACGTCATCCAACCAAATATAAACCGTTATGAACTTATGAAAAACCATTGGGATTGAAACAAGTCGAAAATAAGAGCCTCGATGGCAAGAGGAAAACAAAATTTGAAACTCAAGTGTTCAAATAATAATTAGAAATAAATTACTGATAAAACACAATTAAGAGTATTTTGCGAATTTATTTACTTTAATACAAATTTGACATTCACTCACAGTGTTTACTTGATTAGAAACAGGACGTCAATTACTCACTTGCTCATATTTTATTACAAAAAAAAAAGAATCTTTCACACTCTTACGTAACATACGTGAAGTTTTCTGTTGTATGTCCATCACAATGTTAATTAATTCTGTAACTCGAACCCCTGGCACTTTTTACCGATTATGATTAACTAGCGCTTCAAGTATGGCATTAAAAATTTAGAAATTATTATTGTGATAATACATGTTTCAGCACATCAATTTTTTAAAATTGTAACCGAAAGTAGTTACTGTATTTCTCGTTAAATTTCATTTCAATGTCTTCACCAAAATATCTAAAACACTAAGTAATACACTGTTATAAAAAAATAAAATAAATGACAGGTTGTAAAATTATTGACAAAAATTATCTTCTACCATATATAAAAACCTAAAAAGTCTTAAAAGGACTTCAAAAGTTCATGAGTCTTAAGAAAACTTTTAGATGTTGTGTTCAGTTTTCTTCTTCTTCCTCCTCCTCCTCCTGTTCATCTTCTTCCTCTCCGGTACTCTCAGGTTTCTCCTCTACTTTCTTTGCCCTGCCGCGACCACGTCCCGAAGATGGAGCTGCTCCTTTCGCAGATCCTTGCTGAAATTTACATTCATTTATTTATTTATTTTTTTTTTACTATTTTTTCGATTTTACGAGATTTTTTAAATACATTTTTCAATTATTTTTAAAAATATTACATTTTTAGTAAATTACAATACAGGCTTTAACTGAATTCGCATTAACTACGCTAGTTTACAAGTCAATTCTAATTTCATTTAAATCAAAATTCAATTTACAATTATTTAAGTCTTAAAAAATTTTAACTGAAACTTGACATTGAATAAAAATAGAAAATTAAACAATGATTTTAGTAACAAAATCTTTTTTAATTAAACCCAAAATAAGTAGAATTTGTTTGAAAATTTGTGTATATTGAAAAGAAGTGACATCATCATTATTTTTGTTCTCAAATAAATAATCGATTTTTTGCGATTTTAGTTAAAAACCTGTATTTTCAGCTATTTTTGAATTGTATTTCTCCCTCAAGGTTGACTCTTTTTTCAAAATTAAACTACAATTTTTCCTAAATAATCAACTTTTTGTTAACTTTACTACAATTGGCAAAAAATTTCTAACTTTTTAAATTTTCGAGGAAATAAGTAATTTTTTAGAAAATATTTTTTTGAATCCACAAAAAAATTTTCAAATAAAAAAATTGATTTTCATAATTTTTAAAACATTTTTTTGGAAAAAAATCTGTTTTTAAACTGAAAATGCTAAAAAAAACTGTTATTCGATTTTTGTATATATGGAAATTAATTTGTTCATTTTTCTAACTAATCTCAGATCATAATTTTTATATATAAAAAATAAAAATACAAAAAAAATTAGGATAAAATTATGATCTGAAATTAGTTAGAAAAATAAACAAATGAATTTCCATATATACAAAAATTGAATAACAATGGTAATTTTTTTTAGCATTTTCAGCATAAAAACCGATTTTTTTTAAAAAATGCTTTAAAAATTATGAAAATCAATTTTTTTATTTGAAAATTTTTTTGTGGATTTATATCGTAAAGTTAATAAAAATTTAATTATTTGGACTTCTGTAGTTTAACCTGAAGAAAAGATTAACATTTTAGAATTTAAAGACTTAATTTTAGTTGAAGAATTTAATTTTGGAAAACGTGGATATACCTTCTTCTTGTGGGAACCCTTTGGTCTGCCTCGACCTCTCTTTGCAGGAGCTGATGGAGCATCATCTTCGTTATCGGATTTTGAACGGACTGTGTTATTTTTTTCGGCTGCAGGTCGGCCCCTCTTTTTTGGTTCTTTCGACACGCTCTTTTCTCCTTTTGATGGTCGACCTCTCTTCTTCTTCTGGTCCTCAACTGCTGTGGAATTATCGTCTGACATGGTGTGCTGTGTTATTTTATTACTTTCGATTAGCTGAAAACAAAATTCTACATCAAAATTCTGAATCAATTCATTTTTATATTATATTATAATTACATATTATTTATATAAAAATATAATTTATATAAAAAATATAATTTATATAAAAATATTTAATTATATATTATATATTTTAAAAAAAATTGTATACTTATACTAAAATTAATTTCAAGATACCTTTTAAATATTTAGAAAAAAAATGTCTTCCTACGGCCCTGTATGTTGACAAGTTTTTTCTCGCAAAAAAATAAAAAAAAATTTCAATAAAAAAATTAATTTATTTTGCTATAAAAAATAAGTTAAAAATAACTTTAGTGAAAAATTGAATAAAAAAATATTAATATTAGAGAGATAATTTATCTAAGCGTTTCTATCGATTTTCCAAGCAATACTTGTAAAATTATAGTGATTCCTACTATAACGACATTTATTGAATAAACATTATTGAACAAAACGAAATTTTTTACATAGGCTTAAAAAAATAATTCCGAATTTTCTACAAGTTGGAAAAATAAAAATAATTAATTGGCGTGAAAATTAATTAATTATTTTCAAGTGGGGGGCTTGACGCTCAACGCAAATACACACTTTGCAAATGACTTGTTTGAATCAAAATAATTTTCCAGGAAATAATAATGAAATAAACTTCAAGTTTAAAAATACAAAGAAATTTTTTTTGCTATTATTTGCCACTAGTTTATTATTTATATGGAGAAAACCGAACAAAAATTTATGAGAAAAATTCCGCGCCCGCCATTTTCAAAATCAAAGGGTAAATACTTGCTATCAATTTGAATTGAACAGACGCCAAGCGTCAAACACGCATTTCTAAATGCAACATTGTTTTCTTGAAAATGCCTTCAATTTTTTAAAAAATATTTCAACACTGCTGAAAAATTTTAAAGACGCGAGAAAAATTATTGCGAATTTCAGAAAAGATATCTCTAAACAAGACGCCATAATATAGAGTATGGACAATTTAGTGCCATCAGAAACAGTGCGTCGCGTCACAATCTTGGCGGAACTCGTATTTTTCGCTATTTGTGACAGTAACGAAAATGCGAAAAAATTTCTTAAAAAGGGAAAAAAAATAATCGTTGCCCGAGACGATGGAGAAGATGGGAAAAACAGTAAAAGCACGAAAAGAAGGAAAATTGCGCTTACCTCAATGTGATGTAGAGACAAAGGCGGCTAGGCGGCTACCGGTGCGCGCGTCGTGTGTCTACCGTGCAGTTTGGTGCGGTGCCGTGCAATGCGAAGCGACGCGTGCAATTCAGAAACAGACGCCTCACCACGTTTCGGTCGCTCGCCACTCGCTTTGTGCTTCTCTTCTCCTCTCTCACTTGCCCCTTGCGACTAATCGCTCCCTCCTTCTCTACTCAAACTTTCGTTCACTATGTGCGCTTGCGTCCGGCTACACTCTCCCACCCTTTCAACAATATTAAACCAATCCAAAACTATTTTATTGCCTCTATTTCGCTTCCATTATTAACAATAACCAACAATTACCCGCTCAAATATTATTCTAAATCAAACCCCCCTTTTTCATTTTTTTCATTTATTCCCCAATTACAGCTAAATTAATAACTTAAAACATTCCCGCGCGTATTTAATTTTCCTCTTCGCGCTTAAAATCTGCCCAGATTCAATCAATTCATTGATTGATTTTATTTGTCTTCTGCTATCAAGAGCATTATGCCAATTCCCGCCAAAAGATTATTATTATTTTATTTATTACTGGCTGTCTTAAAAAAATCGTTAATTTAATATTATCTATTCCGTAATATTGTAAAAAAATTTAGTTTTTTTAAAACAAACGAAAATATTGTTTGACGAGGGAAGCATAATATAGTTTTAATGCAAAATCGATAATTGCACACATTTAAGGTACAGTCATACTTCTCTCCGCGTGCATTGAGTTAGGGTTTAGTCCCATAACGATACAAAGTGGAAAATGCAGAGTAGATAATTATTGGAAACCGTAAGAGGGAAAAAAAAGAATTCTCATATTATTGACTCTCATTTTTGTGAATTTCTACATTTTCAAGTAGACGATGAGTGCAAAAGTGACAAGCGTTGTCGTGGTCCTGCCTCCACATTTTTCCCCTATATTCCTTTATAAATACTATAGGGATTTAACGGAAAAAAGTGTAGTGGGATCGCTATGACGGTTGTGTCGACCTAACCGACTGAGTTGACTTAAAGCTAAAAATTCTAAAAATTAGAATTCAATAATTTAAAAAAATATGTTTCGCAAAATTACTTGTAACCCGACTTTTATAGAATTCTAATGCAATGTGAAAATAAATTTTCTTCTTGATTAGGTACAGAATAATCGAAAACTTTAGCCGAGCTGTATTTTACCCTCCGCGTCACGCCCCTAGTGAGGGATTCCCTCCTTAGTTTCACTTTTTTTTTCTCTGATCGTTAACCAGGAAATAAGTTTATTAATTAACTAGTTAATAGCTTCTTTATGCAGCATCTGTTAATGCTGCATTAATTTTATGTATTTTGTGTTAGTGTAGCAAATGCTCAACGTTTTTGAGAATACAAACGCATTTAAATAATCGATTTTTACAAAAAATGTAAAAGTACTTTTAGAAAAAATTCTTTTGCTTTCATACATTGAAAATAGACCAAGTTGTGACTATCGTAGTTTCAAAAAGTTTGAGTCTTCTGGTTTTCATAATTATGCAGAATGCAAAAAAGGAAACCATGTATGTGAAAGGGATAGTGCTACAAGTCTATGTTACTTGCACTCATATTTTTCTCTTCTACATTGAGCATTTCAGCTTACATATAGAACTGCACCCTGCGGGCTGCGGGCAGTCGGGACAAGGGGAGCGCATGAATGAAAGAGAGAATTAAAATTTTTCTGCTCACTCACACTTATGCACCACCCTTGTTTCGTCTTCCCGATGGCATGCTTCGCGAACGAGAAGAATGAGATAGAAAAGGATATAAATATATATCTGTCCTTCTCCAACTCATACTTTGCGTTTTTGAACGACGTTCGCGCATTGTGCCTAGGCCTTCAGCAGAAATCGTAAAACCGGAAGCAGAATTTCACGAGAGTAAAAAGTGTAGTGATATCTGACTATCTCTCTTGCACTCATTATTTTCTACTTTCGGTTTTCGCTTTCTGCTTACATGGGATCGCACCTTTACAGTGAGGATAGATATATATCATTGTGTTCTTTTCTATCCCATTCATCAGGTTGAGTCCACAATAAAATAAATCGTCTCGATTTCGATGCGCAGTAAGCAAAAATGTACGGGCATCGAATCGTCTTGAAAGTCGAGACGATTTTTAGCTATTCTGCCTTTCTCTCTCTTATGACAGAGGCATAAAGATACAGTCTCATGTCAGCGTGAAACGGAAAACGTTTAACTAATAAGAATTTTCTATTAGAAAGATTTCCATTGAATCGGAAGTTATTATTCCGAAAATGGAAAATGTAGAGTGAGACAAACTTATGCCTCTGTCATAGCATAGGAGAGAGAAAGACAAGAATGGTTTTTCCAAAAGTTGTGTGACCGTACCATTACTATTTCTGCTTACCGTGACTGCACCCTTTGTCGGTTCTTGCAGTTCCCTTCAAGTGTGGAATGAGCATTAGTAAAATAGTCATATTAAAAAGCACATTGTAGAATCACCTTTTGATAAGTTTGTTTTGTTGACTGTATTTTAATCTCTTTCTGTAATACAACAAATTTTTGTTATAAAAAAAAGAGTTTGGGTTTATTTTGAAAACACTATTTGTTAACAATGACTGAAACAAAGGTTGGTATTTAATGTTTATAAATTATCTAAAATTGTCATAACAGAAATGTTGCAACTTTAAAAAAAAATTTTTTAAATAAACTCCTATACCTCTTTTTATCAAAGATAAATAACATGAATTACTTTATCAGAAAAATGACAAAGTCAATCTTTTTTAATTATTTAATTTTACCTTATGAAATATAACTCCACTTTTGTTAAATTCATATTGTCCGAAAAGACACCATAACCTTTTTTAAGTGATGTCACATAGTGTGATGACATGTAATTCATCCTTGATTTTCGAGAAATGTTAAAGTCCGACTATGAATAAAAGTTCATACTTTACGACAAGAAATAATTTTTATGTTAAATTTTCTTTCGAAAATATTACTCACTGTAAAAGGAATGATTTTGTGTTGAGTTTCGAATAAGATAATTTTATCCGATGAAAATAAACAGAACCTTTCTTTATTTTGAATAAATTTATAATTCTATCCGTCAACTCTCATAATTAGATTTTCATAAAATGAGCAAATATGTTTATTTTACACGAGTAAAAACTATTCATAACATGTTAAACAATTTTGTTTCTGAAAAATTTGACACGTCTAAAGAAAGTTAAAATCAAAGCCGTAGATCTTCATTTTATATACTTTTTACACCAATTTCAAAAGAATTGAAGGTGATGGCGTTAAATTATAAAATAACTTAAAAGACCCCGCACAAAATGCACTACTTTTCGCCTACCGTTAATTTTTTCTACATTTTCAGAAATAATAGTTAAATGTGTTCAGATTAAAGATATAATTTATTTAATCTCAAAATCCTAATAGTTTTTCGAAAATTAGGGTTTAGAAATACTCCTTTTTCAAAAAAATTAGTGACTTATTAATGAAAAAGGGGTAATTATCTACATATTAATTTTCTTTCCCTGTATACTTCTTTTTGATTGAAATAATTTAATTATTTTTAAGTACTTCGGTCTTAAACTTGTCATCAATTACAATTTAAACAAATAATAAATCAGATAAATTATAATTCGTCTATGAAAAAAATTCTTGCAAACTCTAATTCGAAGTGACAAATATTCGAGTAAATTATAATTCGAAATGAATCTTTTGTGTTAATAAGATAGTTTGTAAGAAACATTTCTGTTATTCCTTATTGAGATGTAAGTAATTTTAACTTTATTAATTTTTTTCAGGAAGTTCCGGAAGCACAGATTTTTAAAACTGTGCTTACATATTGTCTATTTATTATTGCATTACCAATAATAAGTTTCTTTACGAGCAAGACATTAATATTCAATAGTATGTATGATTTAAAGGAATTATTATCTTTATTAACTACAATATAGTTTCTATACATGCATCCAATGAATTTTAACGAGTTTCTTTTTTAAAGTTCTTATTGTATTAATTTAAACCATTAGTTGAGTCTAAATTACCAGAAAGTAGTGAGAAATTTTTATCAAACAGGGAATTTTATTAAAAATTGTATCAATAACGAATTTTCAATTTAAAAAATTTTTTACATAACCAAGAAAAGTTTCAATCTCTCGAAATAAGAAAATGTGGATTTATCAAAACTTGATCCTCAAATATACATTTACTGCTGTGGAGGTAGAAATGAAAAAAATTAAATAGAATTGTTTCTTCTTTTACAGGTCTCTTGGGGGTAAATAGTATATCAAGTAATGTGTATGCTGCAGGTGTTGCTATAATTGTTTTGCATGTGGCTCTAGGTGCATTTATTTACAGAACATATTTCGACTCGCAAACAAAGAGTCCAGCGAAAACGGATTAAATGGAATTTACTTTCTTAATACATGTATTATATAATATAAAAATGTGACATTATTTTATAGTATATATTTTCAAGTATTTGGAAATATTTTATCCTATTAAGAATGTAGGAATTTAATTAAATATGCTTGAAAATATATCAAACAAAAAATTTTATATAAATTATACTTATAAATTATTGTATTATATAACTTTAGACTAATAATATTTTTTAAATAAAATATTATCTTTTATCCACTGCTTTTTATTACCTGAGATGTCTTTTCTTCATAAAACTTTAGCTGGTGAACAGTTTAATCCTAGAGGGAGAAAGTAGTGTGCGTACGCACTTCAAGTGAGGAAGATCTCAGTACTTACATAAAGTAAGTACTAAGTTAACTTGTTGTTAATTTGGAATTTGTTAATAACAATTGTTCATAAAGTTATTAAATAATTGTTGTGAATAATTTTCATTTCAATGATTCATTAAGAGAACAGTATAAAAAAAACAATTTGTTTATAAAAATTGTAGAAAATAGTGTTAAATTAGTCATAGTGATAAAATTTTATCATAGATGTCAGTTTTATTCTAATTTTAGGCATTTGTGATAAGAAAATGTGTTTGCAATTTGTTTTTCTGCGGCTATTAAAAATTTTAGATATTTTGGGCGCCATTTTGAATTTTGAAAAAATAAAAATTTCTCATAATGACTATAAATGAAAGGTCATACATTTTGGACGCGATTTTTGTCTTCCCGAATTTTTCCTGAAGCGATTTCCAATCAAAAATAAAGTTTCAATGAAACAAAAACCAAAAAATTTTGTGATTTTTTTGTTTAAACAATCATAACTTTTAATCCTTGAGTCAAATGTTAAATTTTCTTGCAGATTCTGAAAGAAGATGACAAAATACATAAGTAACAAGTAGTACAAATGAGAAGGCAAAAAACGGATATTTCGTACGAAATGGGTTAAGGTTTTCAAGATTAACTGAAAAAGATTAGAACCAGGAGACATAAATTAGTATAGTAACTGCATTAACAACAAGTTTGTTTAAAATATAATCACAAACAGTTTAATTCATCAAGGTAACATTTTTCAAAAGAATTGAAAGTGTAATATTCTTAAAAATGATACAACAGTAAATTCTTTTTCTTTAAATATAATCACAAATTTTTTAATCCTCCATGGTAACATTTTTGAAAAGATAAGACATAGATTCTTTATTGTGTATTCGGCGAATCGCCTCTGCTAATAGGATACTAATGTCAACAGTTTTTATTTTCTGACATTGCATCTTTTGTAGTTCGTGAGGAATTGTATTGGTTACGACAACCTGAAACAAATTTTATTAATTATATTTGAAAATTCTTCAAAATTTTGACTATTTTTAATCATTTAAATAACAATTGTTCAATTTAAAAAAATTAATTATGAAGATTTTACAAACCTCATCGATTGGTGATTCTTCAATAAGCCTAGGAGCATCAGAACTAAGTAAACCGTGAGTGGCTAAAATATAAATTTTATAAGCTCCACTTTCTTTAAGTAATTCCGCAGCAGTAACAAAGGATTGTACATCGTCTACCATATCTTCCTGAAATGTTTTGTTCATTTACATATCAAATTAAATCTACACCTCTCAATTTCGATAAAATTCTTAAAGGAACTGATTTGATTAATTTCTTAATTTGTATAATAGAATAAAGAAATTAACAATCGTACCGGTTTAATTTATTTTTGGATATAATATTAATATGTGGACGTCTGCATGAAAAGGGCCCATTTCGCCTAATTCCCGTATTTTCAAAATCGGATCCCTTGAATTTTCAAAACAGAGGAGGAAAGAAATGTTAAACCTATTAATTTTGCATCTAAAAGGTGTCCTGGACTAAAAAAAAATTCTCATATTGAATAACTTCAGATAATAATAATAACAATAACAAAGATATTGTTGTTACGATCTTTGATATCGTTTTTCACGAAATGAGGTTTTTAGCATTCTGAACCTTGAAACTTTGTAACTCATCGAAATTTTTACCTGAAGGGTTATAAGGCCTCTCAAAATTTTCCAAATTTTGCAAGATACTTGCCTAAATAGACAAGTCCAATATTGCCAATATGGGCCCTTTTCATGCGGACGTCCACATGTATTATCTTTAACATTCACAACACACAATAAGCATAATACTAATTATTTTTTGCATTTAGGTTGTGATTCCAAGATTAAGTCAAACACAGAATTTGTTTACAAGAAAAATACCCTTGACAATTGAGGATCCAGATCGCTTGCGCTTAGTCGCAAGGGATAATACCAGTCAGGTAGCAGTGACCATACCCTTCGGAAAAGGGATTTGACTTTTTACTTACCACCATAATTGCGATCTTTCCACTAACATCTCCAACGACATTTATGGGGGGTTTCTCCTTAGCAGGGTGTATTGGAACCCCAACGCCAACTTCCATTGTTCTCAAGGATAATGATGCAGGTGGAGAGCCACGGCCATCATTCATGTCTGTGTCTGCTTCCCTCTGCTCTCCATGTATAACAGCAATTCCAAGTCTTAGGCGCTCTGCATAACTGGTCGCCTTTTTCGCACTGCCTGGATTTCTGGCTACGATAACCGAGTCACGATAGTTTGGTATCTGAAATCAATAGTTATTTCACGAAATGTTGAATTTGAAATCACTTGGAGTCTTTAGGGAGCATTTGCATTATAAAATACAACTAACCGACTCTTGAATGTACTGTAACAGAAAAGGACTGGCTCTCAAGTTATCGACTGGGCAATCAAAGAATCCTTGAATTTCCTTTTGATGTAGGTCCATTGTTATTATGTGAGTCAATCCACTTTTGCACATCATTTTCGCTAGCAATTTCGAAACGATACATCCGCGTTTGCGCATTTTGCATTGCTTCGAATACGGCAAGTAAGGAATTACACCGACAATGTTCTTAGCAGATGATGTTTTGCATGCGTAAGCCATGATAAGTAGCTCCATAATATTGTTGTTGACGTCTTTCGAACCAGTTTGTATAATATAAATATCCTTGCCTCTGACAGAGTCGCCGATTTCAACCATCGTCTCTCGATTGGTTTTATAATACACTGCGCATCCTCCAGTTTTCACACCTAAACGACTTAGAGAGGAAAAATCGAAATTCAATAAATACAGATATTTCACTTAGATTAAATTAGAGAATAGATAAATTCATAATCTAAAAACTTTGAAAATTAAGAAAGCTATTTGTAAAGTGTGTGCAAACTTTAACTAAAAAGAGAAATTTATGTAATCTAGCTCATTAGGGTAAAACTTACTCAGCAATTAAATTAGCCAACTCGGGATAAGAGTTGCCTGTGATTATAACTACATCCGCTGCTATTGGTCTATCCATGTTTGAAGATCCTTTTTCCAAAAACCTGTCGAAAATAGGCATAATGACACATCAATTACCAATTTTTAACCGTTAGAGTATATTTTTAGAAATTAAATTAATAAATTGAAACAATGCCATTGGTCATTTGAAAATGTGTTAATTAATTAATCTTTTCGTGCTTCTGATAAAAAAATATAACTTAAAAAATTTGTGCACTTAAAAAATTTCACATAATTCTTATAAATTTGAACCAATTAACAATTAATTTAGCTTGTTTTAATCACGAACGTTACTAATAATTGTAAAAAAAGAAAAAAAATTACATAGTGGGATTATAATTATTATAAACAATAGGTAAAATGTTTATAAGAAAATAGCGAAATCTAATTTTTCAAAATTATTCCTCAAATTTGTTTAAAACTTATTACTCAGGAGTTTTCACGGTCACTGACTACATATCTAAAATTAGATTTTTCAGAATTTTGAAAGTTTAAAATGTCGGATTCAATATGGCGGACATTTTTTTAAAGTTGCTCAAATTTGCATAAAACTTGTTACTCTGGGATTTTCGGGGTCGCTGATTACGAATCTGAAGTCAGATTTAAAAAATTCAAAATGGTGACCCCGATAACTCCCGAATAGCAAGTTTCAAGCGAATTTGAGCAGATTTGGCAAAAATGTCCACCAAAACCCCTGAGTAACAAATTTTAACAAAATCCAATCACTGGGTTTTCCGGGGGTCACGAAAGGGTTAATTTATATCCAATATAATTATATGGTAGGTCAATAATTTTTCTAATAAACATTTTTCAATACATATTTAAAAAAAAAGTTTATAATAAAATCATTGTGGGTCATTTTACCCACGTAAAAAATACGTATTTGTTCGAAACAAATGAACTAATTTTAAAGTCTTTTTTAAATTTATTTAGTAAACTTTCCAGATACTAATCAAATAGTTTAACAGTAATATTGACTTATATAAATATAGATATACGTCAAAACAGAAGAAATTTAGTATGTTTTTTGCATTTTGGATTAAATGTTTATAAAAACAGATTATTGTATTTGAAATCGAATTTTTTCAAAAATCATAATTTAAACTGCATATTATTTTAGATTGGGAGAAAGCATACAACATTTCTCTAAGACATTTTTTTGATTAGAAGTCAAATTTCGGAGTTATAAGCTCTTAAATGGTGAAAAAAAACACAAAAATTCCAAACTAAATTTTTTAAAATAAAAAAATATTTTCACTTTATAATGTAAAAATTACTGTAAAATCCAAGAAATTTGTGATGAATAGTATTTTGATAAAATGTATATTCAGTTAACAATAAAATATAATTCTAACTCGGAATACATGAATCTAAAGCCAAATGGTTGTTTGTGCAATATGATCAAATATGATTCATATTTAGTGTACAAAAAAATATGTTAATTTTAAGTAGCGTCTAGTATCTTTACGTATAAAAAGATATCTAGTTTACCTATGAATTATGATTAATTAAACACCTGATAAGAATGTCAGTGGATCGTTTAATATTGTAAAGTAAGCGCAATATTTTAATCAAATTAAATATGCTTCGACAATTACAAAAATGTACATTACAAACTAAACAAAAATAACTACAAAAATAACTAAATAAAAAATGCTACATCTTAGAATGCTTGACAATTTTCAAATTTTAAAGATTTATTAGTTATGTAATGAGAAAATTAGAAACTGGTATTAGAATTATTTATAATTCGAAACTTTTATATTATAACTTCAGGTAAACAGAACAAACAATTAGAAATTTTGAATATTTATTTTTTTATCATTATCTTTGCATTATTAGATAGTCAACCGTAATTCTTTTTTAATAAGGTAGTAGAATCATTGCACAAAGCATCGAATGTTTCTTGAAAGTTGAAATTGACATGATTGCAGCCTTTAAAATCTAGTTGCGAAGCTCATAAAGCTTTACGTAATTCTTTAAACGTCCAACGTTATTTAAAGTTTGACACTAAAATTAACTGAACATTAGATATTTAAAAAGATACTTCAAGTTTTATGAGCTTCGCAATTAAAAATTCCGTAGCTTACAGGCAAATTAATTTCAACTTTCAGGAAGCCTTCGATGCTGTGTCGGATTTGTAAAACTCTGTAATAAAACCAGAATTCTTATCAGAACTCATAAAAGCATAAATTTTGAAAATTTTAAATTGCAGTCTTTTTTTCGGATTAAATTGGAGAAAAGTATTTTAAGAAAATACAAGGACTATTTGTAAAATTCTTTTTAAAAATGTCGTTGAAAACTCTAAACTATTTTGTAGAGAATTATGAAAATAAAAGTAAAATGGTTTTAAAAGTATGAAATATGACAATTGTAAAATGAAAATTTATTATTTTGCAAAACATAACCCAAGTGAAACTATTCATAAAAAAACAGTGACAATTTTTTCAAGTTTACATAACTTGAAAAAAGTAATAAAAAAAGTTTTCTTTTCCAATATAAAACATAAGGTTACCATAGCAAATTAGAGTCAATAAACACTAATTGTTGTTTCGATAAAAAGGATTGATCGACAAAACATGACGTCTTTCATTCATTATGCAGACAAGAGGACAGATGATAATACACTGCTATGTAAACCTAACATTTTAGACTAATAATCAACTAGTAAGAAATTTAGTTCTTGTTTCAATGAATTTTACATTCAAAATAGTCACTTGGTAATGCTTCCAAATATACAGTTCTCAAAATTAAATAAATTAAATTAATGTAAATAATCTATACATACTTATAAGTATTGCAAGAATATTGATTTTTAAAAAATGTCGTCGTTTAGGTAATTTTCAAAACACTCTTAAAAGAAGAAATTTTTGCATAATTTGTATAATTGAACGCTTTTTTACAAAGGTGCCGCAATTTATTGACATGTAGTCCGCGAGCTTGTTGACATTTTCACAAACCGAATCACAATGTAGTGGACGTTCACACATTCATGGTCCGTTTCGATTTGAATTTTGTATACATGCTGCGTTGTATATAACTATAAACTCTCATTTCCTTGTTTTACCCACAGAAACGTATGCAGAAGACAAGGACAATTTATATTATTACAAAGTTATTGTAGAATGAATACGGATACGGGAACGATATCTGTCTGCGGGGCGACGGAGCAATGGAGACGCATGAGTGTAAGTGAGAAGAAAAATTTTAATCGAATTCTCTTTCTCGCTCAAACTCATGCGTAGACACACAACAAGATCGAATTGAAAAAAGTTGAACTCGAAAAGCATCTAAATAATAAATAAGCGCATAAAGAATCCTTTCTAAAAAAACAGCATAAAAAGGTCGATCTCGAAAAGTATTGAAATAAGAAATAAGCATAAAGAATAAAAAAGTATATACACTGAAAAAAAAGTGCTGTTGAATCAAATATCTCCATGCTATTGAATTCCCCGTCATTGATTCAATGACACATTTATTAATCGAAAAGTATATTGCTTAAAATGAAAAAATGAAACTGTTTAAATTAAAAGTACGGTACTGTAGAATTAATGATATTGTGCAAATTGTTTCTATAGTTCATCTATATATAGCAACAGAATTATTTTTTTGCTTCTTTGACATTATTCATTTGAAGCATCTAATAGATAAATTTGAAGAAAATGCGTGTAAATTTAAATCAAATGAAAAATTGTTTGCTCTAAAGAAGCGCGCTCTGAAAACGAAAGCATATGCTTTCGTTTCAATGAGTGGTGCTATTGCGGACTGCCTATAGCATATGCTATAAAAATAAGAACACTATGTTTTGAGACATTGACAGGTACTAAATTTATTGAAATACTTACCCACATATATTTATATGTTTATTAAGCCTGTCGTTTTTGAGATTCCAATATAAAAAAGTATTATTTAAATTCTTTTAATTAATTAATGACTAGTTAAATATAAATTCCCTATATAAATTCCCTTATATACGCGAAAAATCTCGAGCACGGTATTTAACCACAAAGTAAGTGCCCAACGTTGAGAAGCGGATGTATTACATTGCAGCGCGGCGGTTCTCTCTATCACGGAAGTTAAGAGTCGTTGGTCGCGGTTACTAAATGGATGGGTGACCGCTTGGGAATAGCCGCATTTTTCTGACTAAAAAAGATAAGTGTGTTTGAATGTGTATGTGTGTGTGTGTTTAGCCGTTGGAAAAAATGAAAATAATAATAAAGATGTATATGTTAGTGTGAAAAATTGAAAAAAAGATGTGTATAAAAAGTGTTGTGTTAAAGGTGTGAGAATTAATTATAGTATATAAAAAACATGTGAACAAAAATTCCCTTTTTTCAATTTATCGTTGGTATATATTTAACCACATAAAAGAATTGAATTAACAGTATGGTGTTATTCAATCGATAGCAACAACTAAAAAAATTAAGAGTACAAATTTTTGAATCATAAAAATGATGCTTTTAAATTTAAAAGTTATAGTCATTGACTCAAAAGCATATACTGTTAAATTAAAAAATTTTGTTTATTGATTCAAAAGGATTCACCTTCGAATTAACATAGTATGCTGTCAATTTGAGAAATATGCTTTTGTTTCAAAGAAAGTGATACTATCGAATCATTAGAATCGGTGCTTTCAAAACAACAGCATATACGTTAGGCAGCCCGTTATGACACTATTCAATGAATCAAACCCATATGTCATTGATTCAACAGCATTTTTTTCTCCGTGTACTTATGCGTCTGTCATGGAGCGTTTACACCTTCTATAAAAATTGTCCAGAAAGGAAAATTTGCATTGGAGTAAGAGAATCAGATACACAGTCTGTCTCTCTTACTCCAATGAAAAATTGTCCGTTCGGGAAATTTTTACCGAAGGTGTAAATGCTCCCTCATAGACTCATAGGAGAGAGAAAGACAAGAATGGTTTTTCCAAAAGTCGTGTGACCGTAGCCTTAAGGCGCTTGCACACTTCCAAATTTTTAGACGAGCAGCGAATTTTCACGACCTTGAAATGCACATTACTAAATATGATTGGCTCTGACAAAAGTACATTTTCACGCAGCTTTTTGTAGAGCTAATCATATTTAGTAATGTGAGTTTCAAGGCCATGAAAATTCGCTGCTCGCCCAAAATTTTGGAAGTGTGCAAGCGCCTTTAGAGTGCGGTCCAATGTCAGCATGAAAACGGGAAACGGAAAACGTTTAGTCAACAACAACTTCCGATTCAATTTAACTAATTTTTTTTAATTAGAAAATATGTTAATATAATGTAACAATAATATAAATAAATTGATTTATAATTACTACTATTTTATTTTTTATAATAGAAAAAAAATTTCGAATGGAAAAAGGATTTGAAAAAATAAAAAAACAGGAATTACAAAAATAATAATTGAAAAATTAAAAATATAAATTACAATTGAATAATGTCAAAATCGTCTTCACAACAAGCTGTAAAGATATTTCTCCAACACTTGCTCTGAAAGGAGTACTTTTCTTGGTAGAAAAGTGTGGCGAAAGTAGAACTTTTCTCAACTGCTCTGAAGAGCGTGGCGAAAGTAAAATTTGGCGTGGCGAAAGTAAATTCAGCGTGGCGAAAGTAATTTTTAGCGTGGCGAAAGTAAATTTGGCGTGGCGAAAGTAAATCATGAATTTATTCTTTTTTCTTGTTCTTTGACCGAGATTTATTTTGTATCTAACTTCTTCCCCACTCAAAACATTCGTCTTTTATTATATTAAACATAAGAACATTTTAAATTAAAATTATACGAAACTCACGAAGAAACCTTTCCTCGCAAGGCGTTGGAGAAAACGTAGTGCACAACTCGTGGTGAAAGAATGATTTTTCTCGAGTGATTGCTGCTCTCGCTACGCTCGAGCCGCAAACTTCACTCTCGAAAAATCACACTTTCGCCACTAGTTGTACAATGTACTATTCTGCAATTGCTTGAAAAACAAGGCACAGTCCGTGTTGAAGTGAAAGTGGAAAACGAAAAACATTTGCCAATAGGAATTTCCGATTCCATGGAAATAATTTTAATAGAGAATTCTTATTGGCTAAACATTTCCAGTTTTAAACTGCTTAAGGGTGCAGTCCAATATAAGCGTAAAACGAACCGAAAGCTTTACGAGACGCATGATTTTCCCCTAAACGCCAAGTGGTCGAATGTTCAAATGGTCGAATACCAAGTAGTCGAATCGTTAACTGGTCGAATGCTAGAAACATCGAATAGTCAAAACGTCGAATGTTCAAAACATCGACTCATCAATTGATCGAATGTTCAAAACGTCGAATCGTCAAATGGTCGAATGCTAAAAACATCGAATTCTCAAATGGTCGAATGTTCAAAACGTCGAATCGTCATTTGGTCGAATGCTAAAAACGTCGAATCTTCAAATGGTCGAATGCTAAAAACATCGAATCGTCAAATGGTCGAATGCTCAAAAGGTCGAATGCTCAAATGGTCGAATGCTAAAAACGTCGAATCGTCAAATGGTCGAATGCTCAAAACGTCGAATTTTTGATGATTCGACGTTTTGAGCATTCGACCATTTGAGAATTCGACGTTTTGAGCATTCGACCATTTGAGGATTCGACGTTTTGAGCATTCGACCATTTGAGAATTCGACGTTTTGAACATTCGACCATTTGAGAATTCGACGCTTTTAGCATTCGACTATTTGACGATTCGACCTTTTGAGTATTCGACCATTTGACGATTCGACCTTTTGAACATTCGACTATTTGACGATTCGACGTTTTTAGCATTCGACTAAATGACGATTCGACGTTTTGAACATTCGACCATTTGAGAATTCGATGTTTTTAGCATTCGACCATTTGACGATTCGACCTTTTGAGCATTCGACCATTTGACGATTCGATGTTTTTAGCATTCGACCATTTGAGAATTCGACGTTTTGATCATTCGACAAATTGACGATTCGATATTTTGAACATTCGACGTTTTTAGCATTCGATGTTTTTAGCATTCGACCAGTTAACGATTCGACTACTTGGTATTCGACCATTTGAACATTCGACCATTTGTCGTTTAGGGGAAAATCATGCGTCTCAGCTTTACGCTTACATATAGGCACTGCATAAAGGTATGAAATCACCTTAAAAGTATGTGCTCAACGCAAAACATACAGAAACACCATAAGATAGAAAAGGATACAAATACATCCGTCTCTTCTCTTTTCCTGCCTCACGTTCCGAAGTCGAGTTTCTCCTTTCTCCTTTCTCGAACCTATTCTGCGTTGGCCTTAAAACCATAGTCATGGGTGGAACGCATTCCATTAAATTCCGTTCGTTCCTATAGAGTTCAGTGTGCCCACCCTACTAATATGTGTAGTTATGCTAGTGTAAGTGGTTTGTTGTAGCTTGCAGTTGAGAATATGTTTAGTGAAATATGTAATTACAATAGTGTTATTGTTATAGAAAAGTTTTTTATATTTAGTGGGTCCCGATGTGAATTTTATTCATTTCTTCAGGATTGATACTGTAGCATTCTTTGAAAATGAGGATTTTATTTAATATCTTAAATATGAGTCACACTGGGTGAAGCTAAGAAAATGACTAATCTATCTGCACAAGCATTAAAAGTTTTATTTTATACAACAATGTTTTAGAAAGGTGGAGACTATTAAGTGCAAGTGAATATAAATTTGAGTTTGTTTTTGTTTCTGATGCTGATGCTGATGAGTGAGGCAGAAATAAGGTGATCTACAAGTGGCTTTAATAGCAACATCGAATAGCTGTAAGAAAAGTCAGTGTCGAGATGGAAAAATTTAAGATCTTTCGATGTGTTCGGGTGAAGCTCAATATTCCCGGTGTTGCGGTACTACTTCAGTTAATGCTGTGTCTAACAGTTGGTGAGTTTTTCTCATAAATTATTCTTAGCTTTTTATATTTTATTGCATAAAGGTGCATATGTTGAAATTCTCACTTATTAACTTGGAGATAAAAAGAGAAATACAGGTATTGAACTTGGGGAGTGTACCTATTCATCATAGACAAAGCAATATCTATTGTTTTTGTGTTACTCATTGCATTATGTCACTAAGATTTAATTTTATTTTTTTTAAACATTTTTTTTATAATTGTCGGTAGAAAATAACAATAACTATTTTATTCCTTTATTATACTGACAACAATTATAAACATTTGTTCGTGGAAAAAAATATGTTTTAAAATTTACTTACGATAAGCAGCTGAGGTAAAATATTTTTTCCTGCGTGTAAGGTTTGAGAAGAATCGAGGAAATTCTTTGACTCAAGTGCATTATTCATACCATGTAATTTGTGATACATATGAGAACCATACTCTTAGACATAGTAATAAGCAACAGCAGTTTAAAGTACTGTCAAAACACTTCCTATTCTGTTCTCTGTCTGTCATTTGTATCTTTAATAAAGATACACTAATTAAATAATAGTAATTCAATCCATTTCTGCTGTAATATACTTTTTTCAAAAGTTTTACTATTCGAGTATGTAGTTAATAATTGTCACCTTCTGTTAATTATTAATCTTCTTATTGTTAGTCTTTTATTATTATTCAATGTGAATTTATAAAATAAAACGAATTTTTCACATTAGAAAATCACTGCCTGAATCTTATTTTAATCATTAATTAAACTGCATTTTTATAAAATTTATTATTAGTTTAATATTGTCACAGAATTAGAGCGAAATTGAAAAACATCTTTGTTCTCTTTCTGCTCAGACTATTAGAATGAAAAGAGAAAGAGGTTAATTGAGTAAAATTCTCTTAAGCACTTTGATAAAATTGTTTATATGTAACCATAATTAACAACTCATTTAGTGACAAAAATATAATTACTATTACGTGACTTTATGCTAAAACTTATTGCTCAACATGATTATTTCCTTAAAAACAATTTCAGTCAACATTTTTTTATTAAAATATTATTTATAAACTATATCTGGATTATCCGTCTTTGATGTGTTTTTGAAGCCTCCTAAAAAAGAATATTAAAATTTTATTTTTACATTCCTTAAAAATAGGGTAGTTGCATCAGTAAAAGAACGAATTGTTAATTTATCAAGATATTAAACAATTTATAATTTTTTGCACTGTAAAAAAATATTATTTGTTTCTAATTCCTTCAAAATATACTTTATGATAAAACATTAGATTCAATATTTTTTTAACTGTAAATTTAAAAATGAAAATTATCTGAAAATTAGCTTCTAATTTTTTTAAATTGAATATTTTCAGTATTTTCAATTACATATTTCCGAAAATTCAAATACATACAAAAAATAATAACATTTTAGAATTATTTTTAACATTTTGGAAAAAAAAGATCATGTTCAAAATTTTTAATTAAAATTCATGAAAATATTAATTAGTTTTTTAAATTATACAAAAATTCTGTTAAGAAATTTCATTAGTTTCGAAAAATTACATTAAAATATTGTTAAAAACTAATTCTAAGAATTCTTTTATCGTAATTTTTTAAGATTTAATTATCTTCGAACAATGTAAATAAAAATTTTTAAAAATTTACATTTTTAGACTTATTAAAATTGCTAAGAAATTCTTCAAAAATTTGACTATTTTTATTTATATTTTTCAAAAATTAATCATTTTTAAAGATTTTACCAAATTTCTATTGTCTTGGAAATTTTTCAATTGTATATAATTGAAAAACTATTATCTGTCAAAAATTATTTAAAAATATTTTTAAAAAATTACTTTTGTAAGAATTTCTTTATTATAATTTTTTAAAATATTATATCTTAATAACTTAATAAAAAAACGTATACAGTTACAACTATTATAAAAAAATAAGTTTTTGTATTTAAATAATTGAATTCTAAAAGAACTTTTGGAAAATTATTTAAAATAATTGATTTAGAGATGTAATTTAGTTGAAAATTGTAGAAAATAATTGAATTCTTTTGTAATTGCATAATTTTTAAGAAATTATAAAAATTCATAAATTTGACTCATTTTCAGTAAACTTTCATATTTTTCTGTAAACAAAATTTTGTCAGGGAAAATAATTTTAATGTCAGTAAATTGTCAGGGAAATTGATAAACTGAAACTTGCGACCAGTCTGATTTAATTTCTTTGAAATTTACTTTATGATAAAACATTAGATTCAATATTTTATATTTTTCTATATAAAATAGTTTTAGAATGTTTATTTCATTTTTTATAAAACCTTTTGTATTTTTGGACACTGTACTAATATAAATTTGCTATGTTCTTTTACTGTTAAAATAGAAATTTTTCAATATTTGATTAAAATTTTAAATATTATATAATATACATTAATAATTTGTTATTTATTACTTTTGACTTAAAAAATTAAGCTACAAAAATATTATCAAAAGTATGACATAAAATAAAATATTCAAATTTTTGATGTTATGAATTTTTTCAAAAACTTTATGCTTAAAGGATCTCGCTGGAAATACATTAGTTTCGGGTCGCAGTCTATTTTCTTGTAAATTTTGAATTTTAAGTTTGTATTAATTCCGAAGAAAACTATTAAATTTAAAAACTTGTAGAAAAATTGAATGGGACACAAAACTAATGTATTTCCTACGGGGTCCTTTGTAAGTTATTTTACATTTTTAATTTTATTGTTAAAATACGATTTATCGACTTAAAAAGGTAGGTACCATAATCCTAAACATTCGGTATTTCTAATGGGGTAGCTGTTTGAAATTTTAAGTGATGCTCCGACAAAATATTGTGGACAGGTAGCATGACTTTTTGCACAGCATTTTTGGAATTCTTACTTCACTGGAAACGAGAAATTAAACAAATTTCCAACTTCTAAGCAATGTACAAACAAAAGTCTGATTTTATTAATATATAATTGAAGTTTTTGAAAGGACCTTAATTTTATAAATAATAAAGTGGATAATTTTGTGGCCTTTGGTCCAAGAAGATGTAGTTTCTTTAGTATATAAATTCAATATTTATTCTCAAATGCATTTTCGCCATAGAACATGGCTCATCAGGACTACAAAAAAATAGGAAAATATTCTTAGCATTATAGACACTTCCAACATAAGACATAAAAAAGATAGCAGACGACTTACCGCATTACAATGGAAAACATAAATTAATTAAGAATTTATTATTATGGAGATTTAACAGTGCGAAAGTTTCCGGTTAGAACATAACCTCAAGAGTCAAGTCATGGCGAAAATGCATTTGAGAATAAATATTGAATCTATATACTAAAGAAACTACATCTTCTTGGACCAAAGGCCACAAAATTATCCACTTTATTATTTATTTATTAATATATTATAGATATTATCATTCACTCATTTATTTTTATTATTATAAATCCCTTTTTTAATTGTTGAAATTAGGATATAAAATCGAATCAAATTTTTTGAGTCCAATTTATTATGCTGTAGAATTTATTTGACGCTGAAATGTTGAAATTATTACAATTGTCCTAATTTCTTTTCTAACTGACATGTATTTAAATACAAGTGTGAAGAGGAGAAGCGAATAGGTGAAAAAAGGCTGTCACACTTATCATTCAACTCATTCGTTTTTCTATAATCAGCATAGTAAATAGCTTCGCCTAAGCCAGTTTCATCTCAGTCTGTCCCACTTGTTATTATAATTACGACAGAAGAAGATAATTCTTTATCAGCTGCTTTTACCTGTGGCGACGCTACATTAATATTCAGATAGCGTCACTACCTTTTTCCGTAACGCTGCTTTTAGTCCCACTCTAGATAGGCCCCTCCCTATGTGCTCTCACTAAATAAATGAAAAGCTTTAAATTTGTATTTTTGGCTTTAAAATACACATTAAATTGAGAGCATTGAGAGTGACTATATTAGAACCACTTGAAGATACTGAATATCCTCTTGACTCTTATTAATATCTAGAACCAAGAAAAGTGTAATTTTATTGATTCACCAAAGTATTTCCACTGATTGCCAACTTAATTTAAACTATAAAGATTTTTAGTAATCAAAGTAAAACTCAGTTGGTACTTGTACGACGAAATTCTTTTTATTCTTTCAACATTTAGTTACTTTGAACAAATGTGGTGCTCGAACGAAGAAAGGAATCTAAGAAGCAAAAACTAATGAGTTTTATTTGATATGATGTTTGAATCTTCACTACATATCCAATAAAAATTATTCTTCATTTTACAAAAGTACAAAAGAATAAGAATCCATTATTCAAGTGAAAATGATCATAAACATAAAAACCAATAAGTTTTCGTAGCGCGCCACACATGTTAATTAAATAATGAATTAAGAATCATAATCATAAAGTACCTTCAGAATCACATAGTTCATACATAACTTTCAAGTCTAATATTCAAATTATACTATTATCGTTTTATAAATTTAGAAATCAACGGGGTATGAGAAACACATGCTCACCGTTTCACAAGACATTTCAAACTCTAAAGCAAACAAACACGCTTTTCAACTATCTGTTCAAAAACGTTTCAAGTCCCAATCAATTGAAAATTTTAGATATTTCCAGATATTTCTTAAAGCTTCAAGGCGGTTTAAATGGTTCAAAAATAACCTTTACATGACAAAGCTGTATACAAATTATAATTACAAAGTTTAAAAATTAATAGAAAAAATTAACGATGAGTTTAAACTGCATGCCGCTATACGAATAATACGATAGAAGGAACACACATGATAAATTTAAAAATCTTTAATAAAAAAACTTCGCGGTTAAATTGTACACAATTAAACTGTGTACAAGCTAATTTTTAAATTAAATGCATTAAATTACAGTTCTGCCTATACAGTTTAATTGTGTGCAATTTAATACTAAAGTGGGCAACTTCAACAGTCATGTTATTTCCTTCACGAAATCAAATGAAAAACAGCT